AATTAATATTTTGGGAGGCTAAATTTTTAGTCCCGGACTACATTTAGCCCTACGGCTGGTGATGACCTAAGATGTAGGTTGTAGGATAACTTTGGACCATATCTATAGGATCTACTAGGAGACCCATATAAATTTAACATTGGTATTTTTTTATACAAGCGATATTCTATTTTAAGCTAATCTAAACTAGGGGGAGGGGCGTTCGAACTTGGTGAAGAGTGGGGGAGCACATCTGCTCTAGCCAACTTGGCTAATCCCATGTTTGTAATTTCACAATTTTTTTTTTAATAAACCAACTTGCAATATAGTGTAAAATAGTGTGTGGGCACTAGTTCTCATTACACAAGCTTAGCTTAGACTAAATTTAGTCCCACGTTTGTTCCATTTAATCCTAGTATTAGATGAGATTGCTAATGCTAGCTGGGCTCACCAAAAACACCTTCTTAGGAGGGGACTAATAAACCCATGTGGAAAAGGATGATTTCTCTTTTTTAATTACTTTATTTAGTAGTTATGTTTTAATTACCATTTACTTAGTGAATAATTAGTATATTTCATTAAATGAAAATAAAAAATTTTAAAATAATAATTACCATTTATTAAGTTAATTAAATATTTAATTATTCACTAAAGAAATAATAATTAAAACATAATTACATATGAAAGTAATTAAATAATTCTGCAATATTATTTAATTACTAAAAAGAAAATTTGAAATAAAAATTTATTGGACCTAAAAGATACTAAATTTATATTTTATTTAAAAATAAAATCTCTCCTAACGAAGTTTTGTCGGCACAGGTTTATCCCGGAGAAATTTGCTGGAAGAGACTTGCCCTGACGAAATTAACCTCTGCCGAAGAAATTTCGTCAGGGGAATTCTTTGGCAAATTTCGCCAAGGATAGACCTGTGCTAACGAAATTTCATCGGGAGAGGTTCTATGACCTTTTCTTGAAAAAAAAAAAAAAAAAAATTTATTTTTTTGGCCAACTTCTTTAGTTTAATATATGTAATTAAGTAATATCTTAGTTTTTTCTAATTACTTTAATTGGTAACTTTAATGAATATTTAAATATTTTACTCATTTCATAAATTACTTAATAAATAGTAATTAATTATTATAAATATATATTTTTTGTGGACTTTATTTTAAATTTTTGTTTTCACAAAATCAGTTTGGGTAAATCCAAGTCTCGAACCAAAAACCCTAACTTACGAAATGGTTCCAAAACCTTTCTATTCACCCGTTTTATGTTTGCTCCAGTGATAGAAGGGTAAAGTTCCCCATTGCCTTGAAAACCATTGACTGGTCAACAAGTCAACTTTCTTTAGTGTGCGAGCGTGCCACTGCAAGTAATAAAAATTCTAGCACACTTCTTAAAAATAAATAACTTGCGCCCCAAGTTACTGATTTTTTAAACAAGCGTTTGTGAATTTATGTGAGGAATAACTCCCAAGTAAGTTATTTTCTTGCCTCAGACTGGTGAGGACTTCACAATTTTTCACAGTATAAAACTGGCAGTTCTGGCCAGAATAAATGATAAGATAGTAAACTGTTTTAGGCAGAAGTGCCTTTTACAAAACTCAAGAGGGAAAAACCAACTCTAGAAAGGCAAAAAGAAGGTTGGACTTCCATTTATGTTTGGATAGAAGCTTCTGACCCTGGTTGGATTGAGTATGCATGTGTTGGACTGGACTGTCAGCAACTTCAACTGTTGAGTTTCAGTTGTAAATCGATGCCAATGTTCGAGTTTGGCAGAGCTTTAATCTATTTCAAGCCCTGGAAGGCTTCTTAAACGGGCAGAATTGCGGCCTCTTTAATCTGAAAGGGGCAGAAGTGGCTGGACTTAAGGATTACTAAGCTGGAACTGCACTGTGATACCTGTTCTGCTTGATCAAGGCTCTCTATAAATTTGTTGAGGTTTTCAAATTTGTAAAACCCGAGCTCTGCTTGACTTGGCTTTTGCTGAACCAAATTTGTAACGAGAGAAATATCGTTTCGGATGATTTATTTTTCTAAGTCTGAAATTGGAAGTTTTGATTTATAGCTGTCTTCTTTCTTGTTGGCTCAATGAGCTTTTGGTTGCTTCAGTTTGTTTGAAGGTTCTTTGAGATCAGATGATCATTTTGAGTTTTTGTCTTTGATTGATTTTTTTGACTGTCCCTTGTGCTCTGTTCACCCTCTCTTATATTTATAAGAAATGCTTTGGAGGGGGCTTCTAATCTTTTAATAATCGATGGCAAAATTTTATCAAAAGATCTTTCATTTTTAAATGCAAAGAAAAAAGGATTTTATCAATTCTGGCAGATAAGTCCTCAGTAGTCAGTACTAAGGCAGTCTCTTCCCTGTATTTTTGAAAGGAAACCTGACCCTTCTTCCAATTCGATTGCTTTTTGTAAGAGCTCAAACTGTGATGGTTAGTTTGATTTTCCAGTTTTGAACAACTCTCTGCTTCCTACTTATCTCCCAAAAACGTAGTATGCATATCTTTTGAAAATGGTGCCTTCTCTGGAGCAAAGAATATCTTTGAGTATATATGAGGGATTTGATCTTGCGGTTGCATAGATTTTTAGAGATGTCTTTCCTTTATACCTGCCCTTGTCAACTCTTTATCAACAAAGTTGAAATGTCACGTGGGGTTGTCTCTATTGGAGCAGAAATTCTTACAATAAGAATGTCTTCCACAGGTTCTTGGCTTTACTCCACACACGAGATGAAAAAAATCTCCAAACGACACTTCTCCCAAATCAGATGAGAGATGGATGGGTACCTGCAAAAGATACTCCGACGCTCAAGTCAATTTTTGTGTGTTTTTGAGTGCACCAATGAATCTTAAGTCGCATCCCCTTCTCTGGTTGTGGGACTCCACATTTATACCTGGTGACAGACTTGGGATGCAAGCCTCAGTTTGCACATCTTATGTCCACTTCCGCCACTTCCGGTTAGCGTGAGTTGCACGTTGTCGACTCTCAACGGTGTTCACGTTGAGCCTTGATTCATGCGGATTGGGGAGTGCGATCGTTTGAATATACTCACGAACCCATGTCCGGCCACTTGTACACGAGTCAACATGGGGTAATGCGCTTGTGAACCCATGTTGAGTGGTGCATATTCGAACGTGCACTGGGCAGTGCGCATCTGGAATCGCATTGGGTTTACGCGCATGCGAACCCGTATCGGGCCAATGTCAATACGAACTCACGTTGGGCTTATGCGTATATGAACCCATATTGGATCGGCCCCAATATGAGCTCATGTTGGGCTTTCACCCAAGAGAACTTGCATTGGGCCAACGCCCATATAAACCTATGTTGGGTTGTGCCTAAATCTGATCTCGTGGTGTGGCGGATCGGTAGCGAATTATTTTGCTCCCACATTGCCCCCTTTTTTCCTCTTCCCGCTCACGCTTAGCATGTAGGTTGAGGGAAAAACTCAACTTAGCTCACACTCTCTTTGGGATACTACCCTTGCCTTCTTGGACCATTGGACAAAACCTTGTACCTGACTTGCCCATCAGCAGGACAACAATGACAATTAACAATGTCATAAAAGATCACTAGGGCATAGGCATATATGCATGAGTCCAATATGTCAGATACAACAAGACAAGAAACCTTATTAATTATTGTATTATTGTTGAAAATGGGGAAAGCACTTTTGCTTGAGTATAGGCAATGGTTTACTTGAATTCCTACCATCTAGCAATGCGGCAATGAGTTTATTTCAACTCTGACAATTGCATGTCCACCATTTTGACAAGACTCCCCACATAGCCAACTATGCACGCAAAGGATTTCCAAAAAATAATGGGTTTCTCATGACCTTGACAGTTTTAGCTTTTCAAAACCTGTTCTTGACACCAATTTAATATTTCTCCCTCTCCTTTAGAGTTTTGCATTTCCCTCTTCACTCACAAAAGAGAAGAGGAAGAGAAAAATAGGGGAAAGAAGGAGAGGGAAAACCCCTCATAATCTGCATTGGCTTCTTGCTCGATTGTACGTCATCTTACGAATGATGTTTTAGTTCTTTCCTATGGTTGGCCTACAAACAAATTCACACCTGAGTGCTGCTTTCTTCCTATAATCTATACTTTGCCATATTCATCACCAACCATTCTTCTTCTTTGTGGTTTCCTTCACTATCAATAGTTATTGTGTAGGTACCAACTGAATATGCAACAACCTATGCACTTCTATTCGTGAAGAACATACGTATACACGAATGAAATATGATGCGTGTGTGTATATTAATATAGATATAGATATATATATATATATGTATTAACATAAGTCTACGTGTGCACATATGAACATAGGTCTGTGCATGGCAAACGTTAGTATCAATCTATGCATGGCAATCTATATATGTACATAATGCAAAGTTATGTATATGTATCAATCTGTGCATGGCAACATATATATATATGTATATAATGCAAAGTTATGTATATGTATCAATCTGTGCATGGCAGCATATATATATATATGTATATGTGGTACCCACCATATGTAATGCAATATATATAGTATCAATCTGCCATTGTATATAATAATAATAACGAAAGTTCTGACGTTGACCTTATGTTGACATAATGACACCTGATATACAACTGGTGTTGTACCCGCCATCTATGCTTCCCAAAACACATACAATTAACAAGTGAAGTTGGCGTGGGACACTGCTCACCTTGATTATAATATGTCCTAGGTGCAGCTGGTTTAGTAGATTTACAAACTAAAGTCAATTGACATACGCAGTTTTCAAAAGTCACTTATCTTTGTGTTTGACTTCTCAGGAGACCTATTCAACTCGAACCTTTTCAATCCGAGGTTGTGTTTTGACTAAGCTGAACCCCCTCAAGTCTCATTTATCCAGCTTAGGTTGCGCCGATCTCTGAACCCAACTCACATTCAAACTGACTTTGCGGTACGCACCCCCTTCTTTAGTTGCCTCTCTCATTCAACTTTCGTTTCGTCTGCTTACTTTCTAATTACTTCGATGTCGAGGCTTAACCTTTGGCCGAAGTCGAAGGTGGGATACCCCTCGAGGCTTGAGATAAATAAGATGCGAGAGAAATTCCGCATTCCTGGTGACGTTACTATCGGTCGGATACCTAAGGGAGCGAATATGTACACAGGGGTCGGAATCCCGGAGGGAGCTCTAGTGCTTTCACCATCCCACCTAGAGTTTATTAGGTTCCCACTTCACCCCTTATTTCACCTTGTGTTGAATTCTTTGAACCTTCATCCTATGCAGTTAAATCCGAACTCATACTTATTGATTAGTGGTATGCTGGCAGTTGGCCTCAAATGGGGGGTGTCACTAGGCTTCTTAGATTTCTTCTACCACATTTATGTTGCCATGGTTAGACATGAGACTGAGTATTTCTACCTAACCCCTCGACCTATCCGTAAGTTCTTTGGCTACAAACCGTCTTCCGCTAAAGATTGGAAGACCCGACTCTTGATGATTACTGGGAATTGGGCTGCCCCTGAGATGTCTTGTATCCCTATTCCTTCATCATTCAGGCCTGAACCTGGTATTCTTGATTATGACTGCTCTACTAATACTGACTATGATACAATTTTTCAAAGGAAGCTTATTGAATGGTTTCTTTGTTTTGTAGTGCCCAGCCCAACCCAACCCGTTCGGAGATTGTCCTTACTGATGAGCGAATCCAGTGGCTGAACCTCCACTTGGTGGGTCAAGATTGGGACGTTCAGGAGTTCCTCGATCCCAACACGCTTCTTCGTATTTCTCAAGATCGGGATATTATCATCCACCCATCTTACCTTAGGGTTGATCTTAATGTGGATCTACATGAGACAGAATTAGGAGGTCACATAGTCAGCTTTGATTGAGCTCTCCAATTCAAGGAGGATTCCTCACATCGCATCCAAAGGAGTTACGCAGAGAAACAGGCTGAAGAGGAAGAAGATAGCGGTGGTTATTCCCCTGACGACTTCGAGCTATCTGACATGTCTGGCCCATTACCTAACCTGTCAAAACATGCTTCTCGACCAAGTCCAGGGCAGAGACCATCTGTTGATCAGTAGACAAAAAGGTCCAAGCGTGTTCCAGATGCTGGGTTGAGTTCAGATCCTTCATATGCGTTCATTCCAGGTTCATTTTCGAGCCAATCCCATCATGATGTGCTTCGTCGAGTTGGTTTGGCCACCTCTGCTCCATTTGTGGCTGTTGAAGATATTGACCTCGACAACGAACCCGTCATTCCTGCTGATGGTGAGATATGAAGACCCCGGTTTCAGAAGTCAGACGGGAAGCGTCTTATGACAAATGAAGGACTCTTGCATGATCCTGAGACATGTGACGCCGTTTTGGGTGGCCTTCTTCACCCACAAGACATTAAAGAACTGACGGACTTGGATGATCGTGACATTGCGCTCCAACAAGTTCACAACTTAATCTCGGTATGTTTTTCCTTTACACTTCTCATTTTCTCAGTTTAGCTTTGCCTTACTTTACTAACTTATGCAAACTCCATGCAGATGGCCGAACTTTGCTTGGTTGAGTTATCTAGGGCTCAAGGGCGCAAGGATGAGTTAGACAACTTGATCAAGTCCCACAAACATTTAGGACAACGACTTAAGGCCAGTGAGGCTACATCGGCGAAAAAGAAGGAGGCCACCCAAAACGGCGTCACCGCGAGCCATGACATTTCTGTTCGTGACTACAAGATCAGGGAGTAGGCTTCTGGGTTGACGCGATGATTTTTGGCATGACACCTACTTTATTTAGTGTTTACTTTATGTGGCGTGTATCTTATTTTGGGATTGAACTTATGTATTGTACCTTATGTGGACTTGGTTGGCTTCCCTTTGATATCCAGGCTCGGGTTTATTATGATTATGTATCTAATTCGCTTGTCCTATCTAGGTGAATACGAAGACGAATACCACCTCCTTCATTATGGGTTCTCTTAGATATTATTCGCCTGGGTCATTGTAAGTTTGAAATCTAACCCGATCCTATGTTGTTTCGCGTACTAAGTTCATTGGGATAACACTATCCTTTTTCAAAAATAAAATCAAGTTGGAGTATCAATCTCTTGAATAAAATTGCTTTTGAATTTGAAACTTTGCATAATTATCTGAACTGATTGAGCCATCTTGATTGACGTTATAAAATGAGGCGTTGAGGATGGGTTTCAAGTACCTGGATGTAAGTTCATTGGGATAACACTATCCTTTTTCAAAAATAAAATCAAGTTGGAGTATCAATCTCTCGGATAAAATTGCTTTTGAATTTGAAACTTTGCATAATTATCTGAACTGATTGAGCCATCTTGATTGACGTTATAAAATGAGGGGCTAAGGATGGGTTTCAAGTACCTAGATGTAAGTTCATTGGGATAACACTATCTTTTTTTCAAAAATAAAATCAAGTTGGAGTATCAATCTCTCGGATAAAATTGCTTTTTGAATTTGAAACTTTGCATAATTATTTGAACTGATTGAGCCATCTTGATTGACGTTATAAAATGAGGGGCTAAGGATGGGTTTCAAGTACCTGAATGTTATGGCTCACATGCGTAGGCTAAAACTTAGCTTCCGCCTCTGCGCTGACATCCCCAAAAATGATTGCTCTCCCTGTAGAAGAGGCGCTAGAGGAATAGAAATCTGCTCTGGTGAAGGTTCTTCATTCGATCCGCCAGTGAGGTCATCCGACTGCTCCAAAGTTTCGAATTCGCTGCCCGATCATGAATGTAAGTCTAGGACTCAGTCGAGATCTGGCAACAGATGCGGACTTCATTCTGGCCCTTCTTCGATCGATTGTAGGCGCTCGCCGAATTGTGTTAGAGGAGAAAGAGAGGGTCCCAGGCCTTTTTGCTTGAACAGAAGTGATGTTGGCCCTTCAAACTCAATGAGGGACGACCCCAGGCTGTCGCAGTTAGGACATCATCACCTGCACTCTGATAGGGATAGAGAACTTCTCCCTAAATAAGTTATCACCAGATGGAGATGGAAACTTTGACCCGCCTTAAAAGGGATCTGGTAGATGCGAACCGTGCTGTGGCTCTCGCTCACTCTAAAGGGACTCGTGACGGCTTCCAACAAGGGATCAGCTACTTTCGTGACAAGGCCAAAGCAGCTTACTCGTTCGTTGATTGGGATAACTTCCCGATAGGGACAAATTGAGTTTAGGGAGTGGTAATAAGTTGGGTTTCAATTCCCAATCCTCACTAGGGTTCTAGTGAGGTAAGTCCAACTAGTTAGTTGTCTAATCTTTGTTTCGTAGTATTCGTTTTTATTTTGGGTCAGCCCAAGGATTTTATGATTTCTTGTACTTTCGAGTTTTTGAATAAAGTTGGAAGGGTTCTACTTCCCCTTTGGTTTCCCATAATGTGTGCAAGTTGAAGTGTAATTAAATTCCCTTGAGGTGATCTCAGAATCGGCAAGGGCCCAACTGACTATCCCTAGAGGATTGATAACCTTGGGGTAGTGCTGGGATTAGCACGGATCCTATTGGAAACCTCTGGATGATGTCGGGATCGGCATGGATCCAACTGACTGGCCTTAGAGGATTGGTAACCTCGGGGTAGTGTTGCGATCGGCATGGATCTTATTGATTGCTCCCAGAGGATTGCTGACCTCTGGGTGATGTTGAGATCGGTATGGATCAAATTGACTGGCCCCAGAGGATTGGTAACCTCGGGGTAGTGTTGCAATCGGCATGGATCTTGATGATAAGTATGAACATAGTTAGGTTTGCAACAAATTTAAGCCAAGTGCATGAATCGATATTTAAATAAGAAGTGCGGATTTTATTTAATAAATATAAATGGAATGATGGACAAGTAGATTAATTTAAACATAATATTTCTTCAGGTGAGTTGCATTCCAAGGGCGTGGCATATACTGACTAGTCTCAACCCTTCTAAGCTTGTAGGCGTCTTTTCCGTATGCTTCTATGACCTCAAACGGTCCTTCCCATGAGCGACCAAACTTACCTGCATTTAGATCCTTGGTGTTTTTCATTACTTTCCTGAGGACCCACTCACCAACTTTGAACCTTCTCGGGTTGATTCGCTTGTTAAAGTAATTAGCAACGTGGTTCTGATAGTTTGCTAGTCTCAACGCTGCAACCTCTCAATGTTCCTTAATCAAATCGAGGTTACGAGCAATTTGTTGGTCATTATCCTTGCTATCCGCCACCATCGTTCGGATTTTGGGCAATCCGATCTGAGTTGGGATAACGGCTTCGCTTCCGTAGGCTAAGGAAAAATGACTTTCCCCCGTTGGTTTTTGTTTTGTGGTTCAGTACACCCATAACACATTTAGGAGTTCCACACACCATTTGCCCTAAACCCTTGCGTTGCTCGAGTTTCTTCCTAAGGCAATTGAATATGGTTCGATTTGTTTTTTCTGCTTGACCGTTTCCTTAGGGATAGCTGCGGGACGAGAACTGTTGAATGATCCCTTTCTCCATGCAATATCTCATGAACTTCCGATTGTTGAATTGAGTCCCATTATCTGAAATGACGGCTTTGGGTATCCCAAACCTACAAATGATGTTGCGCCAGATGAACTTTATCATGTCGGTCTGTGCTACTGTCCCATACGCCTCTGCCTCCACCCACTTGGTGAAGTAGTCTGTGGCTAATAGAACATATTTTTTGCCCCCATGCGCAGTTAGTAATGGTCCTACGATATCCATTCCCCATCGGGCGAATGGCCACGATCGGATTGAGTTCTTCTGCAGGTTGCCTGATCATAGGTGCGTGTTTCTGGCACTTGTCACATTTTCGCACAAATTGCTAGGCCTCTCGAGCCATGTAAGGCCTAAAGTAGCCTTGCGTTATTGCCTTGTGTGCCAAGCTCCTTCCTCAAGAATGATTGCCACAAGTTCCCTAGTGCAGTTATTTAAGGGTCCACTCCGCTTCGGATGGGATTAGGCAACGTAGATAGGGACCCGAAAAAGACTTCCTGAAGAGGACGTTTTCTATGAGTGCGTACCTGGCAGCTTTCATCCGAAGTTTTCTCGCTTCCACCAGATCTGTGGGTTGCGTTCTTGCCGTTAAATAATTTACTTTTGGTGTCATCCACGTCACCTCTGAGTTGACTTGCATAACCCGAGGTTCAACAACATCCAGACTGGGGCTTTCCAAGCATTCTACAGATATGACCCCTGTTGAATCCTTACCTAAAGCTGAGGCCGATGCCGCACATGCCAATTGGTCTGCTCGTTCATTCAGCTATCTCAGAATCTGCTTCTGTTCGAACTTCTTGAATTGTTGAGACAAACGCTTTGATATTTGTTGATACGCCTCCATCCTTTCATCTTTAGTCGCGTATCCCTCATTTTCTTGATTGACTATAAGTTGGGAGTTACTGTACACCTTCAAATTACTTATCTTCAGAAGTTCGGCAATTTTCAATCTCAATACCAAGGCTTCATATTCAGCAACATTGTTTGAGGTGGGGAAATCCAATCTGATAGAGTATTCTAGCTCTATTCCTTCCAGCAAAGAAAGAACGATCCCGACCCTGGCCCCTGCCTGGTTAGATGAGCCGTCTGCATATAACTCCCACAGTGTTTCCTTATTGCACCCTGCTCCTATTGTATCCCTTTGTTTCTCATACATTCCTTCTATGGGATAACATTCGACGAGAAAATCAGCAACTACCTGTCCTTTTTTAGATGTTCTCGGTTGGTACCTGATGTCAAACGCTCCTAACTCGATCGTCCATTTTGTGACTCTACCCGACAGATCTAGCTTGGACAAGATTACTTTAATAGGCTGATTCGTGAGCATTGTAATGGTATGAGCCTCAAAATATTGCCGGAGTTTCCTCTTGGTTACTACCGATGCCAAGACAAGTTTCTCTGCTGGAGTGTATCTCTTCTCAGCGTCAATCAAGCTCTTGCTGACATAGAAAATAGGTTGTTGGAGGTAGTTCTCTTCCCGAAACAATGCTACGCTTACTGCAGCTTCAGTTATGGCAAGGTAGACATACAACATCTCTCCTGGCTTTGGTATAGTTAGGATTGGGGGACTTGTCAAGTATCGTTTCAGTTGATCAAAAGCTTCCACTTGCTCTGGACCCCAAACGTCATATTTTCTATTCTGGATTGCCCGGAAGAAGGGTTTGCACCGGTCGGACAAACGTGAGATGAACCCACTCAATGCCGCTATCCGCCCTGTTAGCACCTGCACTTCTCTTGGAGTCTTCGGGCTTGGCATGTTCCGTAACGCCTCCACCTTCTCTAGGTTTGGTTCAATGCCCTGCCTATTCACAATGTGCCCCAAAAATTGACCAGATGAGACACCGAAAGCACATTTGGTTGGCTTCAGCCTCATCTGATATTGCCTCAACACGTCGAAGGTTTCCTGAAGATGACTTAGGTGTTGGGTTTTCACCGCACTTTTGACAACCATGTCGTCGATATAAACTTCCATTGTCTTCCCAAGTTGGTCTTTGAACATCTGATTCACCAACCGTTGATACGTTGAGCCTGCATTCTTCAAACCAAATGGCATCACCGTGTAACAATACAGGCCATGCTCGGTGATGAAGGTTGTTTTTCTTGGTCTTCGACTGCCATTGGGATTTGGTTGTACCTTGAGTAAGCATCAAGAAAAGTTAAAAGTTCATTCCTGGTTGTAGTGTCCACCATTTGATTAATTTTAGGCAGCGGGTAGCAGTTTTTCGGGCATGCTTTTTTTAAATTGATGTAATCGACACAAACTCGCCATTTCCTTTCCTCTTAGCCACAACCACCACATTAGAGATCCATGTCGGGTACCACACGTCGCAGATGAGCCCAACCTCCAGAAGTCTATCCACTTCGTCACTAATGATATGATTTCTCTCTGGCACGAACCTCCTTTGCCTCTGCTGGTGTGGTGGGTGGTTAGGGTCAACGTTTAGGTGGTGACACGCGACATTGGGATCAATTCCAGGCATATCTACATGTGACCATGCGAGCATGTCCTTATTATTCCTCAAGAACTTGATGAGAGGCTACCTTTCGGCGTTGGATAGGAGGAAGCCCACCAATACTTTTCTATCGGGATCAAAAGGATCCAATATCTCCTCCCTTACTGGTTCAATTGTGGGGGGCTTTGGATCGTCCTCCTGCTCTATTGGTGGGTCCTCCGTTAATTGCTATAATTGCTGGTTCAGTTGTGGCTACGCTTTGGCTGCATCCTTGAGGTCGGTCGCTATATTGTAACACATTTTGGCTTTGAGTTGATCCCCTTTGATATCGATAGTACCAAGACCATCGTTAGTCAAACATCTCATCACTTGGCATCTGGTTAATGCCTCCCCATCCATTCTATGGATCCAATCTCTCCCCATGATCACATTGTAGGCACTCGGAGCGTCCACCACCACGAAAGTTACCAATAGAGTTTTTCCGGCAGCTATGACGGGTAGTGTCACGTCTCCTATTGCTCTTGCCTTGCTGCCCTTAAATGCGAAGAGTGGTGTGGGATTAGTTCTGATCCCGCTTTCATCTAATTTCATTCTTTTAAAAGTGTCCCAAAACATTACCTCAGCACTGCTTCTGCCGTCGATCATAACCCTCATGATTTTCGAATTTCCTATTTGAAAAGTCACGACCAGTGCGTCGTTGTGGGGAAATTGGATTCTTTCAAGGTCTCACTCGGTAAATGAGATGATCCCGACCTTTTCCAATGACTAGGCCGATTCTGGTGCTAAAGCAATTCCACAAACACGTCTTATCTTCTCAGCTTGTCTCTTCTCGGTTCGGGCTCGAGCCAGTTGACCCTCTAGCGGATAGGCCAGCCATGGATGACATTAATCTCCAACAACCACTCTTCAGCGGCGATGTTGTTGGTCACTGGTTCAGCCGCGCACTCCTCTTTTGGCTTATCTTCTGGTTAGGCCCGATATTGCGAAAGCATCCCTTTTTTCAGCATTGCTTGAACTTGGTATCTGAGATTCCGACAGTCGTTGGTAGTATGGCCAAAGTCATTATGGTGAGCACAAGTCTTACTTCGGTCTCGTTTTTCTGGCGGTTTCCGTAATGTCAGAGGTGTTCGGAAAATCCCTTTGCCCTTGTTTTCGTGGAAAAGCTTAGCCAGACTGATAGTAAGTTTGGTTGGAGGAGAATTGGTCCTAGCTTGGTTGCGAAGATTTCCACTTGGAAAATTTGTCCTTGGCCCTTGGATCGTCTCATACGGGTGCTTTGGTGCTGAAATGGTTGCGGCGGTGCACTTTGACAGAGCAAGTTCCTCCTATTCTAGTATGATGATTCCATCGGCCCAAGCCAGAACCTCCCTCATATCGAGGGGTGGTGTTTTAACCAAGGACTTGTGCATTTTTGTTCTCGACGTCACCCCTTCGCGAAATGCCAGTGACGCAGTGTGAGAATCATAAGTCTCTAGAGTCGACATCTCCTCCGTGAAACGCTTCAGATAATCTTTTAGACTCTCACATGCCTTCTGTTTTGTGCTAAACAACACTGTGATGTCTTTCTTCCTTATTTGGTTGCATACATATTGGGATATGAAAGCCTCACAAAGCTCAGTGAAGCTACCGATGGACTTCGGCTTCAACTTCCTGAACCAGGTCAAAGCCGACCTCGACAGGCTAGATGGGAATAATTTGCACAACAATGCTTCATCTTCGCTTTCGAGGACCATTTGCTGCTGAAAGTGATAGATGTGCTCGATGGGGTCTGCTACACCTTCGAATAACTTGAATTTCGGTTGAGTGAACTTTGCGGGCTTCTTAGCCTTCAGAATATCATTGGTGAAAGGTGATGTGCAGATTCCCTTGGCAGCCTCAACAGCCAATTCGGCAGGTGTCTGTGGTTTTTACCCTTTCACAATCTTTTCTATTTGTCTTTGCAGTTCGCTATCTTTGGATTTTTTCAATTCCTTCCTCTGGTCCTGGTAGTCTTCATGGTCGTTGTGCTGACCATCAGAGTGGGTACTTTCTGTGGAACTTCCATCGGATAACTCTATCCTCTCTTTCCTTTTCCTCCCCTTGGGGCCTTCATGCTGCTACTTATGGTTGCCTTTGGATTTCTCCAAAGCTTCGGTTGCCATCTTCCTCGTTTCACGCAACTCTTTCATTATCTTCTTAAGCTGGATGGCTGTGAGGCTGGGTTATGCTTTCTCAGAGTTTGATATGATATATGCGGATCAAGGATTGGATCGGGCTGAAGCGTCCTGTGCGGATTCGGCCATTGGTTGATTTTGTGAGAGTTCCCACAGACGATGCCAACTGTTGGAGTAGAAATTCTTACAATAAGAATGTCTTCCACTGGTTCTTAGCTTTTCTCCGCACACGAGATGAACAGATCTCCAAGCGACACTTCTCCCATATCAAATGAGAGAGGGATAGGTACCTGCAAAAGATACTCTGACGCTCAAGTCAATTTTTGTATGTATTTGAGTGCACCAATTAATCTTAAATCGCATCCCCTTCTCTGGTTGTGGAACTCCACATTTATACCTGGTGACAGACTTGGGATGCAAGCCTCACTTTGCATGTCTTATGTCCACTTCCACCACTTCCGGTTAGCGTGAGTTGCGCGTTGTCAACTCTCAACGGTGTTCACGTTGTCCCTTGATTCATGCAGATTGGGGAGTGCGATCGTTTGAATATACCCACGAACCCATGTCGGGCCACTTGTACACGAGTCAACATGGGGTAATGCGCTTGTGAACCCACGTTGAGTGGTGCATATTCGAACCTGCGTTGGGCGGTGCGCAACCGAAATCACATTGGGTTTACGCGCATGCGAACCCGTATCGGGCCAATGTCAATACGAACTCACGTTGGGCTTATGCGTATATGAACCCATATTGGATCGACCCCAATCTGAGCTTGTGTTGGGCTTTCGTGCAAGAGAACTTGCATTGGGCCAACGCCCATATAAACCTATGTTGGGTTGTGCCTAAATATGATCCCGTGGTGTGGCGGATTGGTAGAGAATTATTTTGCTCCCACCATCTCCAATTGTGGTCTTTTCTTCTCTTTTAATCAAGCCAAGTCCAGGTCAAGTTTTTGGAGCTATGGGCTAATTTCTTTCTTTTTCTTCTTTTCGAAGCCCAAGTTTTTTGACAGATCCTGGGTTGGGCTTCTTTTGGATTTTGGGCCCTTTACTCTTCTAATCGCAAAGTCCAGACTGCTTGGGCTCTATATTTCGTTTTGTTTCTCTGGGCTTTTAGTGTTGGGTTGGGTGTGCAGAATTTTGGCCCAAATAATGCCCCTTTGAATCTGAACCGTTTTTGGAAACTTTTCTTTTTTAAACTTTCAACGGTTCAGATTGAATCAATTGGCCATTAATGTTGCGCGTCACTCTCTTCCATTTCTATTAACCCACGTGTGCCACGTCTTGTCTATTGAGCTAGACTTCGTGGGAAATTGGGTAGTTACTAGCTAGCCGTTATCAGATGATGCCTTATTTTCTCCACGATTTTGAGCCCTTTTTAAGGAATTTAAAATTCCAGCTCCTGTGCATTTCAAAACCTAGTTGCCTCAGACCTTTGATTTTCTCAGTTTTCCTCAAAATTTTTACTCTTCTCTTCGACCACACCCTACCTTCCTTTTGTTTGATTATTCTGTTTTCAAACTTTTTTGGAAAAAGCCTGAGAATGTCTTCTCCAAACATTCGCACCAAGGGTTCTTCTTCTTCTGTTCCTCCTGCCTATATTAGTGGAGCTGGCGTTGATAAGCATGCTATTGAGGTTCAGAGCAAGCTTCACCCTTTTGCCCAAAAGAATCTGGATGAAAATGTCTTTCACCTCTTTGAAAACACCTTGGTTCTAGGCCCCCACTGGTTCGGTTTTGTCCCTACTGAAATGGTAGAATTGTTCAAAGGTGACGCTGAAGCTTCCCTCTGTTTCGAGAGCTCTTCTGCCCTGGCTTCTCATTCTTGGGTTAGCAAGAACTTGAGTCGTTCATTCCCATCCAGTGAGGTGAGGTACAGCTCTGTGTAATGGGCATGCTGGATCGACAGACTTCTTCCAAGATATGGAGCTCACTGGAGGAGGACATGGATTTATGATGCTATTCTCCTATCCAAACAATCCATCAACAGAGATGAGAATCTACTTGTTGCCGCTCTGTGTTTTTGGAATTTTTCCAGTAACACTTTTGATTTTCGTGTGGGCCCGATGTTTCCAACCCTGCTGGACATGGCCCATATCTTTGGGTTTAGGCCCCATGAAAAACCTGTGGATGCAGTAGGTGATTACCACTGGAGAAAGAACCAGGAGAAATTGGCCAAGCCATTCATCATCTCTCCAGCCACAATCAACCAGAACTGCTCTTTCTCCAATTACTTGAGAAAGTTCAGTTATGAGAAGGACAAAGATCAGCTTCACATGTTATTCCTCCTGTACTGGGTGAACATATTTGTCTTCCCAAATCGTTCATCGGCAGTTCTACTCGAATACAGGCACCTAGCAGAAGCGCTTCGCAATCATACTGATGTAGGGCTTGGGCCTACAGTTTTGGCTCACCTGTACAAGAATCTGCATACTACCACTTTGGAGAACTCTCTGAATCTGTCTGCTCCAGGCGCATTCTGAATGATCCAAATCTGGCTGCAGGTTTATTTCTCAGAACTGAGGTTTCTGGATATACTTCTTTTCCAATGTGGCTCTTAGGCGCTAGGCGGGTCTTTATATATCTATATATATACGGCTATACTATTTTTTTTGTTGAATTTTTTAAAGAAATAGTATGGCCGCGCGATTATCATTTGTTGGTAAAAGAGACCTTACTATCTTTTACTAGTCTCATGCTCACTAATGTATAAGATGCGTATATTTTATTTTAATAATAATAATATATTATTATTATATACCCATATATATATTATATTATACATACATACACATATAATATAATGTACATATATACACGTATATACACATATATATATATTATATATGTGTATATATAAAACATATATATATATATATTAGATATAATATTCATATGCATATATACAAGCTTATTATTATTATAATATAGTCATATACACATATACACATATACATATTAATATTATAAAAGAGACAAATTAGACAAATTGGAATCCGTTTCAATATCCAATTGTGTCCTACAAAATCAATAAATACAGTGCTTCAAGGAAGTACTAAAATTTCAATAACTCAATTGAGTGGGCAAAAGATATTGGATTCAAGTGATTTTTTGTAGAGATGATCTTGGAATAATTATCTTAAAATTAGACGGTTTGGATTAGCAAAATACAATGTGGAGTGAGCCCTACAAAAGTATCCCTCAAATAAGCTTATTTGAGGGATCCCGCAATGGAAGCTATCTGTATATACATATACATATGTCTATATATTATACCCATGTATATATTATAATATATATATACACATATATACATGTATATGTATTATACCCATGTATATATTATGATATACATATATACACCTATTTATTATATGTATTATACCCATGTATATATATATATATATATATATATATATTATAGTATACACACACACACACACACACACACACACACACATATATATATATATATACAGTCCCTTCTATTGATGGATCCCTCAAATAATTTAATTTGAGGGACACCTTTTTAAGGATCCAACATCTATTTTTTAAGTCTACAATCATAGATCATCCTTATAAAAAATTAGACAAATCGGAAACCGTTTCGACATCCAATTGTGTCCTACAAAATCAATGAACACGGTGTTTCAAGAAAGTACTAAAATTTCAATAACTAAATTGAGTGATCAAATGATATCGGATTCAAGTGATTTTTTGTAGAGATGATCTTTGAATGATTATCTAAAAAATAAAATGTTTTGGATTAGTAGAATGCGATGTGGAGTGGGCCTTACGAGGGTGTCCCTCAAATAAGAATCCCTCTCTCTCTCTCTCTCTCTCTCTCTCTCTCTCTCTCTCTCTATATATATATATATATATATTATATTATAAAATACATACATACACGTACATAATATATGTATTTATACATGTATATATTTTTTAAAATAAAAAAATTTAGTCCTAGTCCAAGTATACATCAAACGCAAAATAAGTGTTATCCAACTTAAACCAAACTATGACAGTCCCTAAGCATAGTCTATGCCAAGACAATCAAGTGTAACAAACGAGGCCTAAGAACTCTTGATTGCAGTTAGTTACAACTCAATAAAATAGAAATCATACTTGCAAATTGCGACCAAAGGACCATCATTACAATGAACGAAATCACTCCAAATTTTCCAAGAGAAATAAAAAAGAAAAAACTTGAATGTAATATGGTGTGTTACTTGAATGAACAAAATCACTCCCATTTTTGCACAAAAATCCAACAAAAACTGATCCAATTTGGACCGTGCTCATTCCTATTCACACTAATGCGAGTAACACTACAAAAGGTAGTTACTGACGAAATTCTTAGTGACTAAATTATCAAATGGTCACAAATAGTATCACACCACCAGTGACCAAATATGCGAATTGGGTCACTAATGTTTGTGGACGTCGGTGAAATTGTTTTACACGTTTTCTCTCCACATTTCAGTCACCAATTTTTTTAAGATCACTCATTTTCAGTTTGGTCACTAGAGTTCGAGTACATAGTTGTTCCCCTAAATATAAAAATGGAAGAAAACAACGAATTTGGGGATGAGTTTTTTTTGGGGCGATTGCAAAACCAATTAAAGCATAGAGTAAAAGTCAATTTCATCAATAATTATTTACTTTTTATTTTATTTTTGAAAGTTAATTTACTTTTTCTTATACATTCCATGTCGTCTAGTCCTTATGTTGTCGAAATATAAAACAGAATAGAAATAAAAGGAGAAGAAGAAGACCAATATGTAATCGAATTGCTCGAGTTAGTGTGGTTATAGTCAGATTCATGATCTCAAAAAACTATTGCCTGCTTTCTTTTCGTTTAGTTGTTATTGCTAATCCAACACAGTTTACAATTAATAAACAAAGCAAATCAGCACCCTACTTTTTTTTAAGGGCTTGTCCAATATAGATCCCTACATTTTCTATTTCCTAGACATATACCCATCACTCAATAAATCTATGTGTAAAACCCAATTTCAAATTTAAATGACTAGTAGGATATAAGAGGTCGTAGTATTTCTATGTTTTTACATCATTGCCACCAAACTTCATATTTTATTTATAATTTATTTCAAGCATTTCATTAACTGCCATAATTGTAATTAATATACTCCCTATTAATAGCATATCAATCACCCCATTTCTTTTAGTTGTCATTCCCTCTCACATCTTGCCCCCTAAAATTACAACAACAAAAAAAAATCTGTAAATTACATATCCAATAATGTACCTATGAAAAATATAATATAAATATATACATATAAAATATAGGTATATTATTTACCAAAAAAAAAACAAAGTCAGTTACTTTGTAATTGCATATATTTTTCATAATTAAAAATAGGTACACAATAATTTATATAAAATATAGGTACATTATTTACCCACAGGTAAATTATTTTACAATATACCTGTAAATGTGTATAGGTACATTATTTGGAATAGATAATTATGTACACTTTTCATACTAGGTAAATTATGTTTTTCATAAAACAAACAAGTAATAGGTACATTATTTTTTCAACATAATTAGTATGTACAGTTTTATTCATAAACAATTATAAAGTGGATTATTAGTCATGTATAATTCATAAAAAGAAAATAACATAAACATTTTATTAAACAAACCGATTACCTAAATTTGAATTTATTGTTAAATTTTTTTAAAATTGTTTCAAAATTAATTCCTACATCCATTACAACCATTTGGAGATCTTTCCAAATTCAACATCTGTCATTATATACAATCCAATTAAAAACTGTTTCCATATTGATTCCTACAATGGCTTAGTTGGGGGTATTTTTGGAATATGAAAAGTACAATAAATCAGATTTTATGCTTAATTAGGTAACTTACTGAGTTGGATCCTAGTCATGGGTTTTTACTTATACAAATTGGGTATTATTTATAGGAACAAAAAGTGAAGGGTTTTAGGTACGGCAAATTGAATTTGAAGGGTGTAAGCCAAATTTACTATTTTTTTAATTATTCTCAGAGAAAACCAGATGGATTGCATTAATTATTGTTATATAGATATTGCATGGAACTTCCCTTGTTTGACTTACGTGAGGTAATGGGAGAATAAAAATTATGGAAAATATAAAATAAAATATGTTTCTGATTCTCCAATTGAAGTAGAGAATCCTTACAAATTACCAACGGATACGATGGTACAAGTCATCTCTTAGGTCATTTCATGCTTAAGTGGATAACAAATGGGTAGAAAGTAGAGAAGGTATGAAACAATTTATTTGGCCCCAATCGCCCTAGTTCTCGAAATAGGTCAATAGATTGTATTGAGTGCGAACCTGCTGATATTTACATTTGAGAAAGTCTAATAAATTGAGAAATAATGAAAAACTTTCGCCTCAAGTAACCCGACATCCAATATAATTGCTTCGAGTGGGAAACATTAATTCCTTTTAATGCCTTGTTTGATAGGGCTTTGATCTTTATCTAATGCTAACAAGTAACACGGAAACAACAATAAAATTTCGGTGATGCCCCACATATAAAGTCTCACCATAGAATTAATAAAGGTGGAGCAACCCTTATAGGTCTCACCATAGAATCAAGGTCCGGGCAAAGCCACCATTAGGCTAGTGGGGCCTTTCAGCCCAGTGCGGATGTTTCAAAAGTTAGGAGTTATTTAATGCTAATTTTTGGGAAGTTCACCTTATTTAGGCCTAGTTTGGGATTGCTGCCGCTTTAAAAAAAAAGTTGCTTCTGCTGTGCTTTAAAAAGAATCAGCTGTAAAGTAAAACTGTTAAACGTTTGGTAAACTGTAATTTTAAAAGTGCTGTGAGTATGAAAAACAGTGTCAGAACGTTTGGTAAATTTTACCGTAAAAGTGCTGTAACTATTTATAATGACTAAAATAGACATGATGCTGAAAGTGCTTTTTACTAATCTGAGTTGGAAGTACACCAGATGAAGGTGCCCAAGCATGGTCACCAGTGGCGGTGGTGTTCATGAACATTCTATCAAACTTCTCTTCCATATCAGGACTAATACCCTTTCTACGTAATTTTGCATATTTGGGATTTATTTACAAATCAAAGAGAACAACATTAAAAACTATTACAGATGTTTCATTGAATTATAATAAACAAACAACATTAAAAAATATTAATAACATACCTCAACATTAAAAAATAGATTTCTAACCTAATAAGGGTATTTGTGGAATTGCGAAAATATCATTAAAGGGAGCGCGCTGCTTCAATTAAAAGCAGCTTTAAAAAGCAACCCCGATGTTACTTTTAAAAGCTGCTGTCAAAAGACCATTGCTTTTAAAATAAGCAGGATATTTTATTTTTACCAAACACCTTAAACTGCTTAACTTTAAAGTTAAGCAGGTTTTTGGCCAAAAAAAGCAATCCCAAACGGGGCCTTAGTGGAAATTAGCCCACCGCATATTTTTCAATCTACTTCACCCCAACATCTGCTTAAATATATACATATACACACATTTTTGTGAAAATTTGTGGCTCCTCCTTTGCATAGAATCACAGCGAGGATTGACAGTGAAAGGAAAGCTAATTTTGTTACTCCTGTTTGGGTCACAGAAATGAATTTACTGGAAATCAATCCCCATGTAGTTTCTCATGAGAAGGGAAATTGAATATTCTTTTCCCATGTTTGGTTAGTGCAAGGATTGGAACATATTTTGTTTAGTTGTTCAATTATATCCATAAATTAAAAATATGCATTAAAAGGTGTAATTAATGTTTGCCTTGCTATATATTTTTAATTGTTAATAGTGGTAAATGAGTCTTAAAAATTTGTAATTAAAGCTTGCTTTGGTTTCTATGAGGAGGGAAAATGAAACCCAAGATAGATGGAGGGTTTCATTTTCCCCCATATTTTCTTATGGCTCATAGGAATACACATTTCCCAACCCTGGGCTTACCAAATATGGGAAGAAAATAATTTCTCATTCCCATCCCTTTTTCCATGAACCAAACGCAGCCTAACATCTTGTATATGATTCTAAGGCCCCGTTTGGGATTGCTTTTTTTGGCCAAAAATCTGCTTCACTTTAAAGTTAAACAGTTTAAGGTGTTTGGTAAAAATGAAATATCTCGATTATTTTAAAAGCAGTGGCCTTTTGACAGCAGCTTTTAAAAGCAGTCTGGGTTGCTTTTCAAAGCTACTTTTAAAAAAGCAGATATGAGCCTCTAATGAATTTTTTTAATTCCCAAAATACCATCATTAATTTTTAAAATCAGGCCGCCTCCACCTCTACATCCAACTCCACCACCAACACTGCCACCGCCACCGCCACCACCACCACATCCTCCTCCTCCTTCACCACCGCTACCACCACAACTTCCACCTACACCTCCACCACCACCACCACCACCTTCTCGTCAACCTCCACCACCTCTATCACAACCACCTCCACCTCCACTTCCACAACCACCACCTCTTTCACCACCACTTTCACCTCCATCTCTTTCACCACCACTACCACCATATAATTAGCACATAATGCTTTCAACATCTTGTCTATTTTAGTCATTATTCACAGGTATAACAATTTTATATTAAAATTTACCAAACGGTTTTGACACTGCTTTTTGTATTAACAACACTTTTAAAATATTGTTTACTAAACATGGAGCTGCTTTACTTTATAGCTAATTACAGCAGAATCAACTTTTTTAAAAGTGACAACAATCCCAAACTGGCCCTAATTAATGCTTGTAAAAACGTTTTGCTACAGAGTTTTGAGTCTTTAGAAACTTTTTCTCTAGTTTATGTTATTTATGTATTAGTGGAATAACGATTTACTCTGAGTGCATCTCCACCAAATCTGAAACTCAACCAAGTAAAGTTATACATCCAATGAATCATTATTTTCAATAAAAACCCTAGGATTGACACAAGAGTAACCTACAAACACGAATCTGACACGTATACAAATTCGAAGTTGAAGAAACAAGAATCGAATAGCATAAGTTAGTGCGAATAGTTTAAATAGATTTGGGATTATGGTTAAGTGTCTCCGTGATACGTAACAATAGTGACTTATGAAAAGAAGCACACGGCATATACCATTATACGTGTGTGGTGTGGAGAATCAACAATTGCTGTTGTTGTTGCTGCATATGATTAAGTAAAGCTTAGTGGTTGCCATGCATGCAGATCAGGCCTGTAATTTAATTAAACCCAATAACTAATGGGCATAAATTATTTGATATTTTCATTAATAAAATACATTATTGAGCTTTTTTCACACGATTTTTATTTCATTATATATATATATATATATATAATCTCCTTCTATTGAGAGATACTTCAAATAATTTTATTTGAGGGAAACCCTTTACGGTATCCTACAAATTTTTTTTTAACGATCCAAATTATCTATTTTTTAAGTCTTCATTCGTAGATCATTCTTGCAAAAAATTAGACAAATCAGAAACTGTTTAGACATCTAATTGTTTCCTATAAAATCAATGAACACAGTGCTTCAAGAAAATACTAAAATTTCAATACTTTAATTGAGTGATCAAATAATATCGGATTCAAATGATTTTTTATTTATAGAAATGATCTTTGAATGAATATTCACAAAATAGATGGTTTAGATTAGTGAAATACAATGCGACGAACGCCCTATAAGAGTGTCCCTCAAATAAGCTTATTTGAGAAATCATTCAATAGAAGCGCTCGATATATATATATATATATATATATATATATTTGATGAGTAGGATCAGCACTACAAGATGATGTCCCCAATTTGGCACTCATACATATGGATTAGGATCCAACTAAAACAAGAAGGAATTTAGGAATTAGTTCTGAACTTATTTTATTTATTGAAGTTAGGGGGAGTAATTAAATGTTTGCTTTGAATCAATGCCAAGAATACTTTTTAGAGCAATGAGATTCTGAGTGGAATTGAAACCTGTTTGGGACATTTCTAGAACTGATACAGTGCAAAGAGAATTCTAGACTTGGCACACTTGTATCTATTATTGATATTTCAACATGTGCAAAAGCTAAGCACATGCAATGTATTAGATATATATCTGCATACTTTTGTGCATATTAGCATGATTCAAGTATAGTACTTGGCTAAAGTAATGTGTATGCATTTCTCTTTTGATAATTCTTAAGTTGTGAAAGTCAAATGAAATGCTCAAACTTTCAGATTAGCTACCTAATAGTGCTTGCTTATATATAAATGGAATCTAATTAAAGGTTGGAGAAAAATGCGATTGACATTAGTAAGGATATTTTGTCTTTTCAAGGAGTTGTTGCAATTTGCACTCTAAAATGATCATTATGCATTTCTTTAAATAAATAAAAAACTATTTCAATCCCATTTCATGTATGCGAGTTTTAATAGAAATCTCACTACAAGATTACAAAAATGGATATTATAATAATAAAGTGGAGAGCCAACGGGGTGTAGTCGAGTGAAAAAAGGTCTTGACTTACATATGAGTGGTCTTATGTTTTAACCTCCGTGACACCTTAGTATTGTGTGTGTGAGAAACTCATCTCCCCTTATATAATTTAGACTATCACTTGCATTCATAAAAAGAGGAATTGAAAATAATTATTTTGGAGTGCCAATATATCCACTACATTTTTTTATATGCTAAATGAAGGAAGAAAGAAATGCGTTAAGAAAGAGCAATAACATCATACAGATTTGTTCGACATAAAAAAGTTAATGTGTATGCATTTCTCTTTTGATCATTTTTAAGTTGTCAAAGTGCATAGTTTTCCTCAAATGAAATGCTCAATCTTCCGGATTAGCTACCCCAATTCCAATAGTGCTTGCTTATATGGAAATGGAATCTAATTACAGGTTGGAGAAAAAGGTGATTGGCATTAATAAGGATCTTTTGTCTTTTCAGTCAGTTGCTACAATTTGCACTCTAAAATGATCATCATGCACTTCACATTTTTATTTTTTATTTTTACTATTTCAATCCCATTTCATGGATGCAAGTTTTAATAGAAATCTCATTATTCGAGTTTCAATTTTTTTTAATATATATAATGATAAGATTAAAAAAAATGGAGATTAATAATAAAGAGAGGCGTGAAGAGTATGGTGTAGCCCGGTGAAAAAATGTATTGATTTAGAGACTAGTGGTTTCAAGTTCGAACCTCCATGATACCTTAGTAGTGTGCGTGTGAGAAAATCCTCTCCCCTTATAATACTTTTGGAGTGCCAATGTATCAACTACATTTTTTTCATATGCTAAATGGAGGAAGAAAGAAATGCGTTAAGAAAGAGCAATACAATCGTGCAGATTTGTTGGATATAAAAAAGTTAAGCTGCAAACGTAGATTCTTATTCATTTCATATAAAAATAATAAAGCCATAATTTGACATGATTATAAAATAATTTCTGAGAATCCGAAAATGGTTGGATTAAGTACTAAACCCTAGGAGCCTCTCCACCTAAATATCTTATACTTTCAATTGGCGATTAATTAATTGCTTAGTACACATTAATCCTTGATAGCTAAGTAATTGGCCACTACCTCCATTACTTGCTTAATGAGAGAATGTTCTGTCAATGTTGAGGCACACAGTGCAAACTTGGCAAGGTGGATATCAGTATGCTTTATCAATTATAGAAAAAACATGTAGTGGGTTTAAGCAAATTCCCTTTGCTTATGTCAAAATGGATAAGGTTCATAGTATTGCTGCCATCATCTAAAATATATCTCCATAGTCTACTAGTATCATTTGTTTTCCCCTTAATTGTGATATCTGGGGGGAGAGAGAGAGAGAGAGAGAGAGAGAGAGAGAGAGAGAGAGAGAAATATCAAATCCAATTTGTGCATGTAATATCAAGAGACTTGTCAACCATTTGTGGGAGGGAATATATAGATGCAAATCTTGTTGCGTAATTGATGATGTGAACGGCAGATGAGATCCATACATAGCTGTGGGAGATATTCTTTGTAATAAGGAATTAATGCAACTTGTCCACTTAAATATGCTGTGTGGGAGTCCAATGGATAAACGAATTAAGTACAGATCCTATGACACTACTGTTTCATGAAATTTGAAGGCATTCTCTCCATGAAATTGGTCGGAAAGATACAAATTCAGAGGGCTTGGAGGCTCGAAGGGGCATTTAGATTTTCTATCATTTGACATATTGATCTTTACTAGGCCATATGTTAAATTAATTAGATTTTGATTTTAGCCATTCTAATTAGGTATATTATTGTGACAATACATGTATGTAGTACATTATACCTACGTATGGTAGTGTAATATATAGTATACTTAGAATATAATATATTTACGTGTACATTCATAATAATTTTTTTTAATAAAGGATCAAAATCAAACACCAGAGTTTAATGAAAGATCATCTTATCTAACAACATGGTTTAATGAAAATAATAATAATCTTGTTTAGTCAAAATCAAAACCTATTCTTTGTGCCAACAGGACCAGTGGAAAAGGGCCTTAATGAACTTGTACACCAGTAGTCTCTCATGACACCTTGGTTGTATGTGTGTGTGAGAGAAACTCTCATCTCCTTGTAGTTTATATTATCGCTTGTATAAAAGAGACTTACTCCTTGTATTAAAAAGACGTACGAAAAAACCATATGTATATGGTGTACTATATGTGGGTGTGTGTGATTATTAATATAGAGCACTTATAGACAGAATATTGTTTTTTTCACTAACAGGAGGACAATTATTGCTTATAGAACAAACAATAAAACCAAGCATTATTGTTTGCTTGAATATTTAAATCGCATTTCTCAACCAGAAAAAAATATATTTAAATCGCAAATGAACAAATGTTTTCTTTTTCTTTTGGACATATGAAAATTGAGAAACTTTTGAAATAGGTACTTTGCAAGGCATGCACTAAATGATCACAAGATTATAAAAGTATACACATAATAATGCATTACATTTGTCAGGTGCCAAGAGATAGCGAAAGAATAGCCATTGCAGCATGAAATTGACAGCCATTTGCTATGCATCATCTTCCAATACGGCTTTTAACTTTCTTACAAGCACCAAGACCAAAATGGCATCTTTAAAAATTATAAAGTATCAAGCAAGAAGTTAAGAACAGGGCTTTAAGTTTGTCTTCATAATGGGCGCACAAGATTAAAAGAAAAACTCATCTTTCAACAATACAATATTATAGACGCATGATAACCATATATATATACATTTTTTTCGCTATTGTACAGCAGTTTTACTGGATTGACACTGTTAAACTGAGCGTTTCCTAATCTTGTTTGTATTGGTTGAACAGGTGAACCCTAATAAAATCGGCTCGATTGAAACTTCTTCGATGCTTAAGTCAGTAGAAAAAGTTGCATATCCAGAAGAGTAATCCTATTGGTGTGGGGTTCTCTTCCCTAATGAGGATTGAATGCCCATAAAGAGTTAGAGATCGCCGACATAACAGAAACATTCAAGCAAAATATTAATTAACTACCTATTTCGAATGAAAAGAGCGATAAGCTCTACAAGATACCATTCTCATGTACGCTTTATACTACAGAATAGAACCATTGAGTGTGATTTTACGTATCCAGAAGCCTCTATGCCTAAACGAGAGAACATTCCCCCAACCCTCTTCGTATGTAAAAAAAAATTAAAAAATTAAAAATTAACAAGAACAAGTCTGAAAATATATACATGCTTTATTCTTTGACAAGTTTTGCTTTATTCTCTAACTGGTTCAGGTTGCTGAAAGGCCCAAGATTCAAATGATCTAAAAACAACTTGAAATAATGATTTCGGGCAAGGGTGGAGCTAGAAGTTTTCACACGATTGGGCTGTAATTTTTTTTTCTCTTTTGTCTATATTATTTTATTATAAAAATATTGATTTTTATAAAGTGTTTCCTGGAAAAGCATTTGGGAGAGCTTCTTGAAGCAGCACATAGCATATGCTTTTCCAGAAAGCGCTTCTTAACTTTTCTGCCAAACTCTATCAGAAGCGCTTTTAATCTTTCCAGAAGAACTCCCAAACAGACCCTCATGTGCACTAAATTGTTGTATTTTCAAAAATGGGATGGAACCCACCCGAGCCTAAGGGTGGCTCCGGCCTTAGCTGAATATAATTTTAATGATAAAATAAAAATAAATAGAAGATCTGAAATCTTCCAAAATAGTATCTTACTGTACAGATTTTGCTATGATTGATGGAGGAATCATTTGGGTGCTGGATCGATATAACTAGCTAGTCGTGGAATTTGTTGTATCAAGGGAATTTAAATGGAGGCAGCATCAGATGCAAATATCGGGTGTCCAAATAAGATTCGGGGAACATAACAAGCCAAGATGGATTCAACTAGATCCCCCCCCCCCCCCACATCGAAGTGTCTACCACGCACGCATGTAGTACTCCTCAGTGGAATCTGAATCAGACGTCAGCAACTGTCCCACGTGTAAAAACAGACAAAAATGTCCAACTAAAAGAGGAGAGAGAGAGAGAGAGAGAGAGAGAGAGAGAGAGAGAGAGAGAGCAAGTTTGAAAATTGTGAAAGCAGAGGGTTTGTGATTCTCTTAATTGCCATTAGCTCAAAATCATTACAATATTAGATTACATGGATGATACAGCAAAACCCCATAAGGTTTGAAAACTAGAACTTTTAAGAAAATGAGGTGCTGAAAAGACAAAAAAGCCCATTTCCATGCATATTCTCTTGATCTGTTTAGGCGCTTGGCTTTGGGTTGGCTTTCATGCCGGGTTCTGGGATGGGCATCGAAATAGCAACTGAGGAGAGCTTGTTAGCTTCAGCATCTCCGTTAATGGTCGACATCGATACGCCGTTGACATGTGAACCTTTAATCACCTCCGGTATCTCCTCTTTAATCTCCAATCCTTCTTTGTGTTTTCCCCACAGGACTGAGTAAAGGCCAAAGACAATCAATACGGCTCCGAGCACACTGCAGGAAGAAGCGAAGTTAATTAATCAGTGGACTTGAAATAATAAAATAAGATTAAACGTATTAAAATTACGAGGGTAACGCTATCGCAATTTAATTACTATATAGCTTCTCGCACTCCAAACTGAATATTTTATTATTTTCATAAATCTCGAGCCATGTTATACATGATTCGTCAAAATAAAATCTTGTGAGAAACATATGAATATATATGTGTATTTTAATAGAGAATTGTGTTTGTGGAGAAGGATGCTAGAAGGGGATTAACAACTAATATCCTAGAGATGCATGCATGAGAGCATGCATAGATGCAAGAAAAGGTTGATGGGAACAGAAAATTACCTTCCAAGAAATATTTGTTCTGCCAAGATGAAGGAGCCCATGATTGCTACAATGATCATCATCAAAGGGCTAAAAGCAGTTGCAAATACAGGCCCCCTTGTCTTCATCACTAGCCCTTGCACATAGTATGAAATGCTTGATGTGACAATCCCCTTTAAGAAATTGAAAAAGGAAAAACAAAAAGTTAGTGTGATTATTAACGAATGAAATTGAGAGAGAGAGAGAGAGAGAGAGAGAGAGAGAGAGAGAGAGAGAGAGAGACATACAGCATAGGCAGCAGCATGTCAAAGCCAATTTTCCAGACAGAGGGTTTGTGCTCCATCACAAAGGTAACAGCAATAGCTTGCAGAGTGCCAATAAAGCACACCATTGATGTGAGAGACAGCTGATGATTCCTGTAGGTCTGCAACGCCTTGTTCTGTTGTTCAATGGGTAACAAACAAAACAAAAATGTTCATATTAATTTACTTTCTTTGGAAAATAAAAAAATGAAAAAGAAAAATGGTTTTTTTTTCTTTGGCTCTGCGACCACTTACTTGTAGAACAAACAAAGAAGCCCAGGCAAGAGTAGCAATGGTGAGGAGAATGGAGCCCAAAAACCAGTGCTTGTCACCAGTTCCAGTGGTGTCTGTGACATAAGATTTTCGTGGATGAATATATTTGGACCACAACATCTCTACAATGGGGCCTTTGTATAAGGTCATCAACATGGCCCCAGCCACTGTCAATACGGTTCCCACTACCTTCGCTTGACACCTTACTTTCTTCATGTCTAGCTTTTCCATCCTTTTGATTCCACCAAATCAAAGTAACATAATTAATTCATGATCATCGGCCGCAATTATTAGCATTCAAAAGAAATTATTTGCTTACCTGCATATGACGGCCATGACGAAAGTCATCGCCGGGAGCATGTTGCTCATGGCACAAGAGAATGTCGGAGACGTATATTTCAACCCAGCATAGTAGAAGTTCTGGTCAATCACCGGCCTACAAAACGAAAGGGGTATAAAATTAGAAAAATGCCATTATCATTAAGGGTGCTGCAAATTGTTTTGCCAGATAGTTTGCCAACGTTAATGTCAGACTGTCTAGTAAAAGAATATTTGCGTATGATTAAAAATGGTAATTAGTAACTAACCCGAGAAGAGCGAGGACAAATATTTGCATGAAAATTGGGAGAGTAATTTTGGGTTGAGCCTTCCTGAAATGAGTAGAAATAAACAATATATTTAAGATCATATCAAAGTTTTGTCAAGTTATTGACCAAGAAGGCCATTTCTAAAAGACTACTAGTACTACTGCTTCATATTCACACCTCTCAAAAAAGAAGGCGAAGGGGGCTATAACAGCAGTGGCAAAGGCATGGCGGTAAACCACAAGAACATAGTGGCTCATTCCTCTGTTGAGAGAGACTTTGGTAATGATATTCATTCCGGCGTAGCCGAATTGAAGAGAGATCATTGCAAAATAGGGTTTGGAGCTTTCAAGGAAGCTGCTAAAGCAACCAGCTTTCGCCATTTTTGAAGAAGGAAAGTTTAGAGGACTTTGCTAGTAGAAATATAGAAGACAGAGAGAAAACACTCAAAGAAATTGTGTTTCTCCCTAGAGACAAGTGAGGGGAATGCCCGCATATTTATACAGGAGGGAGAGAACTGTGCTTGTTGTGCCAGTGACTTTATTTAATAAAAGATATAAAAACAATGTTCGTCACCTCACTCTCAACTTGCTGCTCAACTATCAGAATTTACACCATCCATCCACTATACAAATATTGTCGGAAAGAAATGAAGCCAACTCTACATCCTTTTGTTTTTGTTTTTTGTTTTTCCATTAGCACACTTCTAGCGATTCCTCAGCGAATCATATCTCTTTTAATTATTTTTTTGGGGGTTACAAATCTATCCCATAGTGTGAATGGAAAATGAGTGTAGTTTCATTATAATCTTATTTTTATTTTTTAATAGAGATCAGAATGATGTCGTATTGGAATATTCGTAAATTTGGCATGGATGCTAGATGGCTAATTAAAGCTAAATCAAATGGTTAATTAATCTTGTTGTGTTTAGAAATTTATAATCTATTTCTCAACAAAACTAATTACTCATATGCTATAATAAAAAAGAAAAAATTAATAATCAGAGTTGGACGATACACCTTTTTTCTCATAAAATACCTTCTTCTTTTTTATACTTTTCTATTTATTTATTAAAGTTTAGTAAATGAAATTCCATATATTCTTTAGTTAATCACTTTTGTGGTGTCAAGTTGGCCGATTACACATTTCATTTTATTTCTAAGCCTATGAGATACTTTTCACCATAAGTTTTCTTCATAAAGTATGTGGTAGTAGATATTGACACATGTATACCAAGTTGTCATCATCTTAATTTGTAAACTAAAGAGTCTAGCAGTATTCTGCAAGAGTATTATCCTTGTACTCGAGATTTTAGATTTGATTTTTCTCTTTGGTAATATCGCCTGTAAGAATATTTATCCTCTATCATGCATTCTAAATATGCTTCGGCATTCTTATTACCCATATGAAAAATTTATCAGAGAAAATTAACCATTTCTATATATTATTAAGGTAATTAAAATACAGGTTGGGCTATAGGTTTGGCATGATATGAGCTGGGAAAGGTGCGTTACATGTGTTCTTTTGTGGACAAGGCATTGAAAGTAATAAAAGTGGTGAAGGTGTAGTAAGCTTTTGATGACATAGAGCCCATTGCGAATAAAGTAATAGGCCCGAATAATTGCATGACGTACGTAGGTTTTGTCTCAACAAATCAACACCCTCGGATCCATCCAACTTTAAATTGTGAAAGCCAAATCACAATATAAAAACTCACATCCATCATAGTCCTTATGCATGGATATCTCACTTCAAAAATATTAATCATAATAATTAATTAAAATAATTAATTTAAAAAAAATATAGCTACTCACCACACCGGCGGCCATTTTACTTGTATCCCTTTTTTTTTATTTTTTATCATCTTCTTTGTTCAGTTTATAAAATGGTAATGAGAGTGCTCGTAAGACGCGGACAATTTTTTATTTGGTGATGTGTGAACATTTATGGTAGGTGGGTGTTGCCACATTAGATAGTAGATAGTTCTGATACCAAATCAATTGACAATAAACAGATGCTCACGAACTTTTCAGCTCTTACGCTAAGACTTCCATATTTTAATGTGCGATATTTTTAACCTGTTCAACTCTCATCCAAAATTACTACTTATAAAAGTACAATCATTAAATGAATGAGCAAACGCTTGTATATCATCCATTTTCTTTATGACGAGTGGAGGTTTTATCCTCAGTTCCAACCTGTTGATGAATCAGTGGCCACCTGGAAACTTTAATTTGGGACATAACGTTAATATCCGTAGCTTATTCAGCATGCAAAAAGCTTTAGGGGTCTGAGTACTCGAATTATAACTTGCAAAAAAAAATAAAAAAAGATATTTAAGGAAGAACCCTAAACAAACAAACTTGTCATCTGAAATATTATTCACGTTGTTTGATATATAACACGGCATCCTACTGGTATACGAACGCACCAAAATTACACCACGTCGACATATCACAATGAGGTATCAAATATACATTTTAAATTTTACAAATTTATAAATAAACTCAATCCTAAACATGTATTTATAAAAAAACTCAAGTACTATTTAAACATAGAAACACACCCAAAATCAACCCCAAAGTCAACTTTTTGGGTGTGTTTATAAATGGGTTTTGAGTGTGTGTAATGATGGGTTTTGGGTGTGTTTATATGTTTAAATAGTGCTTGGGTTTTTTTATAATTTCAACCCCCATTTTGGGTGTTTTAGTGAAATTCCCTTTTAATTTTTCCATTCTGAAGGAATTTGAGGTTCATTAGCAGTGTCCTATTTGTCACATGGAAACTTTTTCTTGGATTTTATTTTTTATTTCTTTAATTTCAAAAAATACTACCAACAATTCATTAATTCGACTAACTAGGAGGATTTCAGCCATAAATTCTTTGTTCCATGGGAGCAGAGGAAAAGCAGTATGTACAATATCAAGTAGCTCTCACTCTCAGATGAAATCAAGTGGAGCTAGCACCAACGGAGTTTTTATATAAATGGGCGTCTAATCATCACCCAATCGTCTCAAATGATTTGTGATATCGCATGCGGGCAATAGGCGCAGTTCTGAAAAAAGCTTCTGAGGAATGTTCAATACAATCTCAGCGGGAACACAATCTTTTGATATATACTAGGCCAAAAACACTTGCCTTCTTCCCTTGTTCTCTTGGAAGTAGAAACTCCTATTATTTTGCCAATATCAGTTTGACATGTACGTGAATAATTTTTTATGTGCTTTTTATAGATTATTTTGCGTATGTGTCAAACTGTAACTTGCAAGTAAAAGTAATGCTTTCTTCGAGGAAAGGAGACAAGCAGTGTCCATATACTTGGTCACTAAATCAATGTGCAACATACACGTCTCTGTGTGAGGCCCGACAAATTTCTGAAGATTTGAACAAATGGACAATGGAGATAAAAGCAAAAGGATGTGCGATCAACAAGTGGTTTGCTCATTTTGTTTGCCTTCCATGTCGAAATGAAAGGGAGATAAGCGTTGGTCTAGGACAATTATAGCAAACCATGTTAAGGGCTAGGCAAAGGAGTTGTCAGTGTTTCAAGGCATTCGAAAAAATGTCTGATGGGACTCCAATTCAGTGCAAGTGTGGTGTGCCGGCCGGTGAAGTGGGGGGAAGTGGATTTCTGTGTATGGCCCACAAATGCTTTAAATGTGTTGGAACTTATGAGGCACTTGTCTAGGGAAGAAAACAAAGCTGTTTTTCTTATCTTTCTTTGTCTGATTTTACTTTCTTTCTTCTTAATTTCTTCCATTTCAAAATTTTTATTTTTTTTTCTTGTCGACATTGTTTGTGTAAGTAACTGGCTTGGCATTTGTCTACAAGGCCTCTATTGGAGTAAGAGATAACTTTCATGATACCCTATCCAAAATCTTTGGAGTGTTATCCCTTGCTAGTGCCATGAAGTAACCCCTACACATTTAGTTTCCTTGTGATGATTATAAATAAGATCCAAATTGTATGTATACAAACATACTATAGCTACTACAACAAAAACTTAAAAAGAAGTCGGTGAAAAATCAGTGTCTTTATTGATTCAAAGCCGTAGTCTATTCTACCAACATCTTTTTACTCCCCAACTATGAGGATTTTTCACCGTCATTGTTTTGATTATAAACAATGGTACATATTCTAAAAAGCGTCGTTGGTTTATTATAGACAACAATTTGAGTACAGAATTGTCGTTAATTTGATTTACAAACAACGGTACATATTCTAAAATCAACGTCATAAAATCTATTTAAGTCGTTTAATAATTTTGCATCATCGTCTTACGTTCTATACGGTTGTGGCATAACCTACTGTTGAGATAGACTTATGGATACGACGGTTTGTTTGAGATGACCCATTGTGAAAAGCGATGTTACATGTCAATTTTCATGTCTTAATATAGGACTATACAACAGTTATAACAACAAAACCGTTGTACTTTACAAGCAACCATAATGCAATGCTAACAATAAATTGAGGTTCAATATGCTATACCGGCCACACTTATACAATTACCCACACTTATAGTGTGGTTCCATCCATATACTCAAGTTGTTTTTTTTTCATAGAAGTTCATTAATGAATTTCTGTGTAACAATTATTGACATATAAACAAAGTATTTAATCTTTACATCCACCTATTCACGCAACCAAATTTGTCAAATGAAAACAATGAATAATGCTTTTTCTCATATTCTGTAAAATACAAAATAGCTATTATTCAAATATATCAAGTCAGAGTGACATTGTTTTCATATAGTTGATGTGCTAGAAGATTCAGACTGCATGTTCTCTAGGGTTAGGGTTAGGGTTTTGCTACCCTCGCTCTCCGCTTGTTGAAGCCCATGTCGCATCTCCTTTCTTTAGGCATTAGTTGGCGTCCTCCAGTTTAAAGGCCGCTTCTGTTGGTGTCAACTAGTCTTGGGTGGTTCTCCTATCGCTTGCTCTTGTTCCTCTATGTCAGTCACTAGTGGTTGGGTTCTCTTCAGTGTCTACTGTTGGTTCTTCTTGGATCTTTGTTTGGCTAGTTGGTTTTTACCGACTCTGTTTCCTTCGTCTTCTTGGCTTCTGTATCTTTTGGTTCCTTCGTCTCGGTTTTGCTTTGTGGGTTGGTTTTCTTGGCTGTAGTAGGAATCAAAGGCTAGGGTTTTGCTTTGCGGTTGTGGTATTTTTCAATTGGTTACTATTTGTGGTGCCCATATCCGCTATTCTATTATTGCTGTCATGTCCCTTCTGGTTAATGATCGGGATGTTGTTGTTGATAAGATTGAGTGCTCTTTCAGGAGTCGCCTGGTCCTCACCCTACGTGAACAGGTTGGTGTAGTTATTGGCCCCTCCCTCATTTTTTATAGTTTCATTGGATTTATCTATAGATTCTGGGTGCGTTTTGTTAGTGATCGAGATAAGAAACATGTTCTTGGCATGGAACCATGGGTGTATTGATGTTCCTTGGTCTTGTTGGTTGATCTCCAACATAATGGTAATATGCATTCGATGTCTCTGAAGCATAGTTCCCTTTTGGGTCTAGTTACATGGTGTCTTCATTTTCTATATGATAGTTGCAATTGCTCGGGTTATGGTGTTATATTGTGGGAGGTTATTCGAGTGGATAATCGTGATGGTTCTGATTGTGTGGGTCACTTCATCTGTCTCTGTATGGGTTTTGATGTCACTTTGCCTCTCCTTCGTCGAACACTGGTCACCTTTCCGGAAGTTTGGGAAAATATGTTGGAGTTCAAATATGAGTATCTCCTTGAGTACTCATGTGTGTATCAAGAAATATGAAGCTACGCATGGCCTTCTCACTCCATGTTTGTCTGCATATCTGACCTCTGTTTTTGTGGACTTGGAAGGCACTACCAATTTATGGGATAAACCTATTGGCTCTTTGGCTCGCTGGTCCTCGGCTATTTCCTTTTCTTCTTAGGGACATGGTACTTCTTCCTAGGCTGGCTCAACTGACCAGGGTAGTCATACTAATCGGCCATGGCGTTCTCATTCCCGTGATAGCGATGAGTTCGTGGGATTCTGTCTCACCTCTTACTTTATCATGCTGTCATAAGGTTTGGAGGCCATTGATTCTCTCCATTGACAGGCTGGTCTCAATGAGGATGACACTCGTTTCTTGGCACTACCTCCACCGATTCTCTGTGGGGTCGATGATGGGATCCCTTCCCGTGGATATTCCCCTAGGTCGATTCTCTCCATGGATATCCCCCCTAGACTGGTCCCTTCTCCTGTACACTCTACCCTTTTGTAGGATGTGCCTATTTTACAGGATCTTGATGTTCCGCCTGACTTGGTTGTCTCACCTGATTTGGGGGCTACCTCTCGGGATTGTGTGAATTCAGATCTTTCTGAGCCTTTTGCTATCATGCTTTATCATCTAGTTCGCTTCTGTTCTATCAAAAAAGAAAAGTCAGGGTCGACCCAAAAAAGGTGAGGAGGGTCCTTGGAGTGTCGCTGGTAAAACTAGAGTCAAACATAAGCAACCTAAGGAGGAGGTTATAGGTGGTGCTCTCTTGCTGCATGTTGTGGGTTGTGCTAGTCCTAAATGTTTCTGCAGTACTAGTGTTGTTCAATCTAATAAGGCTCAAGAGAATGCTATGGTGGGGTCTCTTGGGAAAGCCCTTAGTCTGCCGCTGGAGTGTTCGTGAGCTTGGCAACCAACAAATGCTCTTTGCCCAAAATTCTTTATTCATGTTAAGTCGCTCGTGTGGGGTCCTAATTGTTTTATTGTTTGCAGTGGAGTTTTGTAGTCCTTCTGTCTTTCCCTGGTTCTGTTGATCCCTTGCAACCATTCTTTGCAATACACCGACCGAAGAACTATGTTTGACCATAAGAGGCTTTCTTTGTCGAGTTTCTGAGTTGAAGTGGGTTGCCTCTCAGGGGTTCTTCCTTATTGTCTTATGTGTTCTCCCTCTGTGCCCTCTCCTAGTTTCTATTGTTAGTTGTCTTGCCGTTTGTGCGGGTGTTAAAGGACTAAGAGCTTCACTTCATAGAAGGCTTCTTTTGAAAGGTTGAGATGTTTTGTGGCCCTATCTTGTGGGCTGTTTTGCTGGTCTCTGTTCAATGTTTTGTTTGTAACGGTCTTTATTGTTTTGTGTCGAACTCTCTTGTTAGTCCACAGCATGTATGACACTCTTTCCTACCTTAGAGTTTGTCCCATGTGATTTTCTTAGGATGGTTTTAATGAGGTTACTAGTAGCATGTCGGTCTTTGTATGCCTTTTTGGGTTTATGAATGAAATCTTTTTAAAAAAAAAAAAAAAAAAAAAAAAAAAAAAAAAAAAAAAACACTACTACAAAAAAGGCAAAAGACGACGGGAATTCACCGGAATCGTGTATTCGGTTTTCAAATGGTCATGAAATCGACCGACATCTTTTCCAAAATCAAACCACGACGATAAATCCTCGTCGTTGTTAAAACAAACAACGTCATTAACAAATACCAACCAACGTCTGTGTCTTGAAAAATGAGCTAAAAAAACAGTCAATGATAAGAATAGACGACCAATTCTAACAAACAAACGTCGTTTAAAAGGCAACATATGACATATTTTAACAGAACATGGCCGCAAGAGATACGTACAACGACGGGAACTAAAACCCACAGCCGTTAAATATACCTTTCACGACACATACAACTATGACGTCTTTAAATACATAATCGACGACGTTATTGATTCCTACTACGTCACCAGAATTTCTACAACCGTCGTGAAATAAATTTTCCACTTCGATTTTTCCATCAATGATGACGTGGAAATAGATGTTAGGGTCATTACTTACGACGCATGTATTTCTACAGACGACGTTGTACTTAATAAACAATGTCGGGTCCGAATAAATGAGAGTTGTATTACATAATTTATACGTCATCTTTTAAAATATAATCGTCGTCTAATGCATCTAAAACGGCAACGTTTCTCAGTCGATCGCCGTGTAAAACTATTTTAACGACATGATCTGAAAATAAACGACTTGGAAAATATGTTGGGATCATTACTTACGACACATTCATTTATACAGAGGACGTTTTGTTAATATACAACGTCGTTATTATGTAAAAGACAACCGTGTTTCAGAATTTATACATCATCATTACTAAAATTATGGTCGTCTAATATGTATGAGACGGCGTTGTTTATCCTATATTCGCCGTTGTAAAGTCATTTTAATGACATGATCATAAGAAAAGAGACATGGATACATTCATATAACGTTGCTTTTGTAAAGGAATGACGTCCAAATATATCTTAACGTCGACAAATTTACCAATGAATTTCAAATACCGTTGTGAATTAATCCTTTTCCACTTCGTTTATGAGAGAACAAGCGACGTGGTAAAATTAAGACGAGGATTTTTGATTTGATACGGACGAGTTCATAATCTAAGACGTCGTCTTTTGTAAAGTTCAGGTTAGATATCTCATCTTTTAGACGTCGGTATTATGGGATTAGAGTCGTGTTATTTGGAATTACATGGCGGCTCTTTATGCTTCTCCGACGTGATATCCTTAATAACTGTTTCACAATAGCGTCGTGGTTCTTCATTGTTACGTTGCTTTAAGACTTCGGTAAATATATTGCGGTCGTTGAATGCTCCAAAACGTCGTTTTTTATGACAATTTTATTAAAACAGACGTATGTTTTTTCACATTTTTATCAAGACCGTCATGTTTGTAATCTTGAACCAGTATTTTTTGTACTAATTGTTTTGTGGCCAAAACCTAAATAATGAAAGTGAAGAAATCACATTACAATATATTACAAAATTAATGTCATACACTGCCATAAGTAATTTCATAAATTACATAAGCATCATTCAATCCATATATCTTCACACCCATCTCGAATATTTTGACTCCCAAACTCACCCACCAGTTCATCAAATGTGTCAACATTTGGTATCCCTCTAGTAAATGGCTCACACTCAATTCTCACACCACCTAAGACATCATCACCAATAACATCATTATATTCTCTATTAGGCATTGATAACACTATCGACCAACCACGATGCATCGGGTCGTCAACAAAAAATACTTGTTTGACTTGAGAAGCCAAAACAAATTGGTCATTCCTATGTCCAATTTACTCAAATCTACAAGGGTAAATCCAAGTTCGTCGACTACAAGATCAGAAGTACTATCTATCCAATCACACCTAAAGACTGGGATTATAAACTTTTGGTAGGCAAGGTCCCAAATTTTTTAAATGACACCATAGAAACCCATATTTGAGAGAATTGCATGGTATGTGCAAGTAAATAAACTCCACTATTTTGAGTTGTCCACACATCATCTTGTGCCTTGATGTTAAATTTAATACCTTTAATAAGATAGCTCCTATATGATGGCACTACCATGTTTGGACCAGCTGCTAGCCACCTTAAATTTTCTGATACGCCATGATTGTCTTCCTCATTAAGTTCACTTTGAACCTGAAAATTAATCGTATCTTAATTCAATCTAACATAGAAAGAAGAAAATTAAAATCCAATATGTTATTCAATAACATATACCTTTAAGCGTAGCCATTGAATGAAAGTGCTATTGTGCTTATCTTGCATCCACTTTGTTCTCTTTCTAAATTTTGGATAAGCGGTCTTGATGTGGATCATATGTTGCCACATGACACGAAAAATTCAAGCATTACGGTCCCAAACATATAAGATAAACATAAGAAATAATTTAAAATGGAAACTTAAAGAATAAAACTCATACGTACTCGATATAAGGTAGGACTTCCTCCGTATTCTCCAAGACATATAGATGTGTTTGGTTCAACAGGTCCCGATCAACTACACTCACTGTGCAACCTAATAATGGCTTTGAAACTCCCATCTTTTGGCTTGAAGGCACTCCAACTGTACTAACATCAAATAAATGCTCGGTACAAAACTCTACAACTTCTTCAGCTATATACCGCTCAACAATGCAACCTTCGGGACGAGTACGATTCTGAACATACCCCTTTAGCACTTTCATATATCTTTCAAACGGATACATCCATCTAAAATATACTGGCCCATATAGACGAACTTCTCTGACAAGATGTACTACTAGATGAACCATGATATCAAAAAATGAAGAGGGAAAGTACTTCTCAAGCAAACACAAAGTAACTACTACATCTTCTTCCAACTTATCTAGCTTGGAAACATCAACATCTTTGCACATATGGCATTGAAGAAGAAGCACAAACAAATTATTGCATACCTTGCAGGCTTCTCCAAAACAGAACGAATTGCCACAAGGAGCAATTGTTGCATTAAGGTATGACAATCATGTGATTTAAGGCCAAGAAGTCTTGAATCTTGTAAAGATACAAGATTTTTTAATATTTGAAGAATAACCTTCAGGGATCTTCATACCATAGAAAGAATTGCAAACCTCTCTCTTCTCTGCTCTTGACAAATTCCAAGGCCCGGGAGGCAAACGAGTACGTCTTTCTCCATACTCGGGTTGCAAATCAGTTTTGACCCCCATGTTCAATAAATTTAATCGAGCAGCAATCTCATCTTTATTTTTTCCAGGGATCTCCAGCAATGTACCAATGATACTATCGCAAACATTCTTCTCAATGTGCATAACATCTAGGACATGCCTCACAGGAAGGTATTTCTAATACTCGAGATCAAAGAATATTGATTTCTTCTTCCAACAAACTCTGTCACCATCTTCAACCATATGCAGCACTTCTTCTCCGGTTAATGGCTCGGGATGTGTGCTATATTCAGGTTTCCCATTAAAAGCTGCATGTTGCCTCATATATGGATGATTGATTGGTAACTATTTTCTATGCCCAATGTAACAAATTTTGTGGCCATTTTTCAACCTATGACTAGGTGTATCATCACCGCATATTGGATAAGCTTTATATCCTTTAACAGCACAACCAGATAAGTTTCTATAGGCGGGGAAATCATTAATTGTCCACATTAATGCAGCTCTGAGTGTAAAGTATTCTCCATTATGTGTATCATACACTCTTCTAATCTCATCCCACAAATATTTTAAATCATCAATCAAAGGCTCCAAGTAGACATCTATATCATTTCTGGGTTGTTTAGGACTAGAAATCAATAAGGTCAACATCATGAACTTTCGTTTCATACATAGCCATGGATGGAGATTATATGTAACTAAGATAACTGGCCAGCAACTATATCTGCTACTTAGAGAACTGTGGGGATTGAATCCATTACCAAACTCGGGCCATTTATCATCAAGAAGTTTCCAAGACGAGGAATCCGCCGGATGAGACATCTGACCGTTAATTGATTTTCTAGCAGCATGTCAAGTCAAACTCTTAGCTGTCTCATATGATTGAAACATCCTTTTAAACCTTGGAATTGGAGGAAAATACCACACCACCTTCTCTGGCACACCCTCTTTCAAGATTGAATCTTTGTCTTCCTTCCACCTTGAGATACCACAAGTAGGACAATTAGTTGAATCTTCATACTCCTTCCTATACAAGATGCAATCATTGGGGCATGCGTGCATTTTCTCATAACTCAGCCCCAATGCACACAAAGTATTTTTTGCCTCATACATAGAGGCCAGTATTGTATTTCCTTCTGGAAGCAAATCGCCTTAAAGTATCAATAATTCTGTAAAACAGACATCATTCATCCTATGTTTTGCCTTCAAATTATACAACTTCACTAATGCCGATAACTTCGTGTACTTTCTACAACCAAGGTACAATGGTTGATCTCCATCCCCAATCACATTGGCAAACTCATAAGGATCAAATCCAAAATCACCAAAATCATTATTATCCATCTCTATTTCTTCAGACACAAAATTGTACCTACTATGGTCATCATCTTCTTCAACATTTCTACTAGCATTAGTAGTTGCTTCCCAAGGTTCTCCGTGAAATGTCCAATTCTTATAGCTTTGGTCAACTCCATTAAAGTATAAGTGATCCCTTATAATTCCAACCCCAAACAATTTCAAATTTACACATTTAACACATGGACAACGGATATGTGTTGTAGTTAGAAGATTTTCTACCGAAAAGTTCAAAAACGATTCCACCCCTAACTCATATGCCTTCAATCTTCTATCCGAGTGCATCCATGACTTATCCATCTCCGACACTATACCCTATTATCTATAATAAAGTGAAAAGACAAGCAATGACCATCATTATAGCAGATTATATAAAGTTTTAATAGCAAGTAATATATTTTACAGACGACGGTTTTTAAACAAAAACAGACGTATTGGACATATATAGACGACGGATTTTCAACAAACGTCGTCTAATTCTAACTACAACAGTAGTTAAAGAAAACTGTCGTGCATAATAATACAGACAACGGTTTATTAAAAAACCGTCTTTGTATGCCTAAAAAAGCGTCGAGATCCGAGTTTATTTTCAAGAACCCAAAACCCTATTAAGAACACAACATATACATTAATTTTTATGTTGGGTATTAAGAACACGTATACTAAGCATGAAAACAATAAATCTATTCCCGATTCAACATAACAGAGAGTGATTAAAAGATCCGACAACATTAAATCTATTCCCGATTGATCATGATAACACTAAACAGAAAATCCATGAACCCATACCTACAACAACATTATTAAAAGATCGCAAAACATATATATAAAACCCTTTAACAAAACAACTGAATATCATTCAATGAATTTACGATGGGAAGATAAGGGTTTGTATTTAGGTCGCCGTGAAAATTTTGAGAAAGCGCGCTCTTTAAAACATCGACGAAAAAAAAACCGTCATTAAAATTTCACATTAAACATGACGCTTATCACATTAAAGACATCATGGTAAAACTATGTACGACGCAAAATAAACAAACCGTTGTCAAAACTAAAAACTAAATATGACGCTTATTACACGAAATAACTCCTTATGAAAAAAAAAAACTGACGAATGAGAAACTAATATAAATAAGTGGGTTTTGGTTTTGCTGGGATTTGAACTCGTGCGCGATGAGTGGAATAAACAGAAAATTAAATAAAAAATATATACCCTAAACCCTAATAAAGCAAACACAAATTATATATATATTTTTTTAAATAATTTTAGAAAAGGGATTAGGGTTTTAGGGCCAAAAATATCTAAACCAAAAAACCTAAACCCCAAAAATATTCCTTTAACGCCCTAAACCCTAAACCATCAAACTATAAGTGATATTATGACTCATCAAAACAATTTTATTTTTTGTGGTCATTTTAAATTTGTATTACTCAAACTGCATTTTTTTAAGCTTAAGGGGGAAGATAATATCTCATTCTTGGCAGTATCATCCTGCTTTTCCCCATTCTTGGCAGTATCATCCTCTAAATGTAGGGATCTCCCACCAAGAGCCCCAGAGTAGCTTGCTTTGTCCGACATTGGATTTTTGGGACTTTGCCCTTGACCTTGGTTTTGACAGGGGCTAGTTTTCGGTTTAAGCATGCTTGGATCAAAATTGGGGATGAGTTGGGAAAGCTGACTCAGAATATTTTCCCTCTCAGCCTCTACCAATTGCTTGGTTCTAGCCTCCATCTTTAAAGTCTCTTCTTGAAGGACAAGTCTTACACTTTCATTTAACTAATCGGCAAACTTTAACCTCTGTTGTCTAGGTAAATTGAAGTATTGCCTAAGGGAAATCCCAGCACCTACCCCTCTAACTCTCCTTGGATGCTCGGGACCCAAAGCCATTGTCAACACATCATTACTGCCAGATACAGTAAGACAGGCTTCAGAGACTTGTTTTTGCAATTCATCCTAAAACAAAGATATATAAAAAAGTCAGCACAAGAAAACACACGATGGTTATTTATACAAAAAACGACGTATTATATAATTTCACACGCCGCAATAACATAGCAATCGACGTCAAATAAATTTATCACAACGGTACTTAACTAACGACGTGGTTAGTAGTTTCAAACGACGCCATAAATAAACCATCGACGTCTTATTTCAGATTCAGACCTGTAACGACGTTTTTTAAAACATTTTGACGTAGTAATATTATTCACACGACGCAAAAATATAACAGAAGACGTAATAAGAATTATCACAACAATACACAGTTTAATAAAAATTTAAAACAGAGTGAGTAGGCTTACAATTAATTTTGCTTTCTCTGCCACCTTTGGATCTGGGATGTTACCATGTTGATGTGTGTGTGCGTTTGTGTAGATATACAAATGCACACACATCATCAACTTCTAAACAATTGTCTCTCTGATTACAAATCTGAGGCTGTCGTCGTCAAATTTCAGGGGCAATTTTTTGGATGTTAATGTGTATGTGCGTTTGTGTATCTCAAAGACACAAATACACATACATCATTAACCTCTAAAATATTGTCTTTCTGTGGTCCAATTATGATGAGGAACACAGTTCCATCTGGTAAGATTTCGTAACCCTTGGATCTCAGAAAAATCTGATTATGTCGGTGGTTTTCTATATAAACCGTCGTAGTTATTTCAATTCTTGTCATTAAGTTGATCTACCGACGTAGGATAACAAAATCCAAGAAATAAATTGTTAAAAAAAATTCCTATTAAGACGACGGTTTAAATATAAGGAAAGCCATATAAAGTGAATAAATACAACGGTAATTTTAAGTTCACGACGTATCTTTTGGGATCTCAGAAAAATATGATTCTATCGGCGGTTTTCTAAATAAACCGTCGTGGTTATTTACAATTTTTTTCATTAAGTTGGTCTACCGTCGTAGGATAACAAAATCCAATAAATAAATAGTAAAAAATAATATTATTAAGACAACGGTTTAGATATCAAGGTAGACATATAAAGTGCATAAATACGATGGTAAATTTTATAATACGTCATTAAATGAAAACCCCAACTTGGTGAGAGTTAAAGATACCGTCGTAGAACTATACAAGAAAGACGTCGATAAATTTATCTTTGCCGTCGTTGTACATTAATTAATACGGCGGTATTGTGTATTATACTGACGTGGATTTATTTGTAATTATACGGCGCCTTTTTTGAAAACTTGGCCGTGTTAATTTCTGAGTAAAACGACGACTTTTTTTTACATCGTCGTCTTTACTTTCTACGTCGGTCTATTCATACCTTCTACCGTTCTTTGTTGGCTTAGATTTTACTCTGCGGAAATCCTTTTTCAATAAGACGTCACTTTTTTAATTAGGTGTGTCATTTTTTATAAACAACCATTGGAATCTCCATTTTTTAGGTGTTTAAGTTGTTCTTACACGGCGGTTTTATAGAACTATCGTCTTTTAAAAAACAACAACGGTTTTCCCTTAAACCGTTGTTTTTTTCTGGTCGTCATTTGTCACTTTTTGTAATAGTGAATGAATATTACTTTACCAATCCTCACCCTTAACGCGGGCCGGCCTTACTTTGAATAGTCCTGGACTAGAAATTAAAGTGAGACCCTTAATTTCCCTATAATTTAATCATAGTTTGAAAAAAAATAAAATTATGCACATGTATTTTCTTTTTGGCTTAATCATACTTAATTTCCCCATCATATCGTTGACAACAAAAAAGCCATCAAACTAGAAGAACTACCTTATGTGGCAAATGAGATGGACAACCACATTAATTAAAATTATTTGATATTTTCTGTTCTTTTATGATTTATTAACACTTTAAAAAACTTTTAATTAAACTTTCTTTATTAAAATACACTTCATTGATTTAATTGATGTGGCATATGATACAGGCATGCTACACCATGTGGTATAAAAATATAGGATAAAAATGTGGTAAGTGTAGCATTACTCTTATTGTAATTGTTGCGTGTTGAATTTCATTGCGCTCTCAAACTTTCCCTTTGTTTTTTCCTCCCTTTTCCAATCCAAAAAGACATCAGAATTCCTTCTCTTTATTTTGACAGATAAGTTCTTGATGGAAAGGATTCTTTGATCTAATCTCAAGTTCAAGCTTTCATGATCCTTTGGTTTTGACTTGGGTGTTGAGTTTTCATTATTTGTATTGATAGCAATGTTAAATGCAGAGACTCGAAATTCATTGTGGAACTTCTTGCTGTCATGATCAAACAGTGAATTAGGAGTGCAAAAAATATGGGACACAATAAAGCAATCATGCAAAAAAAAAAAAAAAAAAAAAAAAAAAAAAAAAAAAACAATAAAAATAAACTCATATATCACCAATAGAAGTCCGTTTATTTTGCCCACTATCTTGTTTCAATCGATACACTTACCAGTGCCTCTTCTTCTTCTTTGAACCTACACACCATGTATGCCTGTGACTTTCAGTTTCCTTGAAAGTTGCTTTTGATTCAAGTGTTACTTTCATTTTTTTTTTGTTCGTCCAACAGGAGTTTTTATTTTATCGAAATAAGGATATCCTATCTGCACCTAGTGGTCCAATAACTTTCATTAATGTCCTTCTCTCCAACCCCTCTCGGTTCACTCCCTTCCCTCTTTCCTCACTCATATACACGATCATGCTTCCTGTCATTGCCAGATATTTTCTCATGACGATCATGCATGTGGTTGGTCTTAAAAATCTTTTGGAAAATAAAAAGAGTTGCCAAGATTAAAATACCTTTCCATAAAACCAATTACGTGCACGGGACAAAAATGGGAAAGAGAAGAAATTTAGACTATTGCTTTGAGAAGAAAATCCCATCTAATACTGCTTTAAATAACTCTGGTGGGCTTGATTGAGCTTATGTCCTATGTGCATTTTTCTTACCAGCTAAGTGGCTGCAACAAAGTTTGATTTTTATATAATAATAAAAAGTACAACAATGGTGGCCTAAACCAACTTTAATTCTTTTCAATTTGATCCGCCTTTTTCAGGTAAATGTTCAAATTGAGCTCTACGTCCATCCAATCGTTTATCACTCACCACATACAAATATCTTGATCATATATAATCTGTCTATTTCAACCAATTACCCTTAATTATAATTACTCTTGGTATGTGATTATAGTCGTCGCGGTACGTAGGATAGACGGAGATATATTTTCAATCTACACGACGGTAAAAAAGAAAAATCAGTGGTTTATGACCTTTTTTTGTAGTAGTGATGATTCATAACACTTCTAACTTTTTCATGGTAATCAAACTCATCTTAGCACCAGGCATGCCCTCAAATCAGTGTTATAATTAATCAAAGTCCTCCTTGTACTCCAAAATGGACTCATCCAAGATCAAGCATATATAACCACTCCCTGATTACAACAAAGTATTATAATTAAAACCATAAACGACATTCCACTGGCCAATCATTCATTTTCTTTCTATAGATTTATGGATTAAGTGGAGGGCTTTCCATCTCATTGTACTAGCTAGAGTAAAGCTTTCCAATCCAACAGACCCAATTTCTACATTTTTTTAAATTGATGCACAAATTTCTTATTTTTTATTTCAGGACATTTCCTATTAAAAGAGACAATAATATACTAAACTCGCGCACACTACACAGATGCTAGGACTCGAACCCAGAACCTTACATGAGAAAGCAATTACTCCAAAGCACTACACTAGTGGGTCCTTTTCAATGCACAAATTTTGTTGCCTACAATAGAAGCAAATTTACTGACGGTCCAACTACTCTTCCACCAAGTGATCATTTACTCAAAATTTAGAGAATAAATATATACCATATGGTGTCTTAGGTGACAACCTTTTAAGGCTTTAAGCAAAGGACAAACATTTTGTGTTGGCTCTTTTTGCAACTTTCATCACACCTATAGAAAAAGTTGCATAATTTCTTTGACCAAAAAGCCTTGTATTATTGAATCTATTGATCATCATCATCGATTTGAAAAGTTTCTGGTCAAAAATTTCATATCTTTAATCACACATTTGACGAATATCTTTACATGAAACCAATTACGTGCATTGCTTTACAGCTTTCTCTGTTTTGGCTTATCGAACTGCTTGCAATCTTTTTTGCACAAATGGCGTAGTAATCGAAAACGCACGCACCAAGGGAAAGAAAAGAGAAGCACTTAAGTTTAAAGCATTTGCCTTTTTTCGTGAAAGCTTTTTCCTTGCTAGCCATTAGTAAATCATTGTTGATCTCATGCATATATAGTCCAGCAAGAAGAGGAGATCAAAATGGTCAGAAAGAGACCAATCAAATTTCATAAATTTAAAGGGTAATTAATCAATTTAAATGGTTGAAATTGCATTGCATGGTTTGTTTGTTTGTTTTTTTTATATAAAAAATTCCATTTACTTTCAATAAAACCAAACAGATTGAACCGATTCATGTGAAGAAATGTCCCGCATTGAAAAGTTAAACCTTAGACCTAACAGGGGCTTAAGATCTCATCGATCTTCCTCTCCACGACCCCAGATATAGTCAGCTATCACCAGCATCGAAGCTCATCTCGACAAACGGCAACAATGAACCAAGATCGGCTGTTTTTCTCCATATCCGAACCGGCATGGTGGTGAAGGTTGAGGCCCGAAGGTGGGCCAAAATGTCTGTCAATTGCTCAATTGCTTTTGTGAAGTTGTGAGTGTATCATTATTTTTTAAAGTTTTCGATGGCGACATATTTGGTTCTCTACTGGCTGATTGACTGAAATATTTGCGATTAACTTCATAGCTTTTTTCTTGCTTTTACAGTCTTTCGCTCTAAATCATTTAGAACTCTTCCTGACTATATTATTGCTTCTGAAGTTGTCTTTCCTAGTGCCACCCTGTGCTTTCTGATGATCGACAAATCAACTCAATCACCATCTCTATAATGAATTAGATTTGAGGCTTCCATTGCTTTAAAAAAGAAATTCCATAATAAAAATAATAATAATAAACAAATAAATAAAAACCCTCATTTATATCGCAAAACTCTCTTTGCACCGTCCAAGGGAACTTTTTTTCATCACCAGCAATTTTAGCAAGGCATTAGTTAATCATTGTTGACTAGCCAGTTAAAGCAGCTATTTTCATCACCATCCTCTTCCTATTTTAGTTACAGCTTTGCTTTGCTAGCCATTTCTTAATCATGGTTCAACCCATGCATATATATTCCAGCACGAAGAAGGAGATCACACTTGTCAGCAAGAGACTAACCAACCAAATGTCATAAGAAAGGGTCATGAATTGCATGGTTTAAGTGGAATTTTGAAAATAGTTGATAAAATTCTATGAAGTTGGAGCTTAAATTAGATAACGACTGTTTTGAGTTTACTCCCACAAATGAGGAGAAAGCTTTTGCAACTCAAAATGCGGCTCATATGTACAGTACTGTTATGTGAATATATTTTATATTCAGTGGCGGACCCAGACTTTCGTTCATCTGGGAGCTTAAAAAAAATCCAACCAATATATAGCCAAACAAAAAATATTTGGGCTTAAAGTGAACTTAGTGACTGAGTTTTCCACAAAATTATAGAATGAGTGAACTTGGTGGGATCTCTATTCTTCTTTCATAACATAGGATTTTTCTTTTTTAATATAAGCTTTGGGCTTAAAGTGTATGTATTGGATGGCCATGTGGGGGCTCCACCTAAGGGAAGGCCTTTAAAAAAAAAAAAAAAAAAAAAAAAAAAAAAAAAAAAAAAAAAAAAGGAGTTTGGGATTATGTGGCTGCAACTTTTTGTAAGTGTGGGCACCCACAGTAGTTCTTCATTGGGTCCGCCAATACTTATATTAGTTAAATTGGGAAAAAAGCAAAAGCCTAGTCGCATCTCTCTCTCAGTTTCGAAGGAAAAACCCAATAGAGGGGGATGAGGGAAAAGCGTCACCGCCCCTCCTCCCTTTTCTTATCATCTTCCTTTTTCTTTTTTTTTTTTTTTGGAGGGGTTTAGTGAGTGAGTCGCTTGGGATGTTTTGGAATATGAAATTAACCATTTGTCGTTATTTGTTTTGAGTTATATCAAAGTTCCCCGTCACCTCTTTGGAATAATTCCTTAATTAATTTCTTCTTCCCAAAATCTTCGCTCAAAAACTTTTCACCTTCTCTAAATTTATTTCTACCTCGCATTTTAAGGAGTCTATTGCAATCTACCCAATTGTTTTTGCCATGATTGTTCGATTGGCATATATGTTCAATGTTATGTGCAGTTTAGATGGAAATCATGTTTTCCTCAAATATGTCACATGTTTTGTATTTACTTAAAGATTATTAGGTGTGGTTGGTTTAACGGGGCTTTTTCAGTTGTTGGCGATAGTTATTTAAGGTTATGGATTGTTTTAGAATTTTGGATATTTCAAATCCCTAAGTATCCCTCTCAATTGATATGTGTGTGTATATACATATATATGTTTTCAGAACTTCTCCTTCGAGCCCTAATTATTACATCTCCTTGGAAGACAAAGCTTCTTCTATCACCTTTTGAAGACAACTAGCAGTGCCTACCACCCTTAATTGTTACTCTCTCTCTCTCTCCTTCCCCCTCTTCTCTTGTAAGTCCCAATACGATCTACATAAAACATAAGATACTAAATTATGGAGCAGTAACCGTCTTGAATAACCTGATACTAAACCAGCAAAGTCTTCCTTTCAATTTAATATTCGCACGGCTACAATGGGGAGCATAAAACGGTAAGGCTGCTAATGAAGGAACCTTACTTATATACCAACGTACGTATAATTAGGTTTTCTCACCCATCAAGGAAAGCCCTTACTTCAGACACAAGTAGGAACTATGTCAAGCTCAATAATTAAGCATCCACTATATAATAGATATTGGGTCTACCTTTATGAAGTTACTAGCCCAATATTATCATTCTCATTAATTATCATGGGTTTATCTAATGGGTAGCACACAACAAAGCCGTATGCTAATGATCGAGCCCAAAAACTCTTGCATCTCTCTCTGGCAATTAAAACATGTCACTAGTGCGAGGCACAAAAAATGGACACGTGATCAAATTAGGCCCAACCTACTTTTTTGGTATGGTTTGGTTTTCTTTTTTTCGTTCTTCTTTTTATTTGAGTAAATCGGACCGAATCGGCTTGAACCATTTCAGCTGTGGTTTCAAGTATGCTAGGACCAACATTACATAACCAAACTGGACATCTCTCATTGCTTATAGAACTATATTACTTTTTGTACACAAACCCTACACCCTACTCTTGTTGTAGCTGGGAAGCAGTGAATCAATGTCACATCCTACTCTTCTTGTTGTTGTCTCGCCGTTTCATATAGAAGTTTGGAAGCAATGAAAGAATGCCATAACTTGGGAACTAATTGATCGCTAGGTGTGGTGATCAAGTATCCTATTATATATGTACGATCCACTTCAATTAAGGTGATTGAGATGGTGATGAACTATAGACTAGCTACCATTCATACGTATATATCTACAATATATATATATATATATATAGGTATGATTCCCTTCAATTAAGAGATTTCTCAAATATTTTATTTGAATAACACCTTATTGTGGGGTCCACTACGAATTCTATTTGAACAAACTGAATCATTCGCTTTTCAAGTTATCATTCATAGATCATCTTTGCAACAAATTAGACAAATTGAAAACCATCAAGATATCTAGTTGTGACTAACAAACAGACGAATACGATGCTTCAAGAAAACACTAAAATTCCAACCATTAATTGAGTGGAAAAATGGTTTTAGTTTTTTCTTCTTCTTTTTTTTTTTTGGTGTTGATGATTTTTGAATGAATAACTTAGAAAATAGACGGCTTGTATCACTGAAATACAATGCAAAGTTAGCTCCCAGAAGTATCCCTAAAATAAACTAGTTTGAGATCTCTCAACTGAACTGAAGTTCTATACATATTGTTTCCCTCTTTTCGGCCGGGTAGGCCGAGTGAAGGAGTTCTTGGTCCTTCTTCTTTTAGATTGCATAGGCATGCCACTGACTGGCTCGAATGGAAAAGGTTGGATAGTTGTTTTCGCGCTTCTGACTTCTAACCAGCCGATTATTCGACCAAGCAAGGAACCTCCTCTTGGCCTAGGTTCTTTCACTTCCTCGGGATTGAGGATGGTTAGGTTTCGTATAGGTATTTTAGTATTTTTGAGATTTTTAATGATAACAATGCAAATTAAATTAAAATATGCGATTAAACTTAAAGATGAGAATTGAAGTGCGATAAAGTAATCAAAGCGATAAATAAACTTAAATTAAGCGAAGAACGATATAAATGATAAAGGCAATAAAATAAAGCAATTTGAAATTAAATCAAGCTTAAAGCAAATTCTATAACAATTAACAATAAAGCGATAAAGTTGAATCTTAAAACAACGTAATGGAAAATACAAGAAATTAAACTTACACTAACGAAAGTGAAGAACTGATCTAGTCTACTTGCTTGGGAAATAAAAGACCTAGTCTAGGGATAGAAAATTGAAAGACAAAAGGTAGATTTTTGTGTCTGATGTCAGGGTCCTTTGCTATTTGTTTGATGTAGTTTAAATAGAATATTACGGGGTAATTTTCATTGTATTACTTCCTTGAAATATATACATATATAATCCTTGTTCTACAAGGAAACACTACTCAATAAGGACATAACAATAAATCCTTCCTAATAAAGGACTCCTAGTATTCACAATATATTTACTTACTTATTTAAATAACTCACGTTTACACTCCCCCTCAAGTTGGTGCATATATATCACACATGCCCAACTTGTCAAGTGAGTTACCAAACTTTCGGCTACATACTGCATGAGTAAGAACATCTGCAAGTTGTCCCTCTGACTCCACAAATGGTATTGATACAATCTTCTTCTCAAGCTTCTCTTTGATAAAATGACGATCAACCTCTACATGCTTTGTTCTATCATGCTGTACTGGGTTATCAGCTATGTCCCTTGCTGACTTGTTATCACAAAACAACTTCATGGTATCCTTTGGTTTAAACCCAAGTCCCAAAAGAAGTTTTCGTAGCCAAAGGATTTCGCAGATTCCTTAAGCCATACCTCTATATTCGGCCTCAGCTGAAGACTGTGACACCACCTTCTGTTTTTTACTTCGCCATGTCACCAAATTCCCTCCAACGAAGGTAAAATATCCAGAAGTAGACCGTCTATCAGTTACATCACCTGCCCAATCCGCATCAGTAAACCCTTCAATCCTCAAATGCCCATTTTTTCTATACAAGACTCCTTTTCCAGGTGTCGACTTCAAGTATGCCAAGATACGCATAACAGCAGCCATATGATCCACACTCGGTGAATGCATGAACTGACTCACAACACTCACAACATAGGCAATATTAGGACGAGTATGAGCCAAATAAATCAGTCTCCCTACAAGTTTCTGATATCTACCCTTATCAACTAGTTCCTGCTCCGGATCTAAACACAAATTATGCTTCTCAACAATAGGAGTCTCTACTGGCTTACATCCCAACATACCAGTTTCTTTTAATAAATCCAGTACATACTTACGTTGAGACAAGAAGATACCTTTTGACAAGCGAGCAACTTCAACTCCCAAGAAATACTTCAAATCCCCTAAGTCCTTCATCTCGAATTCGACCGCGAGATTTCCTTGCAACTTGTACATCTCATCAACATCGTTTCCTGTTATGATCATGTCATCTACATAGTTAATCAAGGCTGTTACTTTATTCTGTCTACGCTTCACAAATAAAGTGTGATCAGAATGACTCTAACAATATCCGTTCTTCCTCATGACTTGAGTAAATCTACCAAACCATGCACGGGGCGATTGCTTAAGTCCATAGAGTGACTTACGCAACCGACATACTCCAGTGTTCCCACCATTGCTATATCCAGGAGGAAAATCCATATACACTTCTTCCTCCAAATTCCCATGGAGAAATGCATTCTTCACATCAAACTGTTTTAATGGCCAATCCATGTTTGCAGCTAAAGAGATAAGAACATGTACCGTATTCATCTTGGCAACCGGGGAGAAAGTCTCCTGGTAATCTACCCCATATGTTTGTGTATATCCTTTAGCCACTAACCTTGCTTTGTATCTTTCTACTGTTCCATCAACTTTATATTTAACTGTAAACACCCAACGGCATCCCACTGTCTTCTTCCCTACGGGTAGCTGCATCACCTCCCAAGTATTATTTTTCTGCAATGCCAACATTTCCTCATCCATTGCTTTTGCCCACTTCAGATCTTTTAGAGCCTCCTCCACTCGAGTTGGTACATGGATGGACTCCATATTACTCACCAAAGTCTGACGCTCTGGTGCAAGCTTATTGCATGATACATAGTTAGCTATCGGATACTTCACCTTTCCTTCAGGAGAAAACCTATCAGGAGGCACACCTCGATTTTGTCTTGGTGGCAATTTATAAGTACCTACACTTGGATTAGTTACACAATCATTTACGATACTTACCTCAGGCATATTCAGAGAAGATGTATTGGGCAGCACTTCGGAACTAGAGAGAGAAGGTATACTCGACTCCGCACAGGGTTGTTCAACAATAGGGTCCTTCTCGATAGTAGCTTGCTGAGACTCTTCTAGTATGGGCTCAGTTCCAGGTTCTACACGTTGTTCAACAGTCACATCTCCCCTTAGATCCAACCAACTCAGATTACCATCAATGTTCTCCCCTTGGTGATCTGAAGTTGAAGGTACGGCAATGTAGAAATATTCTGTTTCTGAGAAAGTCACATCCATGGTTACATACATATGTCGGGTCTCAGGATGGTAACATTGATACCCTTTTTGGTGAGACGAGTAACCCACAAAGACACACCGTAGTGCACACGGGTCCAATTTACTACGATGTATTTTCTGAATATGAACATAAGCCACACAACCAAACACTCGAGAAAGGAGAGTATTGCTGGACACCACTGGAGTATGTTGAGTGAGGACCTGAATAGGTGTTTGAAATCCAACCACCCAAGAGGGCATACGATTAATGACATACACGGCATAAGTAACAGCTTTAGGCCAAAACCGTGGAGGAACCGAGGCCCCAAGGAGTAAGGCACGGGCTGTCTCCAAAATGTGACGATTTTTACGCTCTGCAACCCCATTTTGCTGTGGGGTATGCGGACATGTAGTTTCATGGAGAATCCCTTGACCACGGAGAAACTCCGACAACTCAAAATTAATGTATTCTCCTCCATTATCAGAACGTAGAACTTTAATAACGGAAGAATATTGCGTCTGAACCATCTGAGCAAATGACCGAAATATGGCACCAACATCACTTTTATTTTTCAACACATAAAGTCATGTCATACGAGTGCAGTCATCAATAAATGTAACAAACCACCGAAGGCCAGAAGAAGTAACAACTGGAGAAGGCCCCCAAACATCGGAATGCACAAGATCAAATGGAAAAGGTCTTTTATTCATACTAGGAGGAAACGAAGCACGATGGCTTTTAGCAAGAATACATACTTCACAATGTAAGTCTAATTCATTTATTCCATTAAATAAACTAGGCAATAGGCGCCTTAAATAGCTAAAGGATGCATGGCCTAATCGACGATGCAATAACCATACTTCTTGTAAGTTACTACCACGGAGCACTCGGACTACATGAGCTCTGCCAGGAACGACATCATCCACATAGTACAACCCCTCTCTCTTAGTGCCACGCCCAATTATCTCCTTGGTCTGAATATCCTGAAGTAGATAGAAGGACGGATACATTAGAACAACACAATCCAATTGTTCAGTAATCTGTGGTATGGAAAGTAAATGATGTGATAAAGATGGAACAAGCAAACATCGGTGTAAAGGAAGAGAGGCTGTGAGATACACAGTACCAGCACCAACAACAGGTGTACGGGTACCATTAGCAGTTGCAATATATTCCCTATGAGATGTTGTCATAGATTGAAACACATTCTTATCGTATGTCATATGATCCGTTGCACCAGAGTCCAGAATCCAACCTGCATGATGCTCAATGTCGGAAGCCAAAAAAACATGCCCTACAGTACCTGCAGTGGAGGATGAATCACCATGGGTAGAACGAGTCAACAAAGTTTGACTCAGGTGATTGGAGATAGTCTCATCCTCCTTAGTTTTTGGTGAGGCAGCAGCCAGGGATGCACGGCCTCCATTATTTCCCCCACTCCCACGCTCCTTTGCACGTAGCTTTTTCTTTAATTATGGGAACCAATCAGGTACCCCATGCTTGGCAAAACACGTATCCTCAGTATGACGGGTTTGTCCACAGAAAGTACACTTCAAATCATCTTTATTTTCTCGGGTAAAGGGACGAGAATTTAAAGACTGATTAGAAGGATTACTAGGACGAAAGGCAACGGCAGGCCGAGAGACCATGGCCATGGACGGCAGCCCTCCTTGGTTGTTACTCCCACTCATCATGGTGGCATGTATTTGTGCTTCACGCCGAATGACAGAAAACACTTCCTCAACAGATGGTAAGGGTTGAGTATGTAGAATATCACTACGTACTTTATCAAAGATATCATCCAAACCAGCCAAAAAGGCATACACACAATCAATTTGAATCTCATCTCGAAGGGTCTTGAGATCCACTGCACACTCCATCTTGATTGGTCTCCTTTGATCTAACTCCTGCCAAACGGACTTGAGATCAGCATAATACACACCAACAGGCCGGCCCTCTTGACGGAGTCTGAAAGACTTAACCTTTAATTCATAAATTTGAGAAATATCCGAACCATCATAATAGGTCCGAGCCACCTCTTCCCAAACTTATTTAGCAGTACGTAGGTGAATAAAAAATCCCATGATAGCAGGTGCCATGGAATTGATCAACCACCCTTTTACGATTGCATTCCCTGTCTCCCATGCCTCATACCCAGCACTATTCTCAGCAGGTTCCTTGGTACTCCCTATCACAAAGCCTTTCCTACCACGTCCAGCGATGTGCATCTCCAAAACTTTGGACCAAAGAGGATAATTTGATCCATTCAACCTCATTGTGTTTGGTACAGCAGACGCATCATTCTGAATAACAACTGGATTCAATACTGGGGTATTGGTTGGTGTACGAGAGCTACCCTCCAATTTCAAAACAGCACTATCTTCCAAAGAGGCCATCCTTGATGTAGCAATCCACACAGCACAGCCAAATCACACACGGCACTATCACAAACACACCCACACAGCCTGACGTTCTGCAAGGGAATATTGCAGAAAAGAAAGAGTCGGCCGTCAACAGCAGCAGGAAAAATATTCTAGGGTTACGGCAACCTAAGCTCTGATGCCAAATAGAATATTACGGGGTAATTTTCATTGTATTACTTCCTTGAAATATATACATATATAATCCTTGTTCTACAAGGAAACACTACTCAATAAGGGCACAACAATAAATCCTTCCTAATAAAGGACTCCTAGTATTCACAATATATTTACATACTTATTTAAATAACTCACGTTTACAGTTTATATAGGGGCATTCGTCAGCCCACGGGCTGGCCATTAAATGGCCAAAGGTCAACTTAGTTCAAAATCTTTCCTTGAGTGGTTTCCTAAGTTCACGGAATTGATTCGAATGAAATCATCGGATTTACAAAATCGGATCACTTGATTTTCTCCTTCTTAGGAATGTCTCAAATTGACATCACTCCCTTTGATTTCTTTTCTTGAATGGATCTCGTCACGTGCATGAAAACATCTAAAAGGGTTGGGTCCACTTCCGTGGGCTGGGCTTGAACCTTCGAGACTTGTCTTGAGATATTGTGAGACGGACTTCTAATCTTGAGGAAATAATCTCATGATGTTGGAGTGGCTGGAAATTCAATGAATCCACATGCATTCTCAAGGTATCTAAAAATGTAATATATTTATCAAATAGGCCACTTAATGGCCATTGAGAATCCTAGGCCGTAAGGCCATGACTTGCAATAGGCATAAAAAGATTTCGAAGCACACAGGACTGTAGCCTAAGTTTACCCGTGAGGCCATTGTTTGGCCTTACCAATTATAATGATAATAATAATAATAATAAAACCCATTTGAACAACCTAATAAACAAAAATAATAAATAAAGTCTCAACCACACAGAGCCCAACTTCACTCTCACTAAAACTTCTATTGATCCCAAATCAGCCAACACTTCCATTCCATCTAGCCAACACAAGATCAGCCTGCCAAAGCTCCAGCCAACTCCTCCTTCACTCTCCCAGCCAAGTCGAAATTGGCCTATCACATATATATAATATAATATATAATATAATATATATATATATATAATATGATATATGATATCATAAAGTTGGCATTCCGCCAACTTTTCAACCAAAGGATATAATATATATATATATATATATATATTATATATGAATTGTACGAAGATACAGACCAACATGCATAAAGTTGGCCTTCAGCATTCCATTTTTCAACCAAGGGACGTGGGCCAACCTTGGCCTTGCATTTGAACAAAGATCTTTATGGTCTGTTCCTACACCCACACTCCAAAACTTCAGCCAACTATTCATTTCAACAACTATCCAGCCAACTATTCATTTCTGGAAACTCAGCAACCATCTTGCTAAAAGCTCTCAACTCAGGTAAGCAATTTCACTTTCACCATTCTAGCTGCCATTGTAGATCTTGCCATTCAATTTATTATTTGACTATTGCTATTATAAATAACAATCTCTTTTGTTTTAGCTAGGCCTTTGGGTTTCCACTTGATTTGGTTTGGAATTAAAACCACTTGGCTTGGCTTGAATTTGGTGATCACATTCAAACACATATATGGTATTATATAGGCTTGTTTGAGTTTTTACATCTCTCCTGGTAGCTTTTTCGTTGAGAACTCGCTGACCATGGAGGTTTCACACTGTTCTTGTTGAGATGTTGATAGAGACCTTATCTCCAAGAATTTGATTAGCAGTCTTCCCCACCTAAAAATGGTGAAGACATGGAGGGATAAAGTATTTAATTATGTGCATTTGATTGTTACATTGATTTTAGTTTTACACGTTGCAATTGAATAAGTGAAGAGAGCATTTTTTTGTTATGACTATTGTGTAAGGTCCACTTGTGACAGAATGAAAGGTAATGAAATGATAATACGATATTTTCCAAAATATGAAAACTAGTTGTGAACAATTGTAGCTTGTATTTTTTTTTCCTATGGATCATGAATAATAGTATCGTTTAATTTTTATGGAATTTTTTTTTGTTAAAACACAAAATTGAGAACATTTGCACATCAACCCCCCTGGAGAAATATTCCTCAATTCACAACTGCCAGACATGTTCTTGTTCTTGAACTCTCTCTAAATGATGTGCAATTTATGGTTGAATGAGTCTAGACAACCGCTGGGCCTGCACCAGAATTTTATGAATGAAGCTTTCTCATATCTGAGCATAAAGGTTTTCATTGGTGGTACTATACATATATATCTAAGTAAGATCAGATAACATATATAAATGGGCTTATCTATTGGGCCCGCAACCATTATTTTATGGCCTTTCATGAATTTTTTTATGCTCCAATCGTCGTTTCATCTCACTATGAAAACACAAGCTATTCTCTTTGTCTTTAATTGAATGTTTTTACTCTTTCACGTTAATGTGTATGTGTGGGTCCAATTACAATAAAATAATGAATAAAATTGACATATTGGGTCTGATGTCAAATGCCACATCAACCGTCAAAATCAAATTTAACCTTTTGCATTTAACATCTTCAAAACATATGCAATAATAGACTAAGAATTGTAACCCAAAACAGACGCAATAATAGACCATCCGATTGAGCAAAACAAAATTCTCAAAAAAAACAAAAAAAAATTAGGGCAAAAACGAAAACTATAATTAGTGTACCTAAATTATTTTGGCAATTTCACTATTATGTTTAATATAGAGGTCCAAATTTTATTTTAATTTTTATAAAAAAAAGCTTATATAAAATGGACTTTAGAAACAAACTCAAAGTTCACTTATAACATAACAACGGGACTTTGAACTTCCTATAATTTACAAAATTGTCATTGATTTTCTTAAAACAAGCCCAACTTTAAAACCTCACAAATAAAAAAAACCCAAAAACACTCAAAACAAAAGCATAAAACTGGAAATTAGTATATTAAGTAAATTAAAAAACTGGACAGCTGGCTAGAGGTTTTTTTTGGGTTTGCTTATAGTAGTCAAATGGTATAGTGTTTATCTATAACATTATTGCTAATAATGGGTATATAACTAAATATCTCAATTATTTTCAGGTAACTTGTTACAATCATTGTTCATTAAAGGCAAGGGATATTATATGATCAGGAGTCCTCTCTCCAATCGCAAGTTATTTGTAGCCTCTACGTGTACGCTAATAGATTTTACGACTGTAGTTAGCACCTTCGTCATAGAAGATATTTGTTTTGTAGTGACCTCATGATCGAGATCGTTTATTTTTTCTGTCTTCTTTCAAGGATCGGCACTCAAAATCAAATTAAAAGTTATTCGATAATCTAGTTATGATCAAGTAAATAGATGGATACAACATTTTAGATATAACATTGAAAGACTAGGGGAGGGTTGATTTTCGGATGGATCATATCAGAATCAGGGGATTACAATTCCAATCCAAAAAAATTCAGAATGAAAATTCTATTCCAATTCCGTTCCAAAAAATTTCGGAATTTCAATATCCATTCCAATTCGGAAAACTCAAAATTTTTGGAAAATTTTAGAACTTATATATTTCAAATTTTTTTTGGAAAATTTCATAAACTAGTTTGAAAATTTTATCATGAACCATCTGAATGATGAAAATTGGCTCAAAATTTAAAAGTCATATCGAACGCTTGAAAAACCATTATATTATATTATTTGGATGTTGTTATCTTGTATGGAATAACTCGTCTAATTATTCTTAGTTGACTTAACTCTATTTTTGTCAATTTCATTTTTGGCCTAATAGAAGTTTTAACCCCTTGACAATCTAATTACTATTTGATTGTATTTGCTTGAATTGTGCTTTTCCTACCAAAATTCTTGCCACTACTAGAACAAATTACCATAATTTCTCAAAAAAGAAAAGAAAAAAATTACCATAAAAACATCACCAAACACAAGTAAAAATATACTAGAATTGAATTTAATCCTAAATCAATATTATAAACAAGTAAAAACAAAACTCGGAGCCAAGGAGGGAAGAAATTAACAAAGAAAGAACAAGAATATTTTTTTGACAATATCTTAATAAAGATTTCTTTTCTTTTTTCCCCTAACTTATTTTTTCCACGTTGGATTATAGTGCCCCGACAACCCAGTTGCCACGCCGAGTGAAGTCGGGTCCGGAACTGACTCAGTAGACGTGACGTGACTTGCACACTATTACATGACATGCACCATCTCGTCGTCTTCTGTAGTGGGCAAGTGTAAGAAAAAAATATCCAAATCCCAAAACTTGATTGTGAAAGCTCGTTGTGGATTACTTGATTTTGAGTAGCAAGTACTGCGAAAGTTGAGTCCCAATTCGCCTTAGCTTCCAATCAATGCAATGGAAGTTCACATGTGAGCCTGTGGTTCCCACGGCTTCTTTCAACTCATGTGATTTGATCATCTAGTCAAACCTTATTTCACTGTTCTTTGAGTTTACTGGTAAATTCTGTGAAAGTATGTTACACTGGTCAAAATCTCTCTGATTAAAAATATATTTATTCTTCTTCTGTTTTTCCATTCATTCCTGGTGATGATAGTGATAAAAGTGTGGTTCCAAATTCAACCACCATGGTTTTATTTGTGTCTGCTTGTCTCTCTACTTAATTTTAGATGGGAAAATCCAAGATGTTTCTCATTGTCTTCTCCGAAAATTTTAAATGGAGAGACTTTGTGGTCCTAGGAGAAGAAAACTCAAATTAGGATAAATGGAGACACATTGTCAATTTGTTTTGGTGGAATGAAAATGTGAGGGTCACATTTTACATGTTTTCATCACCATTGCCCTTGGAAAATAGAGGCGGCGTGCTAAAGTGAAACTAGCCCAATTTAAATAAGAGGACAGAAATCATCGTTTTCCAGAGGAAAAAAAAACAAAATCTAGTCCTATTTTCAAAGTTGTACACGAACTATTGATGATTTAAAAATGCATATGTAAATCCGAATAACACCTACAAATTTGTCACTTTATCGGTCAAATTATTAGTAAATTTGTTAAATACCTACGTGAAAAATTGCCAGTATTATAAAGGCAACAGGCTCACGCATATATATATTTGAACTTTGACACACACACACACACGAAAAGAAACAACAATATGCCTAAACCTTACGGTAGTAAAATGCTAAAAGACACCGACAATTTGTAAAACACGTTCTTTCTCTCTAGTTCTTCTTCTCCTTTCCATTTCATCTTCTATAAAGAAAGCACAACCTCAATCTCTTTTTGTGGTGCTTCTGTTGGGCTTTGTGGCTTTATACTGTTCATTTTGTTTTTGTTTTCCTTTCTTTTTTAGCTGTTTTTCTATGTTAAAGTTTGTGTTATTTATGATAAACTTTTGTTATTTAATTTTTTTGGTTAGACTAACATTAAAAATAGCCTCGTATTTTATTTTCGTAATATCCTTGAAATCTCAGAGTCGGCCCTAATTTTCAAAAGTCGGCTTTAATTATCTGTTTACACGGATGCAATATGGTCGGTCCACAACGAATAGAAGCAGCAGCCCACTATGCTGTTGAATGTCATGGCCCTCGACATCAGAAGATTCTCAACGCAACTCGTGGCTACCTACACCAACCCTTTCAACTCACTGAAACTCTGGAAAGTCTAATAATATTATTTGATTAATGTTGACCAATGACCAGTATATTACTAAACTTTTTGGTGATTACTCTGTGGTTGGTGTTGCCCGGCCTACAAAAGTCGACATTATTGTACGTTCTCTCTCTCCAGCGAGTAACACATGAGTTGAAACTCTTGCTCACTAAGCCTACAATTACATTGATGAACTTATTACCTGGGACACTGCCTGACTCCCTAATGAGCTATTTTTCGTTAACTAAAAGAAAAAAAAAGGAAGAATTTATTCTATTTATGGTTGGTTACGTAATAAAGTAGGTTGTCAATGAGGTTAGTTCAGTTGGTAAGGTTTCTGCACTATGTGTAGTCTCATCATTTTTCAAATCTTGCTGTCAGCAATCCTCGTTGGTATGCGATTTGTAATTTTCTACGTATATTTATATCGGTGGCAGCTGTCAATTGGATGCCACACACAAGTCTTTTCGGCTATAGGTTGTGGGTCTGCTCTGCCGCTGGTGGTGAGAGTAGCCAATCTCCCCGCTAAATTTTTTTCATAAAAAAAACATAATAAAGTAGGTAGAAGATATCTCAAAGTCGAATTCAACCTCCCACTAAAAAAAAATTTAAAACAAAATATGGTCAGTCTTTTTCTTTTTTCCATTTTTGGTCAGCTAAACCAATTAATTTAGTCTCTTTAGACTCACACTCCTCCTATATAAGTGGGTGGCTTAGCACAAACGCTCTTACATCCCAACCTCTTTGTAAAGTAAATTAAACCAGAAAAACCTAGCCCATATTACCACCACCATGGTCCGTGAAAATAAGAAGCTAGTGGAAGAGGTGTCAGGTTGGCTAAGAGTCTTCGACGACGGCTCAGTCGACCGGAAATGGACTGGACCTCCTGAGGTCAAGTTTATGGTGGAGCCAGTGGCACCGCACAATGAATTCATCGACGGAGTTGCCACTAAAGATGTGATCGTCGATGAACCCTCTGGCCTTCGCGTACGGATATATCTACCTGAGCAAAAGCCGGAGGGTCACGACGACACCAAGCTTCCCATAATCCTCCACTTCCATGGGGGTGGCTTTTGCATAAGCCAAGCTGACTGGTACATGTACTACCACATATACACCAAGCTTGCTCGCGCCACAAACGCCATTGTTGTCTCTGTCTATCAAAGGCTAGCACCTGAGCACCGACTCCCTGCCGCCATCGACGACGGCTACACCGCTCTCCTCTGGCTCCGGAAGTTGGCTCGGGGTGAGCAAAACGAGCCGTGGCTTCTGAGCTACGCAGACTTCAGCAGTGTGTTTCTTATTGGAGATAGCTCAGGAGGGAACATAGTGCACCACGTCGCTGCTCGAGCGGGCACGGTGGATTTGAGTCCCTTGAGGCTTGCCGGAGGGATCCCGATCCACCCGGGTTTCGTTCGAGCCGAGAGGAGCAAGTCTGAATTGGAGCAGCCTGAGTCACCGTTTCTTACACTGGACATGGTGGACAAGTTTTTGGGGTTGGCTATTCCAGTGGGGTCCACCAAAGACCACCCCGTAACGTGTCCGATGGGCCCCGGCGCCCCGCGGTTGGATGGCCTGAAGCTGCCGCCGTTCCTTCTTTGCATTGCTTCCAAGGACTTGATCATAGACACGGAAATGGAGTACTTTGAGGCCATGAAGAAGGCCAACAAGGATGTGGAGCTTCTGATTAACAAGGGGATGACTCACAGCTTCTATCTTAACAAGATTGCAGTAGACATGGACCCTGAAACAGCTTCCGAAACTGAGGTTCTGATTACAAGGATCAATGAGTTCATCAAGAACCACTAGAACATTATGGGACTTTGCGCGGAAATTAATAATTGTATTTTTAGACTTTTGCTTGTAGTATTTTATTTTACTATTATTATTTTCCTGTATTGGGATATTGGTAATTATATGCTTTTCAGGTTGATGTAAGTTGTAACTGGTGGTGTGGATTATGGATAGGATGAGATGAGATTTTGTCGACCTTTTTGGAACTTTATTAGCTTCTTGAGTATAATAACTTTTGGGGCTTTTATTTTAATCACAAAACCGAAACACATAATTTTAATTAGTCCGTAATCCTTCAATCGATCAATGTTTTTGAATAGGCTCATGATCATTAGCCTATTCAATCACATCATAACCAAGATGCTATAGAAAGTGATGCTAGGAAATAGTGTCTGAATCACATTGGATTCAGACATCAGTTATGTAAGATTCCGAACTTTGAAAATGAGTCAGGTGGAAAAACACATAAAATTAGTTATGTCATGATCGATCATTGCCACGAGACATTAATGATCAACTAAGCAAGTCTAAAACACAAAATATGATATATAGCAAGAGCTTGTAGTTTAGAGAATTTATCAAAAATAGTCAAAACTTGATCCCTAATTTTAAAAATGTCAGTTTTTAAAAAAAATTTCAAATATAGCAGAAAACTCATCTAAATAGACACAAATGCCATCAAATTTAAAACCCACATAAACCTATAAACAAAAAACCTTATTAAATTAAACTTTGGAATATTCCTTCAAACACTTTTCCAATCACCTCTCTATTTCTTTTTCATTTCTTTTTTCTGTTTTTTTTTCCGTTTGTCTCCAACATCACTCCCTCTCTTTTTCTTTCTTCTTCTCTCCATCTCTCTTTCCCTTTACTTCTTCCGTCTGCATGTCTCTTTTCTTCTTCTTCTCATCTTCTTCTCTCCCATTTGTCTCCAAATAAAATGTATGTATTTATTTGGCAAAAAAAAAGAGTATTTAGAACCAAAAATTCAGAAAATGATTGAATCAATGCACAAGTATAATTTCCTCCTCTCACTCAAAATGAAACAGAAAAATTACAAAACTTAATGGATACCAAATAAACCTTACACACATCCAAGTTAGTTGAAGGTCCATACTGATGAACTAATAACATCAGCATGTGATTACATCTTCTGCTACACATATGGACAAAGTGGATCCTACCACCAACACTAGGTGGAATACTTGGGTTGGACTCAAGCTGTGCCTTAAATTTAAGTTTCTATCTATCTCCTCTTTTTAAATTCAAGTATAGTAGTTTGCAATGCACATCAACCCCTTCAACTTTAAGATCCTTTGAAAAGTTTGTTTTTAGGCTCTACGATTTTGTTTAAGAGTAATGCTATTTGGACACACAACATTGACACACTTAGTTGACACCCGCTAATGTGTCAATGTATCATTTGCTGAACAGAAAATGAGGAGAAAAGAAGAGCAAATGATACATTGACACGTCAGCAGGTGTCACTAAGCGTGTCAATGTTGTGTGTCCAAATAGCATTATTCTTTGTTTAAAGTCTTCCGTTGCCTATTAAATGAATTTTTGATAATCTAAATAATGTCTAAATGAACTTCGTTTTTTTTAGAAAAATACAATACTTCCTTCATTATTTTTACCTTGGTTTTTTTTTGGGTAACAACAACGACAAAAGCAAAAGGAGCAAGAAACACGTTCTTATCAAAATACACCACTTTTTGGTCAATAGGGGTAAAATTGTCCATTCACCTATCAATTTAAACATGCCCAACAACTTTGGGCTTCCTAATTGAGCTTTTCCAAATCAAAATTTGAAACTCACTCACCAATGACCAAACCCAAAATAAAAATACTCCATTTATCATATCCTTATTAGTAAACATTTTTATCAATAACAACTAAGTTTTCTATTATTATTATTATTAGGGAAGGGGTTTACAAAAATATGCATTGAGTGTGTGAATATTTCGAACCTGTACTTATATGAGTGGAAGTAGAAGAGCTCAACCAATTAAGCTATACTCCACTAGCAATAATATAATTATTTTACATGTAGCTGTAAATAATTCATAGCACTCATAAAATTTATGTTACAAGAGGCCCAGCTGTGAGTGTGAGACTGATCACGTATATGTAGCACAGCAACTGCTGGGGGCAAAAGGGAAAATTACAGGTTTAAACAAAAACCATAAATAATAAGCATAATATAGTAACCCGGTAACTCAGCATCTTCAGTGCTTATTGACGAACTCTATGATCCCAGAAATGAGCCCCTCAGTTTGGGCAGCTGTTTGTGGGTCCATATCCACAGCAATCTTGTTAAGATAAAAGCTATGAGACATCCCAGGACTGATCAAAAGCTCCACTTCCTTCCTAGCTTTCTTCATAGCCTCATAGTACTCCATCTCTGTGTCTATAATCATGTCCCTCTCTGCAATACAAAGAAGAAACGGAGGCAGCTTCAGGCTATTCAAATCCGGTGCTCCATAACCCATTGGACAAGTTATCGGATGGTCCTTTGTGGACCCCACCGGCAATGCCAAGCTCAGAAACTTGTCCACCATGTCAATGGTAAGCATAGGCGACTCTGGCTGCTCCAACTCCGACCGGCTCCTCACTGCCCGAACAAAACCCGGGTGGATTGGGATCCCGCCCGCTAGCCTTAGCGGACTCAAATCCACCTTCCCAGCTCGGGCGGCAACTTCATGTACGAGGTTACCGCCTGAGCTGTCTCCTATAAGAAAAACACGGTTAAAGTCGCCGTGATTGATCAGCCACGGCTCGTATGACTCGCCTTTGGCTAGGGAACGGAGCCAGAGAAGAGCAGAGAAGCCATCGTTCACGGGAGCAGGGAGGCGGTGCTCGGGCGCCAGCCTTAGGTAGACGGAGACACAGATGGCTTTGGCGGAGCGAGCAAGCCTGGTGTACATGTGGTAGTACATGTACCAGTCAGCTTGGCTTATGCAAAAGCCTCCTCCGTGGAGGTGAAGTATTATGGGCAGCTTGCTCTCGTCCTCGGGGTTTGTTTCCGGCAGATAAATTCGTAGGCGGAGGTTTTTGTTGACGAAAACATCACGGGTTGCAACTCCGTCAATGAAGTCGTCATGGGGTGGGACGGACTCAGTCATGAACTCGACCTGAGGAGGTCCAGTCCATGTTCGGTCGACTGAGCCGTCGTCGAAGACTCTAAGCCAACCGGACACTTCATTGACAACTACTTTCTGGCAGACCATGGTCGATAGCTAGTCAAGAAGGCTTTGGGTGTGATAAGAGTATTATGGTAATGCGGTGGATGTGGAATTGAGAGACGACCCTTTATATAGGAGTTGGAAGTGTGTGAGAACTGAGAAAGTTGTCAGAAACTAAGCAGAAGCTTCAACGCGGTTCAACGCGGTTCACATTTTCAAAGACGGAATAGTGATGAAATTATCTCTTCTTTTTTTTCTTGTGGCCATCGTCAAACTAAACTAATACAAAACAATAGTCATCACCAACTCGATTAAAATAACAGTTGAATTAAGCGACACCAACTTTGTTTGCATTTGATGACAAAGTTATGAAATAGATAAACTTATTTATATTTTCTGTGGTTATATTTTCATGACCTTTGCAACAGAATTGTGTGGAAATTTCAGTAAGAATATATGTATTACATGCTTGACATTTAGTCTTCAATTACTGCAATATATTTGTCTTCGCGATCCGTAGATGAGCCGTTAATTAATGTGGAGGAAATAGATTTTACTCTAGTCTTTTGCACGATAGGATACACGTGTGAGGCAGAGGGAGGACTAATTTGTTTATTGTAACCTTAAATAATTACCACCAATCACGGTAATAGAAATTAAAATTGTACTAAATGTTTGTAATAGCAAATAATTTATGTAACATATAGGCCATATCATATGGGTCACGTAGAATATTTTTAAAATACTCTTACATATAATCATGTAAGTGTTTGATTTTACATCTCAACAAAAGATAAATAAATTGGATTTTGTACTTAGGAAATCTTGGCCGAGTCTTAATGGTGTGACGTGTCATGAATATATAGCCATAATTGAGTTTGTTAAGGCCTGGTGTTAAGATTTAGGCTTGAATAAACAAAACCAAGGAGATTAATTAAAATAATGGTTGACTTGATTACCAAACAAAACCTTATACGTACGTACTTTCTGTGTTTACATTGTAGTTGTGTTCAGACGACGTGGTTGGGCTTAGGATTAAGGGTTAATGAGTTAAGTAATGTGATAGTGATTTTAACTGTATTACTATCCAAGTACTTCAATGCTTCTCCTCTTTTTGTTTATTTTCTCTCTTGACAATTTTTGGTAGGTTGGTTTGTTGTAAGTAGCATCTTTCAATACGGTAGAAACAACCTACTGCTTTGCTCACTATAAAATATGACATAAAAATAAAATCTTCTTCTCGTCCCCATGAAATTAGTGACGATTAAATGTGAAGTTAAAGGAAGGATAATATATTTTTTTTTTTGTGGTAAATACCACGAGGTGTCCCCACACCTGAAGGGTGGGATTAATCCCCGTTCGGGGTTCGGCTTACCCCTGACTACAAAGTGTTTCCAATGGGTTTCGAACCCCTGTCATTGAACTAGGTAGCTCGCCAACTGGAGATAGCAGTTTGCCAACAGCACCACACTTTGTGGTTAGGAAGGATAATATTTTGAATGAGCTTGGAGGCAGGCATATTCTCTCACACAAATACTCTCGGAGGATTAATCTAATTGAGAATAACGAGACTGTGAGAATTGAATTGTTCTCTAATAACTCACATGAGAATCAAAATTTGCATAGCCATTAATAGCATCAATCCACTTCAAGTCTATATCAGAACCACTGTATAATTTAGTCAATGAAAGTCGTCATTAAAAGTGTAGATTCAAGTTCGAAAGACACCTGCACCCATTATATGCTTAAATTTCCTAAATCCTCTTTTCTTTCATTTGATTCTTATCTCGGTTGCACCTGTCACTTTGTTTTGTGGAAATTTAAATTTTGTGAATGCAGCCAAGACAGCCACCACCCACCCTTTCCAACATATCATATCCTTAGAAGCTCATGAGAATTTGAGAAGAAATTCAGAGCATGACTAACATCCATATGTTGAACAGAGTCATGTTGACCTGGCGTTATACCAGAAGAAAGAACAGGCCAAACAGAGTCATGTTGAACGATGTACAAGTGCTGACAAAAGAAAAGGACGTTATTGCAATAATGCTCTGCCTTCAAATATGGTGGTGTTGCTTTCACTTTATATTTTATCTCTCAACTACTTTATTTGTTCTTTAATGTTTCAATTTATCTTAACACCACTACCATTCTCCCCACCGCCACCACTACCTCCCCCACCATCACCACCACCGTCATCACGCTTAAACTCTCTGTTTTTTGATTGCTATAAACTCCATTAAAATCAATAATAAAACTCTAACAAACTCAGTTCAAATCTATATACGAATTCAGTCAAAATCTATGTGGAGTTTGAAGAATTCAATCAAACTCAATTAAATTCAATTAAACTCCATCAACTTTATAACTCTTTTAAAATCATTTAAAATAATAATTTGTTATGAAATAAATTAAAAGAATAGCACTTCGATAATTATACATAGATAGCACTGCTGCACGTTATTAGGAGATACGGTGAGTTTAAGCACTAGCCATTGGAAATTTCCATGCATCTTTTGTGTAGCTTCTGCTTAGTCTTCATAGCCTTTTGATTTTCCATTTCCTTTTTTCGTTTTCTTTTCGCTTCTTTAGTCAACACCATTCAAAATGTCACATAACATAAAGTAATGCTTCTCAAACACGTGTCCCAAATTAGAAATTTCGATTTAATTGTTGTAAATTTAAACAACTAGCTAGACTGCTATATAAGGTCAACAGTCAACAAATCTACCGTGTACGACGTGTAGTCCATACTTGCTCTCAAATATATTATTGGACCAAAGTTTGCCCTCTCACTCTGCTTCAACACGTTCCCCTTGGTAAAAGTCTTCTACTTCCGTTTTAGTCCAAGGGCAAACAACATTTTGCCCATTCATTCAGAAAAATCCACCTGCAGGTGCTCAGATTGTATTGTTTCTTAGGAGGAATATATAAAATTGCATGTGCAAGCAGATGCAGCATGACAAATTCCCAAGTTTAGGAGTGAAATATATTTCTTTCTTGATTTGGTGTGCCTTATTACTTTGAGTAAGTCTTTATATATATATATATATATATATATATATATATATTCTTATCCGGATATTCGTACGTTATTATCATACTGATGCTATTGTAAACAGAGAGGAAAGCATGGAGGGATAATAAAAAATACATGGCGTCTGTACAATAATAACGTCCGAATATCCGTATAGATATATAGATATATATATATTTATTTATTTATCAATTCATATTGTGATGAATTTTATTTGCTTCTAACAAACATAATAGAAATCTCATATGCCACTTGAATGTTGGTAATAAAGTGATTTAAAATATTGGTAATATAAAAAAGAAATTTGCAAGTCTTTTGGTGCTTCGTGTTGTTGTATTGTATTTTATTACTTAAAGGTGAAGTATTAATCCTTTAAGACACATATATGTTGTGTGCGTGCGGAGTGTCAATTTCATATTTTAAGTGAGATTTTTGTAGTTTAAATCAATGTTTCAAAATGATAGTTTGATAATATAGTGTGTTAGACAATAAATAAGAGCAGCTTTGGCCCACTCTCAAGGTTTGAGATCCCCAGCAGCGACTCCTCCAGCTTTATCACCAGTTGTTTAGCAAGTTGATCCCTCGTCGAGTAACGAGGCACCCAAATGATTGCTGACAGATATTTAGAAGGATTTTGGAATATTACGCCTGGACCACTCTTTCTAAACACCAGGTTGCTCTGTGAATTTTTTTGCCAGTAGACCACTATCTTCACCGGTGGGCCCCAAGAGAAAAAGAAGTGTTTGTTGTCTTGTTGAAAGCTATTACTCCACCCTTTGCACCTGGGTTGTCTACCCAAATTTTCACCCAATGGAGCCAATTCATTACTCAAAGCAATTGGTTGGCCCTCATAACTCTCACCAACCAACAACAATTGACTTGCCATAAGACCTTTATCAGACCTTAGTTGAACCACATTAACTTCTCTAAGATTCGTTTGAGTTATTGCGTAAGATTTAAATCTTATAGCAGTCCCATCTCCCCTAAACACAGCTTGTATGTCTATGTTATGTTAGCTTTTTTAATGAACATTTCTACCCAAAAAAATCAAAATATGGAGTAATAATTATGAAGGTAAATTATAATTACAAAAATTAAAAATCAACATTTCTACCCAATTTATAATTTAAACAAAATTGAAAGAAACATAAAAAAATTGAAGTAGTTTATAAAGGTAAATTATAACAATTGAAAGCAAAAAGAAAGAAAGAAGAAAAGAGAGAAGGATATATGAAACCGAAAAATCAAAAACGAAAAAAGAAGAAAATAGAAAACAATAAACAAAAGGGGTAGTAAAACATTAAACAGAGAAAAGTTGCTGTTAGAAAAAAAGAAAAAAACCATTTTTATTTAGTTCAAACGTGAACTGTTGGATGACCAACAGTTAGGTCCAGATGGAATACAGGCACGAGTACAAGGCCCAGCTTCGGTGGGCGCGTTACTCCTCTATGCTGATGTACGAAAAGGCTATAATGAGGGCTTAAAGTGATGAGGTTATTTGAGGAGGTCAAATCTCACCATCAACAAATGTAAAGAAATCATGGGACTTAAATATTTTAAATGTTTTGACGGTCGGATCAGTCTCCTCACTTTAACTCCTCATTGTAGAAGCTCCCTGCTGATGTATGCTGCAGCTTTTCAAAATGTGGGATCCGTTTGGATTATAGAGGGCTCTATCAGAGTCCATATATTTTAGAGATTTCGATGGGGCTTTATGATATCGAAAAGGCTATAGTGCAGGGGAAGTTATATGGGGTAAGTTATAAGGGATTCACTTTATAGTCATCAGATCAATTAAAGGGCTAGGGACAATTGAGATAAAGTTTTACAATCGGGTAGGTGAGGAATCCAAACCCGAATTTAATACCCAACATTGAAGTTGGTCCAAAAAAAAAAGTTTGAGGTTTGAATAGAAAAAACCCATAGCTCTAATAACCGAAATCCATAGCTCTGAGACACCACTAAGCTCTGAGAAACCCATAGCTTTGAACAAACGACGGTTAAAGGCAACTCTTAACGACGGTTGAACACCACTCCGTTCTCTAAACCCTGAAAAAGTATTTACTTTGAATGGAGGGGGCAAATGAGTGGATTCCGAAACCGTGAAAGGGGCGAAGCAATGGAAGGGCAAGGAGCGAAGCCGTATTCGTTGGAAGTGATAGGTTCCATTTGTGGAGTAAAGCCGCACAAATACCCCACACAGACACCCTGCGATTGTTCAAGAACCAACATTTGGTGAGTAATTTATGGAATTTGAGTTTATGGTTAGAGTAACGGTTTTCCCTAATTTGTACCATCAATGTTGTTGGATTTGGCATTTCTTGTTTGTGCTTCACTTGCATAGCTCTAATAACTGAAACCCATAGCTCTGAGAAATCCATAGCTTTGAACAAATTACGGTTGAAGGCAACTCTTAACGACGGTTGAGCACCACTCCGTTCTCTAAACCCAGAAAAAGTATTTACTTTGAATGGAGGGGGCAAATGAGTGGATTCCGAAACCGTGAAAGTTGGTAATAAAGTGATTTAAAATATTGGTAATATAAAAAAGAAATTTGCAAGTCTTTTGGTGCTTCGTGTTATTGTATTGTATTTTATTACTTAAAGGTGAAGTATTAATCCTTTAAGACACATATATGTTGTGTGCGTGCGGACTGTCAATTTCATATTTTAAGTGAGATTTTTGTAGTTTAAATCAATGTTTCAAAATGATAGTTTGATAATATAGTATGTTAGACAATAAATAAGAAGAAAAATTAGGTGTTAGACATAATTAAGTTTATTAATTAGTAAGTGAGATATTAGGTATTTTGGTTTGGGTTTTAATACCTAAGAAAAAATTGCTATTTTAGATTAGGCCAAAGACTAGCCCAGATTCGTTGGGCCAGCTTAAAAATAACAAATGAAAAGATAATTCTACCCTTCTTCTTAAAAAGCCTATCCCATCTTTAAACCTACAAATTAAATGACGCTTTTACCCCTGAATGTTTAAACTACGCGCGAGCATCTCTTTCTTTTTTGTTCGTTTTCTTTTTCGTTTCGGAGCTGTGGTTGTGGATTTGACGTTGGAGCTCAATTTTCTGGTAGGTTTTCCTTTTATTTTCTTCGTTTTTCTGTTTTCTTTTTTCTGCTACGTTTTTGTTCGATTTGCATGCTGAATGACTGCCAGTTTTGGGTGATTTCTGTTCTCCTTAGTTTGGGTATTTCGAGCTCAGTTTTGTGGCGCAATCTTCACTACAAGAAAAAACCTTTTCAGCAACGAAATGTTCAGTGACCAACCCAAATTTGGTCGCTCAAAATGGAAATTAGCGACAAACCTTTTGCAATTGGTCGCCAAAGGTTTCGTGGTATTAAGGAATCATCCAAGACCTGAACAAAATGAATTGCTACCAAATTCTTCAGAAGGGCGACGAAATTTTTTCGTGGCTATGGTTGCAATTAGCGACCAAAAATAATTTTCGTCGCCATTCATTGAATAGAGTGCGCGCGAAATTGAAAAAAATTCTTGGCGACAAAAAAGTTGTGTAGCTATGTTTGCCAGTGTCGTCACAAAGCAAAAACGCGGGCTAAAAATTTCGGGGTATTTTGGCGACCGTTGGTTTTGGTCGTGGATTAATGTGTGCTCAGAATTAAACCCATCAAAACTACATCGTTTTGCATATGTTGGTATTTTGGCGACCAAATTATTTTGGGGCTAATTTGAGACTATAAAAATAAAAATTCCCCTTGACCAGCATGCGTGTTATTTCCCTCATCTAGTTCGCATACCCACTCCCTTCATCTCGCACGCCCTAAACTGCTCCGACGCCGACAAAGCAATCTGCCACCGACGTCAGCCAAGCAGTCGTATGGACATACCCACTCTCATCCCCCAAGATTTATGATGGCCTGAGTTACTTTCACTGTCTCTGGCCCAGACCATCTACCCTTCAATTCTCCAGAATTTTTAGAATCTCTTCAGCCACAACCAAGCAGTGATTCAAAGGTATTTTCTCCTTTTGTTTATTCAACAATTATTCTATAGTTATTTGATTTTGATTATTTCAAAATAAAATCTGTTTTTTTTTGTCTTAATAACATGGTCGTTGCAACCCCTCAATCATTGAATTGACAAAGTCCTCCTCTCACAACTTCCTTCATATGGTGCCTTTCTGTTAGGTATGAAGACCATTTGCTCTGTCTGATGTGCGTTTTAAGTTTTGGAACATGGAAATATTTATTTGGTCATCTAGATTTACTGAAAACTACTTCATCCATGTGGATTGGTTCTTAATGATAATTGTGGGAGCAAATTTCATCCCACTAGAATATTCACCTAAGATTCCTTCGTCTTCTCCACTTCTCTTTCTCCCTGCAAAATAGATCGGGGTAAAAGGACCACACCCGGGGGGTGTTGGCCAAAGGCCCTCCGATGCCTAAGTTAGGTAGGGTATTTCAAGGAAAACCGGGTGACCGGAGCCTTGTGTAAGAGAGAGAAATAAAGTGGTGGCTAGGGTTTGTGAGAAATAATTTCTGCAGAGTTTCAGTAGGAATTTAGACGTATCTTGACCTTCGTGTGTGACCATCTTTTTATAGTGGTCTCGGAGGCTAGGGTTTCAGAGGAATAATTCCGTAGTTGGTAAGGAATTATTCCTCCTCGATTTGGAATTGATTTGATTAATTAGGGATTTGATTTATTAGGGTAAGTCAAATCCCTAATTGTGGTAGGAATCAAATCAAATATCAATTTAATTAGGTAATTATCAATTTAATTGGGTAACCCCCAATTAAATTGAGTAACTCCCAATTAGGTTGAGTAATTCCCAATTAGGTCAAATAATCCCCAAATGGAAGGAATTATTTGACCTAGGGTTTTGATTTAATTGGTTCCCACAAATGCCCCCTAGCTTCTACATGGCACGTGGTGGCATGGAGGAGATGTGGATTAATTGTTGGGCTGTCCAGCTGCAACTGGGCTTCTTTCTGTGACTTGGTCTCTTGAGTGGAGGAGGCTTTTGACTTGCCAATTGGTCTTTGACTTGGGTAGTCCAGCTGTAACTGGGCTGGAGGCGAGCCGGCCTATTGCTGGAGCAGGTGGCAGTTTGGGTCGGCTTATTTGTGGTTGATCCAATCTGCTTCAATTCCTTCTTCTTTTTGTGTCACGAACTAGGAACAGTATGAGTCAAGGCGATCATGTGTCAAGCACGGACATGTTGGAAGTCAGCGGCAGATGGGTAGGGGAGGTTGGCGACGATCCGCTCATTCCTTTCACCTACTATGATGGTAAGTTGCATCCATTTGATATGTTGTTGCCATGAAATTCTTTGTTGTGTGTTTGACTAACTTTTGTCTCCTGCTTGTAGAAAATGACATCCACAAGAAGCTCGATCTCGGTCCGGACACGACCAATGTTCATCAAGCTTTGAACATTCTTGCCAGGTTCTGTGGATTGCGTTGGTTGCTGAGTGAACATCGGAAAGAGGTGGTGGCCTGCCCCCAACTGAATATGTTGAAAGATGGGAGCTGCATGGCTCGAACCTAGATGATCTGCCAGTTAAGCGGAAGAAGTCCTCGACCAAGCTTCCTCATTCTTTCACGAGCAAGTATTCCGTAAAGGGGTCTCGTCTTCTGAGAATGTCCCTATGGGAGTTGCTTCTTCATCTGCCAAGATCAAGCGCCTCGTCAGCGCAAACAGTAAGAAGATCAATGGCATGCAGGAGGTCCAGGATATTCTGCTCAGGTATCCGTCGAACTGCCTAAAACCCATGATCTACCTTATGAGGAAGCTGTTGAGAAGCAGGGTTTGAGTTGCTTGTGCCGATCCTGGGATCAAACTGAGAGGACTGTACATCTGTCTAGCAATCACGACTTGTCTGTAAAGCCCCAAATAGTCAAGCGCGGAGTTGACTCAATGTTGGAAGTTACGGCCAAGAGAGTTAAAGAGTCGTCTGCTCGAGCTAAGAGTCCTTAAGTTGCACGAACTGCCGATCCAGAAGTTGGTGATAACTCCACTGGTCAAGTTCGACACTCATGTTGAAGCCACGGAGGCATCCAAGCATGAGATTGTTGCTAATGTGTACAAGCTAGGATACTTGGATTGCAGGAATAATGCTTCTCCTTGTTGCCCTCTCGAACATGAAGACGGTAAGCAGCTCTATCCTGACCTGCCCCTTGCTCAAAGTGAGCAGAGCAATGTTGTGGATGCAAAAGCAGTTGAAGACCAGATAGCAGATGAAGCTGCAATGGAGGAAGACAACTCCCAAGGTGGCGTAGCTGATGAGGCTAGACCAGATGTGAAGGAGCAGGCAGGTGAGGCCATTGAGTAGATGGTGCTTGTTGGCCGCTTTGTTATGGAATTTTCAGTTGTCTTTCAAACTTCAATTCTCATTGCATCTTGTAAGTGTATATCCGGAGATACAACACTTGAAAGAAACTCCATTGAGTTTGTACTCGTGAAGTAGCTTGCCTACAATGAAGGTAAGGCTCGTCGCTTGTGTGCGTATGTCAGGGACATGACGCTTGAAAAGACTCCATGAAGTTTGTACTCGAGGAGTAGCTTGTCTTCAGTGGAGGTGAGGCTTGTCACCTGCGAGCATATGTCGGGGATATAATGCTCGAAAAAGACTCCATTGAGTTTGTGCTTCGAGGAGCAGTTTGTCTGCAATAGAGATGAGGCTTGTTGCCTGCGAGCGTATGTCAGGGACATAATGCTCGAAAAAGACTCCATTGAGTTTGTGCTTCGAGGAGCAGCTTGTTTGCAATAGAGATAAGGCTCGTCGCCTGTTTCCGTATGTCGGGGACATAACGCTTGAAAAGGACTCCATTGAGTTTGTGCTTCGAGGAGCAGCTTGCCTGCAATGGAGGTGAGGCTTGTCGCCTGCGAGAGTATGCCAGGGACATAATGCTCGAAAAAGACTCCATCGAGTTTGTGCTTCAACGAGCAGCTTGTCTGCAATGGAGATAAGGCTAGTGGTAAGTTGCAACTCGAACATTGGCCTTTTTATTGTAGCAAGATGTGAGCTGCTGTTGGTAAGCTGCAACTCGAACAATGACCTTCTTATTATAGCAAGATGTGAGCTACTGCTGGTAAGCTACAACTCGAACAATGACCTTTTCTCATTTTTCTTCGAGCATGTCAAGGTTGACTTTCATCTACTTGTAGTTTTGGTCAAGACTGCCCATCTCAATACTCATGGAAGGGACTGTGATGTGTGGGGGAATGACTGCTTCTGTCCCATAGGCCAGGGAAAATGGTGTCTCTCCGGTCGATCTCCTTTTGGTTGTGCGATAAGCCCATAGGACTCATGGCAGCTCGTCGACCCATTTTCCTTCTGCGCGTTCCAGTCTTTTCTTTAGTCTGTCTACCACGATCTTTTTGGATGCCTTTGCTTGATTTTTCTGGCTTCGGACTTGTCCTCGGGCAAGTTTTCGTTCACTAGGTAGTCAATGATGAGGTCTTGCCAGCTGGGATCCTTGTCGATCTGCATCAGGTCCGGCTGCTCTGCCTCTTCTATGCTAGGCTGGTGCTCGACCGGGATGGAGCGTCTGAACTGGGTATCCAACGCTAATCCTAAGCTTGCCAGTGTATCCGCTTGCCCGTTCTCTGCTCGGGGCACCTACTGGATGGTGAAGGTAGGAAACACCTTCAACAGCTCTTGGACTTTGTCAAGGTTCAAGATCATCCTTGGGTGCTTCGCCATGTATTCTCCTGAGGCTTGACTTGTGATTAGTTGGGAATATGAGTAGATGACTAGCTTCTTAATTGATAGCTCCTTTGCCAAGCGTAAGCCAGCGAGCAATGCCTCGTACTCTGCCTCGTTGTTTGAAGCTGGGAAGCCAAGCGTGATAGCTTGCTCTAACAGGGTTCCATTTGGGGCGACGATGACGACGCCTGCTCCATCTACGCGTAACTGCCACATGTCTCCAGGCTAGTCAGGTTCAGTGGAGGTCTTGTCTGCTCTCGAACTTTCCTTCTTTTTGTTGACCAGCTTCTCTTCTTCGGCTGATGGTGTGAATTCTGCAACAAAGTCTGCTAAGGCTTGGGCTTTTATTGCAGTCTTCGGCCAGTAGAGGAGGTCGTATTGGCTTAGCTCTATAGCCCAGTTCATGTCGCTGAGAAGCATCAGGGCTGTGGAGGATTGATCTCAAAGGAAAGTCGGTCATGACGGTCACTCGATGAGCTTGGTAATAAGGTCGCAGCTTTCTCGCGGAAACTACAAAGGCCAAAATGAGCTTCTCCAATTTCGGGTAGCGAGTCTCCGCATCAAGGAGAGCTTTTGAAGTGTAGAATATCAGATGTTGGGCCCCAAGTTCTTCTCAGATGAGAGCTGAGCTGACGGCCAAGTTGGACACTGCCAGGTACACGAACAAGTCTTCACCAGGAACTGACTTTGAGAGTAGGGGAGGTGAAGTGAGGTAGGTCTTTAGATTCTGGAAAGCTACTTCGCACTTTTCGTCCCACTTGTCTTTTTGTCCCTTCTTCAAAGCTTTGAAGAATGACCTGCACTTATTGGTATATTTCGAGAGGAATCGGTTGAGGGCCGCTACTCTGCCCGTCAAGTTTGTATTTCCTTCACTGTGGAAGGCGACTTCATCTCGAGAATGGCTTTGATTTGGCGTCGGTGTGCCTCAATACCATGTTGTGTTACTAAATACCCTAGGAATCAACTTGATGATACACTGAACGTGCATTTACTTGGGTTCAGCTTCATGCGATACTGGCAGAGCAGGCTAAATGCCTCGGCGAGGTTTTTGAGGTGGTCTGCCCGCTTGGGGGTTTTGACCAGCATATCGTCTATGTAGACTTCCATGGTTATGCCGATCTGCTCCTTGAAAATTTTGTTCACGAGCCTTTGGTAGGTTGCTCCAGCGTTCTTCAGCCCAAAGGGCATGACCTTGTAGCAGTAGGTCCCTCTCTCGATGATGAAAGAGGTCTTCGCCTTGTCATCATCGTACATCATAATTTGATTATAGTCGGAGTAAGCATCCATGAAGCTGAGCAGCTGATTGCCGGAAGTTGAATCCACGAGCTGGTTGATTCTCGGTAATGAGAAGACGTTCAGTTAGTACCCCTCAATCTTGATCAGCCAGTGGAGAGTGTGTCGATTACACCGACCTCGTATTGGCACACTCTCCACTTGTGGCCACCAGAACAACGTTGGCCAGCCATTCTGAGTAGAGACCTCTTCAATGAAACCGGTAGCTAGGACCTTGTCGATCTCGGCTTCAATGATCGCGACCCGCTCAGGAACGAAGTTGCGTCTCTTCTGCACCACGGGCTTGCTAGCAGGGTTTACATGGAGCTGGTGGCAGATGCTATTTGGGTCGATGCCGGGCATGTCAGATGGTGACCACGCGAACATGTCTTTGTTGTTCTGGGGGAATATGGTCAGCTCCATCTTCTCGTCTGGGCTTAGGCGCGAGCCGATCCGCACTTTCTTGTCTAGCTGGTCAGGATCGAGGGGTACTAACTCAAAGTCTTCCTCAGGCTTCCAACCTTTTTCAAGGGAGCCTTTCGGGCAGATTCCCTCGTCTTGATCCTTCTTGTTTGGATTCTGGTGCGAGTCGTTCTGCGCTTGTTTGTCTGGCTAATCAGGATTGAGGAGGTACTAACTCAATGTCTTCCTCAGGCTTCCAACCTTCTTCAAGGGAGCCTTCCGAGCAGATTCCCTCGTCTCGATCCTTCTTGTTTGGATTCTGGCGCGAGCCGATCTGCGCCTCTTTGTCTGGCTGGTCAGGATTGAGGGGTACTAACTCAACATCTTCCTCAGGCTTCAAACCTTCTTCAAGAGAGCCTTCCGGGAGGATTCCCTCGTCTTGATCCTTCTTGTTTGGATTCTGGCGCGAGCCGATCTGCGCCTCTTTGTCTGACTGGTCAGGATCAGGGGGTACTAACTCGACGTCATCCTCAGGTTTCCAACCCTTTTTAGGGGAGTTTTCTGGGCGAATTCTCTCACCTTGATCCTGGCTCCTTAACTACTACTGTGAGGCAGCAACTTCCTTCCCTTTCGGGTTTGCTTGTCTGCTAGGGGCGCTTCCTTCCTCGTTGGCAGCTTGCATTATTGGTGTGAACTGCAGTTGCTTGCTCTTCTGGAGCCATTGGGTTGTGCATCTCCTTGCCATGGCTTGGTCACTGTTGATCTGCCTCATCCCCCCCCCCAGGGATGGGGTAGCAGATCTTCTGATGTAGAGTAGATGTGATGGCCTCGATCTTGCTGATCCACCGTCGGCCCAAGATTCCGTTGTAGGGGGAAACCTCGTCGATGACCATGAAGGTTTGCAAGTAGACCACTTGGGGTGAGTGGACGTCAAGGTCGATCGTTCCAACAGTGATTGATGTGGCCCCATTGAAGCCGGTGAGCGATCTGGCAAGTTTGCTAATCTTGGGCTCTAACCCCATATGTTGGATAACATATAGTTGTAGGATGTTGGTTGTGCTGCCCTCATCTACATAAACTCGCTCGATCACAGCTTGTTCAATTTGGATGCAGATGACTAGGGCGTCATTATGTGGCAGGTCAAGCCCGATCAAGTCCTTCTTCTGGAAGCCGATGACGGGTGTATCCACAATGGCTGGTACTCCCGTTATGACTTGGGAGACATAAGTTGCCTGAGCGATCCTTTCTTTTGCTCTCCTTGGTAGTCAGCCCGGACGCTTGGAAGTCAGCTAGAATGATGTTGATTCGAATGACCTTTTGAGGAGGTTCCTTAGCAGCTGCATCACGATCCTCGATTTGTTGGATGGCCCTCTTTGCAACGAACTCTGTGCAATGGCCTTCTCTGACCAGCTCCTCAAGTTGCCTTTTCCAAGCGTTCCAGTTGTTGGTGTAATGACCGTGCTTCCAGTGGAATGCGCAGTATTTACTGGTGTCCCTCTTAGAGGGGTCTCCCTTCATGGGTGGTGGTCTTCTCACCCATGGCTTGTCCTTCACTTGAGCTTGGATCTGGTGGATTGGGATAGCGAACTCAGTGAAGGTCCATGTTTCTGAGCTTCCCTCTTGGGGCCGCAATATGAGCTTATCCTGGGCTTTTTGCTCGAACTTGTTGCTCTTTTGGCTTGCCTGCTTCGTCGCGTGGTCAACTTGCTTGCTGGCTTTCTTTGAGGCGATACAATTATCGTCCCAAAGTGCGTAGCGCTCTGCCGTCGCGAAAACTTCCGCCAAGGTTTGGCTTGGAGTTATGGCCAACTCCCGGTATAGCTTGTGCTCGGTTGGCAAGCCCTTCTTGAAAGCTGAGGATGCGACTTGGTCATTGCATCCTATGATGTTAGCCTTCTCAGCCTTAAACCGTCTCAGGTAGTCTCGTAGAGATTCGTCTGGCTTCTTGTGAAGGTTGAACAGGTGGTCCGCATGCTTTCTGACCGTCTTATAGGAGGTGTACTCCTTTGTGAAAATGAGGGCGAACTCCTTGAAGTTGCCTATCGACACGGACGGTAGAGTGTGGAACCAATCTTGAGTTGCTCCTCGCAGAGTCATCGCGAACACTTTGCACATCAGGGCGTCGTCTGCCTTGTACAGGATCATGGCGCTCTTGAAGTGCCTCAAATGGAGTCCCCCTTGAATGGAGTGATGAATGGCGTCGTAAACCGCTTTGGCGGCGGAGCTCGTTACACCTCGTCAATAAAGGGCGAGCAGTCAACTTGATCAATTTCCTTGCACAGGGCCTCCTCCGTGCTTCCTTTAAGTTGGAGACCTCGGAGTTGGTCATTTATTAGCTTCTCGACATCCTTTGCTCGCAGGGTTGGAGTCTCGGGCCGACTTCTTCGATGCCTTGAGCTCGACTTGCTAACTTCTTCCTCGATTCCCAAGGGTCGATCCCCTCGGGTGCTCTGCCTGTAGGGCAGATTATGAGATTAAGCTTGTGAGGATTCCTCTACAGCTTGTCGCCGTGTGTTGGTCCTCGAGCGGGCTGGTGGGCGTCGATCGTCATCCTCTGCTTGCAAGGAGGGTTGCTTAGGTTGACGTCTTTGGTGCCTCGAGCGTGACTGGCTAACTTCTTCTTCAGCTCCCAAGGGTTGATCCCCTTGGTTGCCCTGCCTGTGGGGTAGGAGAGAAGGTTGAGTTTGGGAGGATCCCTCTACAGCTTGTCGCCGCGTGTTGGACCTCGAGTGGGCTGGTGGGTGTCGATTGTTGTGCTTGTGGACCCAAGCGAGCATGGACATTGGACTGTAGGCCTAGCCTCTCGAGCACATTGGTCTTGGGACCTAACCTCAAACGGCTCACAGTACGGCTCGCAGTTGTCTGCGTCTCGTCTGCACGATCTCGCTATCTCCCCTGCCGATTTGCCCCTGTCTGACTAGCCTGGGACCTCTCGAACTGCTCGCTAGCATGCTCGTGTGCCCTCCTCTCCTCGTCACAGGGTCCAAGGTTGGGGCCTTGATTCAAGTTGATCAGCCTGAGTAGCTGGCCAATCAGGTTGTTTTTATCATTGACCTTTTGTGTGAGTTAATCAACCCGTGAGTTAAGGTCCACTTGATTGCATGGGTCAAGTAGAGTGTTGTGCATCGGGCCTAACGGCATATGGGCTAGGGCTCCATTAAACGTGTACACAGGTGCATATGTCAAGTGTGATCGCAGAGGAGGGAGAGAATAGATCTGCTCCAAGACTGGGACAACGTCAGAGTAGCTGTAGGGTTGTGTAGCAAGTCCGGTAGTTGAGTAGTGTGGCTGCTGCTGTGCTCCGACGGTAGGACAGCGAGGCAAAGCAGCTCCGATAATCGGCGCTGGCAATTGCAAGGCTGTGGGGGGTCCCGGGGTCATGTGGCGGCTGGTCTGCAATTCCAGCAGCTAAAGGCGGCTACAAAGCACTAGAAGACGGCTGCAAGGAGTTGGTAGCCACGATTATGTGTGGTTGCATTGAGGTTTCCACCACAAAACCATGAGATGGGCCCGTTGTGGTGGCGTTACTCTTCGTACGTTTGGTATCAACCATGGTTATGTGAAAAAATGTGTCAAAGATGGATTTGGAGCACGATTTGAATATATCTCGCGCTCTCAGTGAAAGCACCAATTTGTGGGAGCAAATTTCATCCCACTAGAATATTCGCCTAAGATTCCTTCGTCTTCTCCACTTCTCTTTCTCCCTGCAAAACAGATCGGGGTAAAAAGACCACACCCGGGGGGTGTTGGCCAAAGGCCCTCTGATGCCTAAGTTAGGTAGGATATTTCAAGGAAAACCGGGTGGCCAGAGCCGTGTGTGGTGGCCAGAGCCTTGTGTAAGAGAGAGAAAGAAAGTGGTGGCTAGGGTTTGTGAGAAATAATTTTTGCAAAGTTTCAGTAGGAATTTAGACGTATCTTGACCTTTGTGTGTCATTGATGGGGTGTCATTCAATTTCCAAGGCCTGTGGGGTGCTTTGATTACCAATATTGGGTTAGTGTTGAGGAACATTTACTCAAAATGCAGTTTTCAGAACTTCAAGGAAGTAGATGGGTTGAATTTGTATTGTTGGATCACTATACTTTCACTCCTCTATCTATTTCCTGTAGCTATTTTTGTAGGGTCTCAATGGGTTCAAGGGTATCACAGAGCTATTGCAACTATAGGAAAACCATCCACGTTTTTGTTGAAGTGGCTTTTTGCTTGGCAATGGTAGAAGACTAAGTGCCTAGTATGTGCTTAAGCAAACTCTATCTTGGGCCTGAAAATATGATAAAGAGTTATCTTCTAGACTTCTAGTTTTCCACTAGGATCATCCTCTCTTAGCTAGTGTTTTCACTTTTAAAGAATTTTTCATGTTATTTTATTTCAATTCAATCCTCTTTTTGTACATTTAGATCTTTTTTTTTTCTATTTGCATTGAAAACGTTAAAATTAGTACTTCTTTATGGTTAATTGATATTAGTTCATGTTTGATTGGAAACTTATTCTAAGTATTACATAGGAAGAAGAATATAACCATTCTTGTATGTAATCAAAACAAAAACGCCGCAAGGCCAATGCTTTGAACATAAAAAGGAAAGAGTTTGAGCATATAGGGGTCCACGTCCTTTCCTCAAACACATGGAAGCTGCTAAACAGGTTTTTTTAGTTATTATATTGTAATAATTTCAAGTATTTCTATATTTCTTTTGGTTGGAAAAATGTAAAAGGGTGAAAATCCTACATACCTGCAAGTTTTTGACAACCCATGATTATAGTGCTAACTATGTACCTGGTTTTAACATCATATGAAGGCCTTATCCATTTCAGAAACTGAAATGCTTGTATATCTTGACAATGGTTTTTTATACTGAAAACTCAGGTTTTTTTTTATATACTGAAAGGCCTTAATTTTTCTTTGAATTGGTTGGGTACATAGATGTGGAATGGAATCACGTTTAGACAACCTCTCTCTCTCGCTCCTCTCTATGATTTTGTAGTAGCGTTTTCGTCTGTTTTCCCTTTTTGCAGAGTAATTCAATATTGCACTGTCAATGATATATCAAATTGTCCCTTTTTTTATACACTTTGTATTTCTTTTAGAGTTTTGTTGTTTAGTGCAAGAGAAGCTATGTAATTGTTGAAGCTGCCATTGTGGTTTTTGTTGTAAAAATTTCATAGTTGGTTATTCAATTTAAGCTCTGCTTTTATTTTTTTAATTGTAGTTGGTCATTTCAGATTAATAATTTTTCAATAGTAAATAGCAACATTTGTATGATTTAGTGTTTTGATGTTTAAAGCTGATAAGTGGTGTATTTTGAAAGATTTGGGTTGGTTGATGAAATCTGAGGTTATGCAGAAATCTGTGATCTTGTGTTATGTTTTGGACCAGAAGACCTAGTTTGAATTTATATTTTGATCTATATTTTTTATAATTAGACATTTCAATGAGCATTTCAAAACTGGTTTCATACAAATTGGAGTTAAATTGGATTTTTGGCAAAATTTTAAAGTAGTTCTTATGTTGCAGGAAGCAGAAAACTCTGCAGCCCAGTTTGTTTTGGATTTTGTTTTTGACATGCTTCCTTAACTTTGAATGCCATGAAATTTTGATGTGATGAATTTTGATGTGTCTAGTTTTGATCTGGAAAGTTTTGCACTATTTCGACTCAAACTGATTTTTTAGTGAATTTCCCAAATTGAAGTGCTCCTGCCCAAATTGTTTAACAAAATATGTATTTGGTCATCTATGATTTACTGCAAACTACTTCATACCTTTTTTGTTGAATTGTCTTTTTTCTTATCAATGTTTGAAGACCAAATTGAAGTGCCTAGAAAATGGGGAATGTTGGGCTATGTGCTTAAGCAACCTCTGTGTCTTGGGCTTGAAAATATGTTAAAGAAATATCTTCAAGACTTCTAGTTTTTCACTAGAATCATCCTCTGTTAGCTTGTGTTTTCACTTTTAAAGAATTTTTCATGTTATTTTATCTCAATTCAATCCTCTTTTTCTACATTTAGATATCTTTTTATTTCAATTCTTCATTGTATTCTAGTGGAAATTGAAAAAGTTGTCGTTCAGTGTTTCTATTTGCATTGAAAACATTAAAACCAATGAGTGATTACCTTATTTGGGTTTGTGGTTCTCTTTATCTTATAATGTGTTTAGAACAATGTCATTTAGGAGTCTAATTTTACTGAGGTAATATCTTGTTTTTGCATGTCAGATTATTTGAGGAGGTGGAAGGATTTAGTTTGTGGTTTTGGACAGAGGACCATTTGAGGTAAGAACCTCTTCTTCTCATTACACTGAGTTTTATTTGTTTTCTTATTAACAGCTATGGTAGTTGTCAATGTCATTGTGGTGTTGTTTGTTTAAAGGTATTAAAATGACATACGTGTTTTGTATTGTGTTGAGAAGTTATGCAACCCTTGTTGGTTAAGGTGTGGATTATACTTTGGATTTTATGATTTATGTTTTCTAATGGGTTTGTGCTATGCATGATATTTGTCTTTACATTGGTTTCTCAGAATTGTTTTCCTTCATTTGTGGTATTTGTTATTATCACAAAGGTATGCTTTAGACAGTTGATATTGAGAGGTGTGAAAAATGAATTCAAATTTTATTAAGTTTGTTCAAATACCATTCTCAAACATTCTTAAATATTGATGACTAGTGATCATTTTTCTTATGTAGATCCAAACTCTTTTTAATGACTTATTTAGTTAAGATTGTGAATTTCAGCTTTTGGGCAAGATTTCTTGTAATTGTGTTGCCGAAAATTCTTTGTCTTTGAATATATATATATATATATATTTTATATTTAAATTTTCTTGGTTTTGGCATCTTCTTGACCATTGGCATTTCCTTGTTTTGTTTCTTTTGTGAAGGAAGATGATTGATGAGTTTGAGAAGATCAAGCAACAATTAGCAGAGTGGTTGGGAATTCCATGATATTAGACTACAGTCCCTATTCCACAGGTGTTAAAGATCGTGACTACAAAACTTGGAATTACATAAGGCAACTACATGCTTTTTTTTTAAGTCGAAACCTAGTCTTAGAGTGGGGAAATAATTACTATAGAACTTGGGTTTACCAAGGGCAAGAATATATGGAGCTTGGCCTCCAGTCTTTGAGTGGAGTTCTTCACTCTTTTATATCTACTATTTTGGATATGTTATGTGTACTTGAATAACTAGTATGCTCTTGTGTAATTTTTAATGAGACAAACTTTTATTCATGTCATTTTCTATTGATCTATTTACCTAAATTTATTCAAAATTACAATATGTTAATGAACAAAAGGTTAATATTACCACAAAACATAATATAAATCAAATAATTAAAAACACCCAAAATATACAAATTTTAACGACCAACTAAGTAAGCTTTAGCGACCAAATTAGATAGTCACCAAAACCTATCGGCGACAAACCAATCTATTTGGTCGCCCAATCCATCCTCAGTTCGCGGCAAATTTTGGTATTTTCGTGGGAACCCATCTTTATAGGCGACCAACTGATTAATTAAAGGTGACGAAAGCAATTGGTTGCGTAAAGGTTTTTAGTGACGAAAATTTATTTTCGCCTTTCGTAGTTTGGTACTTTCAGCCACGAGCCTTAGGCGACCAAGTTGGTGACGAAATTATTTCGTCGCTAAAGGATTTTAGCGACGAAATAACAGCTTTTAGAGACCAAATGTGGTGGTCGCCAAAAGGGGTTTTCCTTGTAGTGCTTGTGGCGTTCAATGCTAAACCCTATATTCTTCGTTTCGTGATCAGATTTGATTTTAAGCTGCTGTTTGGTTGTGGAGATTTTTGGCAGTCCTAAGTTTTGAGGTATGAGTACTTTAGAACTTGTTTTTGTTTATATCGACTTGTATGTTTATGGAATTTAGTTTTAGTACTTTTATCGTGGTTTCCTTTTGGTTTCTATTCGAATTGTTTTGATTTTCTGTCATAAACTGCATCTGTTTGTTGTAGTTTTGGTAGGGCAGTTTCTTGTTTCATAATTCGATTTCAAACTAATATTTGGAAGTCTATTAGAATTTTACAACTGCTCATGTACATGATTTACTGATTTGAATTCTTTTCTATTTTGTTTGTTGTTTTGTTTGCATTTTCAAGGCTAATGGAGGTGTGTGTCATTGCCAAGTGCACATATAAGTTGGAAACCATTATGTTTTCAGTTTCATCAGAGTCATCCATGGTTTATATTTATAAGACTTTGTGTCTAAGAGAAATGAATTTTGGGCAAGTCGAAGAGAGCAAGTGCTAAGCCTTTGTTGTCGAATGAGTGGGAGACATACATACATCATGTAGGGTAGAAGTTTGACGGTGGTGCAGAGGAGTTCTGTTTGAAATTGTGCAAGTACGCTCTTGAAGTAGGATTTAATTTTTTATATGCCGGCAATGACAAGAAGCGAGTGGTTGCTGTTTGTTCAAATAAGAAATTGGAGGGTTGTAGCTGGCGTGTTTATGCTTCTCATTGTGAAGCTATTGGCTGTTTTGAAATTCGGACATTAAATAATGTGCATACATGTGCGGGTCGGATACGGGAATCAAAGAGTAAGATGATGAGGTCTCGTGTGGTGTCCTCCCTCATTGTGGACAGAATTCGTGCAAAACCAGAGCTGAAGCCAGTTGAGATTATACACGAGTTCAAAGATTATTATGGTATAGACATTTCATACTACCATGCATGGTTTGGCAAAGAGTTTGCCAAATTGAACATTCATGGTGATGAGTCGAAGTCCTTCAACGGGTTAGTGTGGTATGCGGACACCGTAAAGGAAACTAACCCTGGTTCTCTCTGCACTCTTGAATGTGAAGTTGGAATTAATCGCTTTAGACGGTTTTTTGTGTCGTTTGGCGGTTGCATTGCTGGATTTCAATATTGCATACCCTTGTTGTTCATTGATGCTACATTTTTAAGAGCAAGTACAAGGGGCAGCTTCTCTGTGCTTCCGGAAAGAATGGAAATCAAGGTATGGTTACTGTAATGTATTGCAAATTTCATTTGTTGCAATTTTTAGCAGTGTTTCATAATTCGATTTTCTTAGTAATTTTGTATGTCTGTGGGAATGTTGCAACTGCTCATGAACTTAAATGTGTTTTAAACTTAGTTTTAGTACTTGGATCATGGATTTGCCTTTTGGTTTCCTTTCAAATTTGAGCAGATTTGTTTTCATAAACTGCGCTACAGTTTCCCTTTTTTGCTTATACTTGTGCTTTTGGTTTTGTTTTGCAGGGTTTTATCCTCTAGCTTTTGGAGTTGTTGATTCTAAGACAGAGGAGAATTGGACTTGATTTCTTCAATATTTGGCTTCTATTTTGCTACCGATGGGGAGAGTGGTGACCTTTTTCTCGGATCGCAATCAAGGTTTGTTAAATGCAATGGGGTTTGTGTTTCCTGGATGGCCTCATTCTTACTGTTACTATCACCTCAAACAGAATTTGATATCGAAGTACCTGAAGTAAGGTTATGGGAAACTGCTCCAAGACCGTGTTATCAATTTATTTAGTAGATGCGTGTATGCTATTACAGAGGAAGAGTTTACGGTAGCAATGGAGGAGTTGGTGATTGTTGGGAGTTCAAAAGTGAAGACATCTATATTTGATTTGTCTAGAGATCACTGTGCCAACGCATATTTCAAAGGAATGCGTTATGGGGAGATGGCAAACAGTTTAGCGGAGTCATTTAATAATTGGGTTGGTGTGTTTCGAGATTTGCTGGTGCTACCTTTGATAGAAGGGATTCGACAAAAATTGATGGTATTGAATTCTCAACGATGAATTGAAGCGGAGAAGTGGACAACAATTTTGTGTTTGGAGATGGAAACTAGACTGTGGCAAAATGCGGAGGCCGGTAGGACTTGGGTAGTTCGTTGTTCTAGTTTCACTGTTTTGAAGTATTTGCTGATTATTCTGTGATAGTTGATCTGGAGCAAAGGACTTGTTCTTGCCGTCTTTGGCAAATTGACGGTTTTCCTTGCACGCATGCGGTGGCTGCAATTCTAGCAAAGAAAGATTCAGTTTATGATTACGTGGATTGTTACTATAGGACTAACTTCTTTCAAAAAGCCTATGAGAGTCCTATTTTTCCTATTCTAGATATTGGGAAAGGCTTGGGCAGCAACGGTTCTGCAGCTGGAGTTGTGCTTTGGCCAATTACAAAAAGGCCAGCCGGAAGACCACCAACAAAGAGGATCAAAGCTTTTGGTGAATTTAAAAGACCATTGAAATGCAGTCGATGCAGTGTTGCTGGGCATAATAGGAAGACTTGCAAGGCTGTGATATGAACATTCCTTCTCAGTTGACGATTGCTTATGTTAGATATGGTCTAGTGAATGTATAGTCAGTTTCTGCATTGCACTTTTTGCAAAACCTGCATTGCAGTTTTAGTTGCTTTTAATTGGCTACACAGCTTCTAATTGGATATTCGTTGCTTTTGAAGTTAATGAAAATTATACAATTGTTTCATGAGTGGATATTCGTTTTGACTACCATTGAATGCTTGTTTTCAGATTTGAGCAGATTTGGTTGCAGAAACTGCAGTGCAGTTTCTATTTATTTGTTGCAGATTTTGACCAGAAACTGCAATGCAGTTTCTTGTTCCATAATTCAATTTCAGAATAATTTTGCAAGTATATTGGAATGTTACAACTGCTGACCTACTTAAATGTGTTTTGAACAAAGTTATAGTACTTTGATTATGGCTTTGGCTTTTGGGTTCTTTTCACATTTTTGAGCAGATTTTTTATTTATTTATATAAACTGCACTGCAGTTTTAATTTGTTGCAGTATTTGACCAGAAAATTCAGTGCAGTTTGTTGTTTCCTTTTTGTTTTGTTGCATCCTGTTCCAATATTATATTACAGTTTATGTGTATAGGAAATATGTTCTCATATACCATAACTAGAAATATTTACAAACATCCACAAGAATTAAGATACATATTGTCTTGAGTTAACAAAAGGCAAATCACTAGAGACTGTTAATTACACAGTGTTTGTGGTGTAGGAGTTTTGTGATGTATTGTGCTCGATATTCATTCATGAAATTCTTGTCTACACTTCCTGGAATGGGATGTCCTTGTGCTATGTAGAACATGACGAATATGCCGCAATCCAACCTGCAAATGAATACGAGATTAGTTTTTGCTTTTGAATGATTTCAAACTGTAATGAATAGTTGAGTAGACACAATTCTTACGAAGATGTACTTTGTTGAGCACATTCTATGTCATCCTCAAATGGATACTAATATGGATTTTGCAGAATCCAATTGAGAGTGAGTTCTTCAATTGGGGACAAATCTTTTTGTACAAGTGTAGGGGGCCCTTCCTTTTGCTTCACAAGTTTTGGTATTTTTTTAGTTTCTAAGAACACTTGTGCTTGAGGCTTAATGTATCCTAGCCAACCTTCAACAATATTATCCTGTTTAAAGAAGAAGAAAAAAAGAGAAAAAGAAATGGTAATCAGTGCATTGCATATTATAATTTTTGTCTGAAATTAGGCAGTACATATAATACAGAAACTGCATTTCAGTTTCTGTTTGTGTTTGTGCTGAGAAATTAAGACAGTTTCATTCCACTTACAAAGTTTTGAGCAATGTCAATGCACTTTTCTTCTTTTCTAGGTCCCAATGATCTAAGTGGATTGTAGTGTCTCCACTTTCGTTCAATTTTGTGAAATGTGAGAAGTGTAAATTGGAACTCAGAACTTGAAATGATCAGGAAGAAGAGAACATTGCATTTCCCGAGTTTTTCAAGTAAGTGTTCATACAGGGCCCTATGCCAATTTGGCTCTAGAAAGGTTTGCATGTAAGCCTGCTATCATTGAATGGCAATTTGTTAGTATATATTTTTCGAAAACTATAGTGTAGTGTCTGTTTAAACAATTTTGAATTTTCAAAATAATTCTTACCCAAGTCCACGTAGACATGTACTGTGGACTATATGTCTGCATGGGCCCTATTTTCTCCTCCTCTATTTGGATATAGGCCTTAATAACCTGTTTCACATTGATTGGAGAAAAATGGAATTATTAATGGGTAATATAGGTAGCACAAATAAAAAATGCAGTGCAGTGTGTGTTATAGAATTAGTATTTTATACTTACATTTTGTGGTAGTTCCAGGTCCCATACAATATCTTTGATATCATGGTTTGTCACTTTCTCATTATGGAGTCCTGCCCAAAAGTTGTCACTGCGGATTTGAATACATGAAATTCACAAGATTAGTTTTAGTTTAATTGTAATTAAAAGATGAAAGAATTGTTCTTTTGGAATAGAGATATTGCCGAGGTTGAGTACTTAAGTAATATTCTTGAATTCTGTCCCTGTCCTCCTTTGGAACCTTCTACCAAACCTTCTTTTGACCACATCCTAGTTTTTTCTTTGTTGGCTTTTTTTGTGTATTTTTTGTCCTTCATCTTCATCATTTGATTCTTGCATACCTACAGGTATTGAATCATGAAGGCTCATTCCTTTTAGGGGATCAGGAATTGGATTTGTGGCATCGCGCTGAGATGTCTCTTGTGTTAACTGCAGATTGAAAGGAAACTAATTAGAAACTCCATTTGATAAAACAGAAACTGCAATGCAGTTTCCGTTTATGTAAAACAGATACCACACTACATTGCAGTTTCTGTTTCTGCAATGCAGAAAACAGAAAAAAGTAGCAGCTAGAATTGTAGTAATTGCATACCACCTTCTGATTATCAGGATCCTCTTGTGTTGATTGCTCCTCGAAAGAGATACGCTTGAATTGTGGTAGTTCTTCATCATCCTTTTTTGCCTTCTTTTTGGTTTCTTATTTTTTCGTACACATAGCAAGATGCTTCAAGCTTCTTTCTTTCTCTGATCTTCACCCTTAGTACTCTTGAAGGAACATCAGGTGTTGGAGCATCTTACTTCTTCTCTTCTTCTTTCTCTTCTTGTTGCTTCTCTTCTTCTTTCTTTTCTTCTTCTTTCTCTTCAACTGGTTGTGTTGGTTGTGTTGTAGGCAGATCCATCTCCATTTCAAAGATTGTTGGGTCTGACAACAAGCTTTGAATTTCTACCTTGTACTTTTCTTCAATCTTCTTTTTCTTGGCAATCTTCTCCATGTCAATACGAGTTTCCTTTCCTTCCAATTCTGTAATCTTCCTTTTCAGATTTTGTATTTCCTGAAGCTGAACTGTAGATTCCACTGTCATGGTGGCAGTCACATATTCTTCATTACCTAATTTCTCTACGTATGTTGCCAACTGCGCTTCCAGCTCCTTTGATCTCTTTTCTCCTTGGAAAATATATCCCACAATTCCTTCATTTTCTTCCCATTGTCTTCATTTATTTCATCCTTCCACAGTTGTAATCTTTCTGGGCAAACGAAGCTAGGATCTTGACATTGGTGGTAGTTGATTTGGTCTGTCATGGACTTCACCAAGAGGTCTTGAATTGCATCATCAGGTTTTCCTTGGTCTTCTGCTTCCTCTGCTTCTCCTTGTTGTCCTTCATCATCTTCTTTTTCTTTTTTCTGCATATTGAACGGAAACTAATTAGAAACTGCATTGCATTGGAGGAAACGGAAACCGCAATGCATTCAAAATACCTTGTCAAGAGGGTCTCCCTCTGCTCTGGTAGTTTTTCTCTTTTTATATGCTTTCAAAATACCCAGTACAATGAGATTGAATGATTCAGAAACTGCATTGGATAAAATGCAAACTACAATGTAGAAAACACAAACTGCAATGCACTGTATACAGATTTTAATTACCTTCTCAACAATGTCTTCCTCTTCCCTGGTAGTTTTTCGCTTTTTAGGAGTTTTGAAAATACCCGGTAGAATGAGAATGATTTAGCATGGATTCACATTCAAGATACATTAAAATAGAACATGCGATAAATTGCATACCTCGATGTCATTCAAGTCCTTTATTTGGTTGAATCTTGTGTGGAGTTCCACAAGACTCCATTTAAGAATGGCAGGAGTTTCTTTCTCCTTGCCTAGGATTGGTTGTATTATGTTTGTTCTCTCACACAGTAGAAACTACACAGTTCTAAAACAAGATATATCATAAATTAGGTTGGAAACTGCTTAGGATAAAACAGAAACTGCATTGCACTAAATGTAAATTGCATTGCCTAAAACTCAAAATGCATTGTATAAGCCACTGTTTACTTACCAATATTATGGTAATGCAACCCGAAACAACTCCTATAGAGGCTTCTCCTCCCTTCTTTACTTTTGCTTTTGCTTTTGCAACCAAGGATTCATTCATGTAAGCTGAAACAGCTCTTGCCCAAGAATAGCTTGAAAGTGTGTCTAGATTCACACACTGCTCGAATAATTTCCAATGCAAAGTAGATGAAGCGTTGGCAAAAAGGAATGTCATGCAGAGGTGAATCAATATTAGGCTGACCACCTCCTTGTCGTAGTCAACTTCTTCTTCTTCTTCTTCAGCTTCTTTCTTTTCTTTTGCTTTGTTCGTTTTCTTCTTTTGCTCTGCCTTGGCCTTTTCTTTCTTCGGTTGGTTTGCCAAGGAAATTGTCTTTAGTAATTCTGCTTCTACCTGGTTTTTTAATGGTTTTCCCTTTTCTCCAAAGTGCCTTATTCTGAAGGTAGCAGTGTACCTATCATTGACAAGTTTGACAGATTTTCCTTCATTTGGCAGTCTTAGAATCTGAGTCACTGTATTGCCTATGATCTGGAATGATTTGGTGCCAAATTTGAAGGACTTTGTATCCGGATCAAATTTCTTGAGCAGCTGTACTAAGTCAAGGTCTGACTTATTCATGTTATTCATGTCAATTCTCTGGTGGTAAAACAGCTCAATCAAGTTCCAGAATAGGGTTTTCTTGAGAAGCATCTTCTGCCTTTCATTGAGCTTGTCCTTAACGTCTGTAATGATGCTCTTGAAAGCATTGACATTACACCGAAACTAGACATAGTCCGGGTGCTTTGATTTCCGATCATTGTTTGGCTTTGGCTTTGGCTTTGGTTTACTCCATTTTGATTTTCGCTTTGGTTGGTTTTGAGCTTCCTTATTTTGTGGTGACATGTCTTGTTCCATTTGTGATCTGCAACAAGAAGGGATGAAAATACTATTAGGACAAGTAGAGATAAACTACAAGCAAACAGAAACTGCAATGCAGTTTGTGGTTCATTGCAATGCAGTTTGTCGTTCACCGCAATGCAAAAAATAGAATTATTTGATGCTCTTCCGCTTTGAAAAGGAGCAACCCAAAAGGCAAAACATCAAACATAATAGAAATATAATAGGTGCAATCCAAAACACAAAATATAACAGAAAATATACATCAACTTGACATGAAATTGAATGACCAGCATAGTCAAAACAAGAACTACATAACATAACAGAAACTACATAACAACTTGACGTGAAATGGAAAGAAGTATAAATAATTGAGCAGAAACTACAATGCAGTTTTTGTTTTCTTCAGTGCATAAAACAAATTTGATGCTCTTTTTCTTTCTTTTGTGAGTTTTTGGTTTTTAGAGGTTTTCAAACCAAAACTAAACCCAAAACCTAAACTACATTGTAGAAAATGTGTAAGATCTTTAAAACCTAAAATCGAACGCAAATTTGTGTTAGGGGTCATTTTCTTACGATTTTTGTTCCCAAGAGAGTGCTAAACCCTTCAATCGTCTTCGTTGCTGGTCGCTGCTTCTGGTCGTCACTCGTCGCTGGTCGTCGTTTCAGATTTTGGGGAATAGGTTGGAACTGCTGAAAGAGAGAATGAAGAATTGGGTTCGATCGTTGGTGTGTTCTTCGTTGGTGGTTGTTGCCGTTGGTTGTCGCCATTGATTATCGCCGTTGGTTGTCGCCGTTTGTGGTCGCCGTTGGTGGTCGAGATTTTGGGGTCGGTCTCAACTGTTGAAGCAGTTTGTGTTGTGAATGTGAAGTTCAAAGGTCGCGCGAAGAGTTTTAGCTTTTAGGATTCAATTTGAGTATGTAGTTTAAGGGTATTTTGATGTCATTTTGACAGCTATTGGTTTTAGTTTAAAATTAAATATTGAAATTTGATAATAATAATAAATGGCATATTCTGTAATTTTAATGTTCTTTGATATGATTTTGGTAAAAGGAGGTGTTAGTTTTTTGTGTTTGGCCTCATGTTAATTAGGTAAATTATATATCTATTGTTGTGAAATTATTGCAAGCGCACAATCCATACAAGTAATATAGAAATAAGTAGAGTGTTATTCCCACGAAGACTGTAATTTCTTATTAGCTACCAATTATGATTAATTCAGAAGTTTATTTGAACAGTTTATTAAGAAGATTGATTGATTTAAGAAAACTAAAACAATTATGAAAAATACAATTTAATTAACGATAGAAAATTAAGATGATGAGACACTAGAGCATGCGATTTCACCATAACCAATTCTACTTAATTCTTATAACCCTAATTACTATCCATGTTGACAGTTGGTTTCTCCTAATTCATTCGATATCCCCTCTCGGGCTCAACCAAAAGTATTCTCAATTAACAACTCATTCTCTCTCGAGCAACGGATTTAGAAAATCAAGAACCCATTAAGTTTTATGAGAACCTACAAGAAAACTGCATGAGTCATGTTAGTCCCTCTCGGGCACTCATTCAAGTCATAATATTTGTTACAAGAAGCAAACACCAAACATCTCCTCTCGGTCTCCGCTTGGATCATCAATTAAATATTAGCTAGATATTTAAATCATTAAGAACAGTAACAAATACTCACCATGGGATAATAATCAGGAATTAATATAACAATAAAAATTAAGTATTCATGGTTAGGCTACATCGTAGCCCTAGCATAAAAAATTAGTTCATGACAGAAGAAAATATAAACAAGAGAATTATTGTCATAAAACCAATTTGGCCGATGGACTTGATCTTTAGAATCTTCACAGGAACACCTTCAAAAGCTCCTCAAATAATGCAGCAGCAAATTCTTGGTTCTCTCTGATATTTCTCTTGTTGTATGAAAGTATGAAAGATGGTGGAAAAAGATGATCTGGCTCTTAGGTTAAAGGTTTTTATTTATAGGCCACGGGAATCCTTTAAAAATAAGGAAGATAATATTTATTTAGGAAGGAAAGGAAAAGTAGGAATATTAGAAAAACCAATACCTATTCTCAAGAGGAAATAACATGCGGCTTCAAGTCAAAGAGGGAATTGGCTTGGGGGTTTTAAAGGAAAAATAGGAAAGTATTCTCAAGGGTCCAGCCGATACCCATGCTTAGCTCCAAAAGTAGCTGACGATGGTAGCTCAATCAAAAAGGTAACCAACAATTGTTTCACAATTGCAAAGCCAATCAGCTTTTAATGATGACGATAGTGCAATTCTCATTCATATTGCTTTCTTTCCTTTCAGACCATCTCAATATTTTGTCATCTAGCATCTCTTGCAATTGCTCAGATGATGCAAACCATTTCTACAGTATCAGCAATTTACGTTGGGTTCTTCTTCATGAGAGAGGCATTAATGTGATGGTAAGCTTCTCTAACTCAATCTCTCTAGCGCTGGTCACTGAGACCAGTTGTGGATATAAATTGACACTTGCACAGATGCACTCCAGGTGTTTGATGAAATGACAAAGTGACTTCTTGAGATTTTGTTGAGATGATAATTCCACCCATTTTGATCCCTTAAGCTTCCAAAATTGTAGTTTTTGCTTCAAAGCCTTGGTAAGTATGATTTCCTACAAAATCTTCACCAAGCACATTAAACTAACCAATTTCACACGAAAATAGTACAAATAGAGATAGATTATATACGCAAAATATGAATATATCAAACTACCTCAAACCTATCTTTTGCTAGTCCTCGAGCAAAATTAGAATTTAAAACAAAAACAAAACGAAACGAAAAATTAAGTAAACCACTTTCGCAGGTAAACTCGATGGCACTTAGCATGTGCCACAAGCCGTTAAACCTCTAGGTGTCTCTAGTAGGAGGAGTTGTGTCTCCTGAGGGTTTACCAGTCACAATACCCACAAACGTTTACTGCAAAACAAAGTTGTTAAAGACACCACTTTAACAGGCTAATAAAAATCAATGCATGCCAATCACATTTGCATCACTAAAGTCGAGGGTGTGCGCCATTCCGAACAAAGTTTAAGCAATTTCACCATATCATCATGCGGAATCGCCTTCATTGGGTCTAATGTCCGAAGTCCGGTTGTCTTTGGCAAATTTTTTTGAACCACTTCACTAGCTTCAACGATCTTCCACATAGGAATAATCCTCTTCCTCTTCCGTAATTGGACCCCTCGTTCCACACCTTGACCTTCATCATTCAACCAAACGTTCAACTGAGATAACACAGCTGTAGGTTGATCCAAATCAATGTCCCCGAGAGTAACCTCAACCTTTGTCCCCTCCGTGCTCTCGCCAATGTCATCGCCAACCAACATAACTTCATCATCCTCTTCCTCACATTGGTTTCTTTGCACTTCCTTTTCCTCACTTCTCTGTCTTTTCACTTCCTTGCCCTTCCTTTTTTTTTTTTCGGATCCTCTCCCTCACTGCTTTTTCTTTGCAGTTCTTCCTCTCCCTCAATGCTCTTTCTTTGCGCTTCCTCTCCTTTGCTGCTTTTTATTTTCACTTGCTCTCCCTCACTTCTTTTCCTTTGAGCTTCCTCTACCTCCCTTGGTTTTCTTTGCACTTCACCTCCTTCAATCCCCTCCTCTTCCTTTTCCTCTCCCTCATTTCTCTTACTTGGCACTTCACCCCCTTCAATCCCCTCCTCTTCCTTTTCCTCTCCCTCATTTGTCTTACTTGCCCCTTCACCCCTTTCAATCCCCTCCTCTTCCTTGTCCTCTCCCTCATTTCTGTTATTTGGCCCTTCACCCCCTTCAATGTCCTCCTCTTCATTTTCCTCTCCCTCATTTCTATTACTTGGCCCTTCATCCCATTGCATGCCATCCACTTCCTCATATCCCTTAAATAGATGTGACACGACACAACGATTCGTCCTCTCTTTCAGTAAAGCTATGTCCCTTCTCACTTCCTGCTCAAAATGAGGACCTAAACAGTGGCCCAAATTTTTTCCATCCGTATGACCTTTAACTCAAGGACGTCCTTTTCCCGCTTTACTTGAAACAACTCGGACCTCAACAAGCTTACCGCCTTGTTCAACTCATCAAGGTCAGCACATGAAGAAGGAATTGACTCTGCCGAGACAACAGCAGGGCGACCCTGTGGCCAACTCCAATATGGTTGTCTCATTTCCTCTTCACTTGGACATAGCGCCCGCAACTGAACTGACTGTTTCAGAAAACAGACAAGAGTCATATGCAATCATTCTACTTCATAATTTCATTGAATCTTATAAATAGTTCCAAGGGCTGCAAACCAAACCTCTTTGCTCTGGAAAAAATAATTGTTCAACTTTCTCATCTCGGGAACAAACGTAGTAGTTCTCCATCGCAAAATACGCGGGAGAGCTGTCGGATCAACAACCTTGCAGTAATTCAGGTCCGCCATTCTAGGAATTAATTCATATACCCAAATCTACACAATTCACAGGACACAAGTTATTATTTAAGTTTTAAAGTCAACAAAACATAACGACATAAACATTATTACCATGTACCTGGAAAGCATACGTGAAACCTTTAAAACTCCAGCCACCCCTTTGCACTTCACCATGGTTATCCTTCTTGCCCTTCTCATTTCTCCGGCTTGTTCCGGTTACCTTACATTTCCCCTTCCCTCTTCCCTCTTCATTTTCAAAGCTTTTCACATACTTTGTTGGTGCAGAAAACAGACTGTCTTGGGTTTTGTCAAACGACACCGAACCCCATGGAAACCTGTTGAACGCATCCAAGTCCTCTACAAGGGTCAGGTAATTTAGATTGATGTTCAAATGTTTGTCCCTTCCCAAAACCACTAACTCAGCAAAGTAAACAAGAGCTAGCTTGTAGACGTCATCTTCCTCTGTGCACCTCACAAATGCTTCTTCTAAAGCATTACATGTAATTCCTTCGTCTATAAAATATCTTTTCTGAAGTCTAATTTCATCACTTTCTCCACTGGAAACTTCAGGCACTTCCCCAAAACGAAGCCCTGAGATCAAACAGAAATCCTGACGAGTGAACTGAGCAACGTCGCTCAAATTTGCATGTGAGCTGTTGTTCACTCGTGAGGAATATGCCTCTGCCTCTGGCCATACCAGCTCAACGTTGGATCCCATTTCCTAAAATACAAGATGAAATAACGTGAACACATATACTACCACGTATTTGCACAATCACATTGGTATTTACACAACTAGTCAACCAGCACATTACAAATTTTACAAAGTACATGCGCATAGGGATTACTGATCACAGGCTTTAACATCATCAAAGCAATATGACATATTTTGTGCAAATACCTGTTAATGCAATGATTCTGTGAATTACAAGCAATAGCATGTGTTTTATTTATGGATCCAAACTCCAATCAATGGTTGATGCATGAGTGAGTGTGAGTGCAATCTAGGCAAGTTCTGCACTTCACACACATGACAATTATTGTCATCTCATACACAACACAAAATAAATAAATAAATAAGAAAGATGGTGGAAGGAAGCAAAGCAAAGCATCTGCTCTGCTATCTGCTCGCTAAGCCATTGCCACATCCTTCTTTCTTTCTAGCTTTTTCTTCAGTCAGCCATAATCGTCATAGATCAACCTTTTTTCAAATGCTTTGCACTTTTATTCATGAGTTTATTATTATCTGTTCTCATTTTTAACAGGCAAATTTAGTAACAACGGAAATAATATTTATTTCAAAAATTATATATATTCTAGCTCCAGAGAGATAATCTGCACTCTGCATTGCTTCAAATGTGGAAGGTTTTGAGGGCCTCCTCCAATTCAACACCATTACCTTATTCATATCATTATTGACATGTTATTGACATGTTATTGACATGTTATTGACTTTATTTTCATTCGTTTTTTAACATATACCCAAGCAAAAATTAACATGCAAGTGAAGCACAAAGAAGAGATGCCAAATCTAACAACATTCATGGTACAAATTGGGGAAAACGGTTACTCTAACCCTAAACTCAAATTCCATAAATTACTCACCAAATGCTGGTTATTGAACAATCGCAAGGTGTCTGTGTTGGGTCTTTGTGCGGCTTTGCTCCACAAATGGAACCTATCACTTCCAACGAATACGGCTTCTCTCCTTCCCCTTCCACTGCTTCGTCTTTTCACTGTTTCAGAATCCACGCCTTTGCTCCTTCCACTCAAAATAAATACTTTTTCACGGTTTAGATAGTGGAGTTGCGTTCAACTGTCGTTAACCTTTGCCTTCAACCTTCGTTGCCTGTTGCCTTCAACCGTTTCTCAGAGCTTAGTGGTTTCTCTCAGCTATGAGTTTGAGATCAATGGGTTTTTTCTGTTCAAACTTCGAACTTGCCTCTCTCTTTTTTTTTGTTGGGACCAACTTCATTGCTGGATATTAAATTCGGGTTTGGGTTCCTCACCTACCCGATTGCACAACTTTATCCCAATTCTCCCCAGCCCTTGATTGATCCAATGACTATAAAGTGAACCCCTTATAACTTACTCCTTATAACTTACCCCTCATTATAGTCTGACCGCTCAAAGAATGGCTTTTGGATCAATTATCTCACAAAGGTAGTCTCCACTAATATTCCATAGTCATTCGAGCATAGCAACCTTGTCCACCAAAACATTACGAGTATGGTATTGTGAAGTGCAAATATTATAATGCAATCACCCTTCATGGCAACACGTTAGTAAAGCATTCATGATCAAAACATGGCATATACATCTCTTTTAGCATGGAAAAGTGACAACTTTAACTAGAATTTATGTTTCACAAAAACTGCTTCTTTTCAATTTTGACCTCAGATCAGTTTTCAACAATTATCTCTTAAAGTACTGCATAGATTTTGACAAGCCTTATATGCTCAGAAAATAGACAAAGAAACGCATAACTTTTCTTTAGACCAAATACCAGAAAACAGACTAGAACTTCATGAAAACTGACGTTAAAAACAAAACACAGTATAGAATCGCAGAAAAACTGGAGTTCCAGACCCCTGTTCAGAAAAACAGCTGTAACTTCCAAACCAAAAGTCAGAGAATTACGAGTCTTATATGGCTGGATTCAGCACGAAAAATTGAAAAAGGCAATGCGGGCCAAATCTTCAAATCCATCGCAGATTAAAACAGTATTATCGAAACATAAACACCAATGTTCTACATGACTCGAAAAAGACTAAAAACGAAAAAAAAATAAAAATAAAAATAAAAATAAACCGAATGTTACCCACCTCAAACCTAAATGAAACATTGTCCTCAATGTTTAAAGAGTAAACAAGTGCAAGGACAAAGAATAGTAAAATAAATGAACGCAGGAAACACACAAACAAAAATTAAAAAGATAAGGAACGAAGGTACCTAGTTGGGTTGCCTCCCAACAAGCGCTTAGTTTAGAGTTAATAGCCCGACTTTTGGATGCGTTTACTTGAGGTCATTGAGTCGGACGGTGCTTTCCTCCTCAAGAAATGCGGCTGCCACATAAGGTTTGAGTTGATGGCCGTTAACTTTGAAAGTGGTATCGTCACGATCATTCTTGATTTCAACTGTCCCATAAGGATACACTAATAACACTGTGAATGGCCCAGACCAACAAGAGCGAAGTTTCCCAGGAAAAAGTTTCAACCGTGAGTTGTAAAGGAGAACGCTTTGACCCACATAAAATTCCTTCTTCAAGATGTGCTTGTCATGCCACTTTTTTGTACGGTCCTTGTAAATTTTCGCATTCTCATACGATTCATTTCGAAGTTCCTCTAGCTCATTCAATTGTAACTTCCTCTTCTCACTTGCCGAACTCTTGTCAAAATGAGCATTTTAATAGCCCAAAACGCTTTATGCTCCAATTCCACCGGAAGTTGGCACGCTTTCCCAAAAACAAGTCTATATGGTGACATCCTAATTGGCGCTTTGAACACCATTCTATAAGCCCATAGTGCATCATCCAATTTCAATGACCAATCTTTCCTAGATGCATTCACCGTCTTTTCCAAGATTTTCTTCAATTCCCTATTCGAAACTTCACCTTGCCCACTAGTTTGTGGATGGTAGGGAGTAGACACTTTATGGGTAATGCCATATTTTGCAAGAAGAGAATTAAATTGACGATTGCAAAAATGCGTACCTCCATCACTAATGATTGCACGAGGGACCCCAAATCTTATGAAAATATTCTTTCGTAGAAATCTGACCACAACCTTGGCATCATTCGTGGGTAGGGCAGCTGCTTCGACCCATTTTGATACATAATCCACTGCAACCAAAATATACAAATTCCCATATGATGCCGGAAACGGACCCATGAAGTCAATACCCCAAACATCAAACAATTCCACCTCGAAAATATTATTCAAGGGCATTTGGTTTCGATTAGAGATATTTCCCGTACGTTGGCAAGGATCACACCTTGCAACAAAGTCTTGAGCATCTTTAAACAAAGTAGGCCAGAAAAACCCAGATTGCAGAACCTTGGCCGTAGTCTTGGACGGACCATAGTGGCCTCCACATGCCAAAGTGTGACAATGCAATAATATGTTAGGCATCTCTGTCTCAGGTACACATCTTCGTATAACTTGGTCAGGACCGTGCTTCCACAAATATGGATCATCCCAATAATAATGTTTCACCAATGATAAGAATTTCTTTTTCTGATAAAAAGACATATTAGGGGGAAGAATACCACAAGCTAGATAATTGACAAAATCTGCATACCATGGAGTGATTAATTCTTTCTCAGAATTGATTGAAAATAATTGCTCATTCGGGAATGTCTCTAGGATAGGCGCAACATCTTCTATAACTTCATCCTCAGCCGAGAGAGGTGGTCGGCCACCACATTCTCAAACCCTTTTTTATCTCGAATTTCAATATCAAACTCTTGAAGCAATACAACCCATCGAATTAGTCTTGGTTTTGCTTCCTTCTTGGCAAGAAAAAATTTCAAAGCTACATGATCCGTATACACAATTACCTTCGCACCCAATAGGTATGAACGAAATTTATCCAATGCGAATACCACTGCTAACAATTCCTTTTCTGTAGTGGCATAGTTAAGTTGGGCATCATTCAATGTACGACTTGCATAGTGAATTACATGTAGTAATTTATTCTTCCTTTGACCCAAGACAGCTCCAATAGCATAATCACTTGCATCACACATAATCTCGAATGGCAATTCCCAATCAGGTGCCATAATGACTGGTGCAGTGGTGAGCTTTTTCTTCAATAAATTAAATGCCTCCAAACAGTCTGAATCAAAGTTGAATTCAGAATCCTTCAATAACAACTTGCAAAGAGGCTTTGTAATTTTTGAGAAATCCTTAATAAATCGACGATAAAACCCAGCATGCCTTAGGAAGCTTCGAATTCCTTTCACTGTAGAAGGGGGTGGCAGCTTTTCTATGGTCTCAATTTTTGCACGGTCAACCTCAATACCTCTTGCTGAAATTTTATGCCCCAACACAATTCCTTCTTGTACCATAAAATGACATTTTTCCCAATTGAGAACTAAATTGGTTTCCTCACATCGTGCCAACACCAATGCCAAATTATCCAAACAAGAATCGAAAGATGAACCGAAAACAGAGAAGTCATCCATAAATACCTCAATAAATCGCTCCACCATGTTAGAGAAAATGCTCATCATGCAACGCTGAAAAGTGGCAGGAGCGTTACATAACCCAAAAGGCATACGGCGATAGGCAAAAGTGCCAAATGGACATGTGAATGTTGTTTTTTCTTGGTCTTCAGGCGCGATAGGGATTTGATTATATCCTGAGTATCCTTCTAGGAAGCAGTAATAGGCATGCCCAGCAAGTCTTTCTAGCATCTAATCAATAAAAGGCAGCGGGAAGTGATCTTTTCTGGTTTCAGAATTCAATTTCCTATAATCTATGCAGACTCTCCATCCTGTAACAGTTCTTGTTGGGACTAACTCATTATTTTCATTTTTCACAATAGTCATCCCTCCTTTCTTTGGCACAACCTGTGTAGGACTTACCCAACTACTATTAGATATAGGGTAGATAATACCTGCATCAAGCAATTTTAATACCTCTGCACGAACCACTTCTTTCATGTTGGGGTTCAATCGGCGTTTATGCTCCACGGATGGCTTATGCTCCTCTTCCATTAGTATTCAGTGCATACACATAGAAGGGCTGATTCCCTTCATGTCAGCGATTGTCCACCCAATTGCAGTTTTATGTTTTCTCAAAACCCGTAATACTTTTTCTTCTTCAGTTTCACTCAAATTTGCAGCAATAATAACTGGTAAAGTTTCAGAAGTTCCCAAATACACATACCTCAAATGTGTTGGCAATGGCTTCAGAGTGAGTGTAGGTGCAGCAATCACAGAAGGTGCAGCCTTAGGAGGTGTCGCTCCTAGTGGTTCGAACTGATTCCTTCGCCTTGGATGGTATGGTTGTGATGCATCCAAATATAAGGCATATTCAGCAACCATGGGGTTGTCATCTTGGGTGGTAGCAGCATGGACCAATGTATATTCCAATGGATGGCTCGGATTCTCCTTTTTAAATGTGTCTGAAGCAATTTCATCAATTAATTCCATGTGAAAACAATCCTCCGCTTCTCTTGGAAATTTAATTGCTTCAAAAACTGTAACACCCCGACTCCAAATTTATCCCTTGTTTTAATTAATTTGAGCGAAATTAAGAATTTACCCGTGGGATAAGGGTATTTTAGTCATTTTATTACCCGAAAGGAATTTGGGAATTCCAGATGTACCGTTGCATAGAGCACGGCGAGATGAGTTCGTAGACACGTTGTGGGCTCGAATCGGAGTTGTAACAAGAGAGATACGATCTAAATACCCTCAGTGGCAAAATCGTAAATATTTTGAAATGGAATTTTTGGTTAAAAGACGGAATTGCCCCCGTCTCTCTGACTCTCTCTCTCCCGCGCGTCCCTCTCTCTCTCCTCTGGTTCGCGACGGCTGAAACAGTCGGCCACGTTTTGGCCGGCCGTGCTCTCGTTCGGCCACCAAAGTCGACGGGGCCGGTACCAAAATGACCGGGTCGCCGTCCTCTTCCTACCCCGGCCAGGTCCCGCCGCCAGCCGCCGTTATTTCGCCGGAAAACGAGGAGAAAAGCTCCGGTTTTGACAGAAACTTCGTCGGCTTCGTTCTCCGTCTTCCGGCCACCGATTCCGGCAAGTGAGGAATGGTTTCTCACCTATTTTCCGAGCTCTAGCTGCCTGTTGGGTAGGATTGCATCAATTTGTAGCCTAGATTATCTGATTTTTGAGTTAGGGTTCGACCGGTTTTGGGATAGCGATTCCGGCCGTTTTCGGTCAGTTTTTGGGGTACGTCCAAGAACAAAAGTGACTCCAAATATAGTGTTTTACCTAGGGTAGGAGTCTTGAGCCATGATTTGTGGTTTTTCCGGCGATGGGTTATCGCTTTGGACACCCATGCGCTGCCGGCGCGTGGGCACTGTAGTCGAGGGGCATTTTTGTCCCAAAGGGATCCTCAGGTTGTCATGAGCACGTAGGTGTGCTCGGATCTCAATTTGGATATCGTTAGAGTCCCAAACGGATATCGCATATCGCGTATTTTCAGGGTTCGCTAGGTTTGGACCGTTGGATGGTCCTGAAGTTATTATATGTTGATCTAGATATTACCAGGATCATATAGGATTCGACGGATCGTCAAACGGAGTCCCGGATACTCCGGAAATGCCAACCCTAGGGGTAAGGTTTAGTAACCGTCCGATCGTGCGATCATGAGCGATCCGACCGTCCGATCTGGACCAAACTTGCAGGACATGTGTCCTAGAGCCTATAGAACCTATAGGAACTTTCAGATCGGAATTTGGAGGTTGTGGGCCCCGCAGGCCCGTTTGACCCTAGGTTGACCGTGAGACTCCCGAGATAGTCTTACCTTTCCTTGAGGGTTAGGATGACCTTAGTGACAGGTCTTGAGAGTTGTTGAGTTAAATGGATATTGTGGGTTTAGGATATTGTGGGAGTTTATGGAATGTTTTATTGGTTGATGTTATTGTAGGATTAGCAATTATATGATATATTTAATTAATTGTGTGGATGTATAATGATATATAAGGAGATTGAATGTTAGTTTACAGTGCTATACGCACTACCCCACGTACCCCCCATATTGTGATTATGTTGAGGCCCAAGTGACAGTATAATGGCTGGTGAGAATGTAGCCAGGCCAGGGCTGGTGAGAATGTAGCCAGGCCCAGTGTGAGGTCGCACGCGTCTTTGGATTAGCCGGCGTGTTGACAGACCCCATACGTGGCCGGGTGCGTCCCGACGTATGAGGGGAGATATGATTGTGTGATGGCTGGTGAGAATGTAGCCAGGCCAGGGCTGTAGCCAGGCCCAGTGTGAGGTCGCACGTGTCTTTGGATTAGCCGGCATGTTGACAGACCCTATACGTGGCCGGGTGCGTGCCGACGTATGAGGGGAGATATGATTGTGTGATGGCTGGTGAGAATGTAGCCAGGCCCAGGGTTGAGGTCGCACGCGTCTTTGGATTAGCCGGCGTGTAGACAGACCCCATACGAGGCCGGGTGCGTCCCGTCGTATGAGGGGAGCTATGTGATTGTATTTGGTGTGTTGTGATGGATAAACCCTAGAATGTATGAATTTATATGGATGTAATGGTTTATTTGATATTAGGAGCCAGGATTGATAGGAAAGAGCTACGTGTGGCTTGATCCCTTAGTAGGGTACGTAGGCAGCCTGGGATAGCGCCTAGGTGCAGCCACGGCCTAGACACCACTTAGGTGGTTTTATCGAGTATGATGCGGACCTCGTGGTTGGTCCCGAAACTTGGTTGAATTGAGGCTTGTCCGATGGACTGAGTGAGTGGAGGTGTGCATAGATAGATTTTGAATTTGTTATATGCATGTTTGATGCATTAAGTTATTTAAAAAAAAATAGTGTGGGCAGTTCTGCTAGAATCATTTGAAGGCCGGAGGCCATTTATGTAAATTGCATGAGAATATATTGTGCGTGCTGCTGGTGGGGTTATAAAATGTGTTTTATGCAGGTGGAAATTTTGGGGAATGTTCAATTTACAGGGGAGACTCTGCCGAAATTTCGGCAGAAAGTCTCGTGCCCTTAATCCTCTTTGGTAAAAGAGGACATAGTTTTAAGGAGTGAACCCGGCATGGGTGTGATGCCGAGGTCTCTGCAGGATTCGTCTCGGGTTCTGGGAAATTCGGGGCGGGTCCTGTCAAAAACTTTGAATGTCGCTTTTTCATTCCCAACTCTCAAAGTTAGTAACCCTTCTTCTACGTCAATCAGAGTGTGTGAAGTAATCAGGAATGGGCGGCCCAAAATTAGCTGTGTGTCAGAATCTTCTTCCATATCCAAAACCAGAAAATCCGCCGGAAATATGAGTGTATCAATCTTTACAAGAACATCTTCTATAATTCCATCTGGGTATGTGATTGACCTGTACGCCATCTGCAAAGAAACAGTAGTGGGTTTAATTTCACCAATACCAATCTTTTTAGCAACAGATAAAGGTAGTAAGTTAATGCTAGAACCCAAATCACATAAAGCTCTTTCAAAGAAATTATTTCCAATAGTGCATGGAATTTTAAAACTCCCTCTATCTTTTTGTTTTGGTGGAAGCTTCCGTTGTAGGATGGCACTGCACTCTTCTATCAGTTGGATTTTCTCGTGCTCTCCAAATTTCCTCTTCTTGGAGAGAATGTCTTTCATGAATTTTGCATAACTTGGCATTTGTTCCAAAGCTTCAGCAAAAGGAATATTGATATGCAACTTTCTGAACAGCTCCAAGAATTTTGAGAATTGCCCATCAATTTTATTTTTTCTCAACCTTTGTGGAAAAGGGATTTGTGGGACATATTGCTTCAATTGAGGAGAAGGAATTGGTATAGAATTTTCTTCTTCTTGGGAAATTTCTGTGGTGGTGATTGGTGGTGAAAATGCATGCCCCATTTATGCCGCAGACTTCTTAGCTTCTTTTTCTTTCTCTAATGCTTCTTTTTCCAAGTCAACCGCTATATTTACTTGCTTCCCTTTGCGAAGAGTGATTGCCTTTGCTTGTTCTTGATTTTTCGGGTTAACTTCAGGTTGGCTTGGAAATACTCCTTGGTTTCTTCCACTTATGACATTAGCTAATTGGCCAACTTGCACCTCCAAATTCTGAATAGAAGCTTGCTGATTCTGAAATTGAGTTTTTGTTTCAATCATGAATTGGGTGGTAGACATAGTCAACTGAGTAAGCGCGTCTTCCAAATTTATTTTCTTCTCTTGAGCCAGAAAGCCAGGTGGTGGTCTCTGAACATTCTAAGTATTGCTCCATGAAAAATTTGGATGGTTTCGCCAACCGGGGTTGTATGTATTGGAATAAGGATTATTCCTTTGTCGATTAAATTCTCCAACCTAATTGACTTGCTCAGCAAACGCAAATGGGTTCCCTGTGGTACACTCTGAACTTGGATGAGGGCTTGCACAAAGTTCACAACTAAAATTAGTACTAGTGTTTATAGCATTAACACTTAAAGAATCAACTTTTTAGTAAGGTTAGAAATTTGTGCTGTTAGCAAAGCCATAGCATCGACTTCCAAGACCCCAGCTGACTTCAAATTCATTCTCTCACTCGGCCATTGGTAGTTGTTGGATGCCATGGTCTCCAATAATTCAAATGCTTCAGTAGCCGTTTTTGCCATTAAAGCCCCTCCAACAGCTGCATCAACTAGTGTCCTGCTTGTTTGACTCAACCCATTGTAGAAAGTCTGAACTTGAATCCAGGTTGGTAGGTCATGGTGAGGACACTTGCGCAATAAATCTTTGAATCGTTCCCAGGCTTCATATAGAGGTTCCTTATCATATTGAGCGAATGACATAATATCTTGTCAGAATTTTGCAGTTTTGGCTGGTGGGAAAAATTTAGCAAGGAATTTCTTATATAAATCATCCCAAGTACGGATGGAGTCTTGTGGCTGTGACAGTAACCAAAGCTTGGCTTTATCCTTCAAGGAGAAGGGGAATAGCCTTAAACGGATCGCATCGTCAGTTACCCCATTGAACTTGGACGAATCACAAATCTCTAAAAGTATCGCAAGATGGATGTTGGGATCTTCATTCGGTAGACCATAAAATACGGATGAATTCTACAGCATGGTGATCATGGCTGGTTTGATCTCAAAATTGTTGGCTTCAATAACAGGACGTCGGATCGCTGAGGGAGTTGCCACTGGGGGGCCAAATTCCCCCACTGCTCTTTCTGATTCTTTCGCCATAGGTGTGGATGGTGGTTCCACCAAAGTGTGCTTTTTGATTCCTTTGTTCCGCTTATAAAACGTACGTTCGATTTCTGGGTCAAGTGGTATGAGTTCTAGGGTACGAGAACGGTGCATACACGGATCAAAGTACCTGAAACAAAAAGAAGAAATTCAAATTAAACTCAGAATTAAAATATATTGATATTAATAGAAAATAAAACAGTCCCCGGCAGCGGCGCCAAAAACTACTTGTGAAATTATTGCAAGCGCACAATCCATACAAGTAATATAGAAATAAGTAGAGTGTTATTCCCACGAAGACTGTAATTTCTTATTAGCTACCAATTATGATTAATTCATAAGTTTATTTGAACAGTTTATTAAGAAGATTGATTGATTTAAGAAAACTAAAACAATTATGAAAAATACAATTTAATTAACGATAGAAAATTAAGATGATGAGACACTAGAGCATGCGATTTCACCATAACCAATTCTACTTAATTCTTATAACCCTAATTACTATCCATGTTGACAGTTGGTTTCTCCTAATTCATTCGATATCCCCTCTCGGGCTCAACCAAAAGTATTCTCAATTAACAACTCATTCTCTCTCGAGCAACGGATTTAGAAAATCAAGAACCCATTAAGTTTTATGAGAACCTACAAGAAAACTGCATGAGTCATGTTAGTCCCTCTCGGGCACTCATTCAAGTCATAATATTTGTTACAAGAAGCAAACACCAAACATCTCCTCTCGGTCCGCTTGGATCATCAATTAAATATTAGCTAGATATTTAAATCATTAAGAACAGTAACAAATACTCACCATGGGATAATAATCAGGAATTAATATAACAATAAAAATTAAGTATTCATGGTTAGGCTACATCGTAGCCCTAGCATAAAAAATTAGTTCATGACAGAAGAAAATATAAACAAGAGAATTATTGTCATAAAACCAATTTGGCCGATGGACTTGATCTTTAGAATCTTCACAGGAACACCTTCAAAAGCTCCTCAAATAATGCAGCAGCAAATTCTTGGTTCTCTCTGATATTTCTCTTGTTGTATGAAAGTATGAAAGATGGTGGAAAAAGATGATCTGGCTCTTAGGTTAAAGGTTTTTATTTATAGGCCACGGGAATCCTTTAAAAATAAGGAAGATAATATTTATTTAGGAAGGAAAGGAAAAGTAGGAATATTAGAAAAACCAATACCTATTCTCAAGAGGAAATAACATGCGGCTTCAAGTCAAAGAGGGAATTGGCTTGGGGGTTTTAAAGGAAAAATAGGAAAGTATTCTCAAGGGTCCAGCCGATACCCATGCTTAGCTCCAAAAGTAGCTGACGATGGTAGCTCAATCAAAAAGGTAACCAACAATTGTTTCACAATTGCAAAGCCAATCAGCTTTTAATGATGACGATAGTGCAATTCTCATTCATATTGCTTTCTTTCCTTTCAGACCATCTCAATATTTTGTCATCTAGCATCTCTTGCAATTGCTCAGATGATGCAAACCATTTCTACAGTATCAGCAATTTACGTTGGGTTCTTCTTCATGAGAGAGGCATTAATGTGATGGTAAGCTTCTCTAACTCAATCTCTCTAGCGCTGGTCACTGAGACCAGTTGTGGATATAAATTGACACTTGCACAGATGCACTCCAGGTGTTTGATGAAATGACAAAGTGACTTCTTGAGATTTTGTTGAGATGATAATTCCACCCATTTTGATCCCTTAAGCTTCCAAAATTGTAGTTTTTGCTTCAAAGCCTTGGTAAGTATGATTTCCTACAAAATCTTCACCGAGCACATTAAATTAACCAATTTCACACGAAAATAGTACAAATAGAGATAGATTATATACGCAAAATATGAATATATCATCTATCTTCCAAATTACTAAACTATATAGTGTCTTAAAATGAAAACTCCCTAAATAAGAGCATCTTTGGCCCACTCTCAAGGTTTGAGAGATCCCCAGCGACTCTTCCAGCTTTATCACCAGCTGTTCAGCAAGTTGATCGGTCATCAAGTAAAGAGGCACCCAAATGATTGCTGACAGATATTTAGAAGGATTTTGGAATGTTATCTGTACCACTCTGTCTAGACACCAACTTGCTCAGTGAATTTTTTTGCTAGTAGACCACTACCTTCACCGGTGGGCTCCAAGAAAATAAGAAGTGTTTGTTATCTTGTTGATAGCAATTACTCTACCCTTTATACCGGGTTATTTACCCAAATTTTCACCCAACGGAGCCAATTCATTACTCAAAGCTGTTGGTTGGCCCTCATAACTCTCACCAAACAATAACAATTGACTTGCCATAAGACCTCTATCAAACCTTAGCTGAACCACATTAACTTCTCTAAGATTCATTGACTCTAGCAGATGGAATACGGGCACGAGTACAAGGCCCAGCTTCGGTGAGCACGTTACTCCTCCATGCTGATGTATGCGGTGGGATCTGTTTGGATTATAGGGGCTTTATGATATAGGGTCCCAAATCTTCCATTGAGGATACTTTTTTTGCAAATGGCCTCTATATTATCTAGGAGGTTGAGCCCATTTAAGGCCCCCATTGGGTGGCTTTAGATATATCTTAGGGAGGATTTGAAATAATACAACTCTAACCATGCTCTCTATCCACCTCTTAAAATAGGAAGACCTCTAGGAGCTCCTAAATCTGAGGAAAGAGAAAGACTCCTAATGGCTCCCTATAATTTAATAGGGCTTTATTTTATGCTAACTTTTTTTTTTTTTTTTTTTTTAGATTTTTTCGACCGGAAGACCGAGAGCTAACTATCGAGACTTTGGGTTATCCGGACACATACTTCGTGAAATGGTTCATGCATGTTTGTTGCCCGGGGCAAGGGTCTAAATAAAAAAAATAAAAAAGAAATATTATTTGTTCAAAACAAAAAACCTGCAATTTTTTTTTGTCCCTCTGTTAGAAGTGTTCCAGAAATGTCTGCGATCGAGTAAATAGCTCTACGAACGAATGGATCGGATCGAATTGGAAAATGGAAAGATTTGTACAAGTTATACCTTTCGTCACCATTTTGTGGAAAATCGTTAGGTATGAATATGTTAGACACCTGTAACTCGATCCTTTTTTTATTTCTATAGTGGAGATAGTCGCACGTAATGACAGATCACGGCCATATTATTAAAGCTTGTGGCAAATATTTAATCTAATAAAAGTAAAATTTTTTTTTTTTTTTTTTTTTTTTTTTTTGAAATTGAAGTTCTATTTGCTCAATAAACTTACCTATATTTATTTTTACCAATTACAAAATAGTTAGAATAATACTAGTCTTACCACATTTTTTTATACCATAATTTTATACCACATGATGTGGCAGCTGATGTGTACATACCACATCATGTAAAATACTAATTTTTATTTTTCTAATTTTATTTATTAAAATACACTTCATTCATTTAATTGATGTGGCATATGATATGGACATGCCACATCATGTGGTATATAAATGTGGGATAATAATGTGGTAAGTGTAGCATTACTCATAGTTATAGCATTTACGACTTCCTAAACTAGATAGTATGATTGGAGTTTAAATTTTATAGAAAGCTCATAAAATAGCTTTTATATGTTTTTAGCTAAATTTTAACTAAGAAATAGGGAGCATGATTGTAAATGTTTTAGAAAGTAAATGAGATATGGATGAATGCTATAAAGATGAGGAGTTGCATCCATCTACCCCCATTATTATCTAACAAAATGGATGAGATAAGGATGAAGACAAGGAGTTGCATCCAACTACCTCCATTATTATCTGCAATTCAATCAAGACAGTCTTGATCTCAAGAAGTGAGAATGCTCCTGTGAGTAACGATAGCTAACCATGAGAGCACGAAATCTTTTGCTTCTTCATATATAATATATATAATTTTTAACAAGCTCTTTCCTAATAAAAAAAAGTGCATTGATTTGTATACCAATGGTCTTAGGTTCGATATTATGTGTGTTTATCGTTGATGTTATGAAATAAAATGTTGTTTTTGGAATCTAATCCAAATTTTTTAATTATTTTTTAGTTCCAATGTTTATTTAAAAAAACAAACATAACATAAACAAAAAATAATTTAACAACAAAAAAATTAGCACCTAAATTAAATTACTTGATAAAAAAATATATATAGAGCTCAAATTTAGAGTCTCTTATTGTGGGCTAGATATCTTTAGAGCTTAAAATATTCGATCGGAGCTCTAAATGTAGTTTTATCAACCGCATTTGGAAGCCAACATTGGGTTTGCTGTAAGGAAAGAGAATCTTTACACGTGTCCCCAATTTGAGAGGCAAAATAGTAGAATTCTCGTGCCCATCATTATTATACAGTCCGGTATTATCATGTGATACTTACCAACTGGTAGTACGGATAAATAGTATAACGACTGGAAATCAATTACTAAGGAGAATACAAGTAACGTTTTATGTGAACAGAGGAGAAAGGCGTTTACTTTAAAACTTCAATAGCTGAAACCTTCCCACCATCAGCGATGCTACTTCCATTTCTGCAATCTTACTCTTAATCTACTCCGTCTTTTTCATTCTCCATAGATTTCAATTGAAATTATTATCAGGCCCTCTAAATATTTTCTTGTCTACTTGAGTAAAGAAAACCATGGATTAATTTTCTTATGCTTTTTCGGAGAGGGTGGTTAATTTGAGGATATTTCTTCTGTCTTCAAACAATGGCAGCCATGATTTTTCAAAAGTTGATTGTGAGTGCCTACGAAAGTTTGCTTTTTTGTTCAAATGGATGCAATTAAAAGAGAGATTTGGTGTTTGATTAACAACCTAAAAGGAATTTTATTAATTTTATGGTGTACAAGAATGATTTTTAAGTAACATAAGAACAATAGTACTGAATGGAAACGATGAAAAACAACCATGGCTGCAAACGAGATCTAACCGAGTGGAAAAGAGCATTGAGTTGTAGATAAAAGGTTTCAGGTTCAAAACCCCATAGCATCTTGGTTGTGTGTGTGTAAGAGAAACCCACATCTCATGTAGTTTAGCCTATCACTTACTAAAAAATATAAAAAATAAAAAACCCATGGCTACGAGTAGAGAAGACAATCATGGCTTCTCAGAATTTTCTTGGGCAAAAATTTCTCTAACGTTAGTAATTGATGTCCAGGTGTCGTTCTATTGTTCGTCCGTACTACCATACCAACGTGGAAAATGCTACTTGATAACACAGGTACTACGTAATAATTTCTCTGTAGAGGAGTCAACAGAATTGAAATCGAAGTTTCCTTCCTCCTCCTGTGTGTATTAATAGCCATACAACTCTCTAACTCCACTTCTCACACCTCCTCCTTCCTCTGAAAAAAAGCTAATCAAATCTAAAAGCCCCACCCAACTATGGCCGGTATATGCGGCGGAATATTCGATTCTCCAGGAACCGTGAACAGCGTCGAAACCATAAGCCTCGCTCGCTTCGCCATCGAAGAACACAAGAAGAAGGTAAAAACCCTTTTATTCTATTTCTGTCAAAGAAAGATTGTGAATGGGATTTTGATTAATTAGTTAATTTGATTGAATAATTGTGCAGCATAATGGTCTGCTTGAGTTTGTGAGGGTGGTGAATGAAAAGCGGCAAGTGGTTGCTGGGATGAATCACTTTTTGACTATTGAGGCCACCGACGCGGGCAAGAAGAAGCTCTTTGAAGCCACGGTCTATGTGAGGGCTTGGGAGAACTTCAAGGAACTGTCGGAGTTCAAGGAAGTGAAGTCCACGGAAGTGCAGGAGTTCAAGCACGTTGCTGACTCTTAGTTTGTGTTGAGAGGTTTGTGCCCTTTCATTTGTTTCTTCTTCTTTTGTTTTTTTATTTTTTTGTTTTTATAATTATAGTAAATTTGGTTTACACTTTCAAATTCAACTTACCTTACTTGCAGCCCTTCACTTTTTGTTTCTATAAATAATACCCAATTTTTATAAGTAAAAACTCATTACTATGATCCAACTCATCAAGTTACCTTATTAAGCTCAATATCAAATTTATTATAATTTTTTAATTGCCAAAATACCCTTATTTATATTTCAATGTGTAATGGGGTGGTGTTTTAATTTTTGGTTCCCCAATTTATTGTGGTGATTCCCTCTACAATTAATTATCCATTTTATTATTAAAATTCATTAATAGAGTCAACAATTTGTTGACCGAAAAAGGCAATTTTCCTTATTGCCTTTCTGAAATTTTGTTCCATCTTTCCTGGATAATAATCTACCTATTTTAGAACTTAGATTTCATTTAATGTACCTAGTTTTTCCGTGGATAATAATCTACCTATTTTAGAACTTAGATTTCATTTAATGTACCTAGTTTTTCCATGGATAATAATCTACCTTTTTTTTTTATTATAAGTTATTGTGTATCTATATTTTCTATACATTATTGTGTACCTATTTTTCTATAATAATCTACCTATTATTTTTTATAAATTATTGTGAACCTATTTTTCTATAATAATCTACCTATTATTTTCTATAAATTATTGTGAACCTATTTTTCTATAATCTAGTTTTTTTCATGGATAATAATCTACCTATTATTTTTTCTATAAATTATTGTGTACCTATTTTTTTTGTGATAATCTACATATTATTTTTTAATAAATTATTGTGTATCTATATTTTCTATAAATTATTATGTACCTATTTTTCTTTAAATTTTTGAGTAAATAATATATCTATATTTTTATATTTATATTTTTCATACGTACATTATTAGATATGTAATTTACAGATTTTTTTTTTTGGTTTGGTTTGCAATTTTATGGGTGATATGTTAGAGGGAATGGTAACAAAAAAAAAAGGGCTGATTGATATGCTATTAATAGGGAGTATTAATTACAATTATAGTAGTTAATGAAATGCTTGAAATAAATTATAAATAAAATATGAAGTCTGGTGGCAATGATGTAAAAATATAGGAATACTATAACCTCTTATATCATACTAGTCATTTAAATTTGAAATTGAGTTTTACATATAGATTTATAGAGTGATGGGTATATGTCTAGGAAGTAGAAAATATAGGAACCTATATTGGACAAGCACTTATAATTACCTGGTCATTTCTTTGGAAAACATAAATTTTTCTTTAGTAAAAGGATGATAAAGAAATCCACAAGTTGGTGGTAGTTATGAACTCATATTGCTAATGTCTATAGGAGGATCTTTCAGTTCCTTGAGTGGCTCCTTCTTCTTTGGATGCAGCCATAAGTGATTGTACATACTCAATTTCCTTCTTCATTGTTTTGTTTCCACTTAGCGGGCCAAAAATGATAAAGGAAATATTTTGTTATGTATTCTTCTTCTTTTCATAGTTGGGTAGGATAGGAAGGAGACTGTTCATCTTCTTCTTATGCAGAAACAAGAATAGGGAACAAAGCCATTTCAGAACTTACTGGTATATTTTTAGCCTTTGAATTCTGTTTTAAAAGTATGATTAATATTGGTCTATATGTTTAAACTGTGAGAGCAGGTGATGAAGAAAATGGAAAGTTGAAGTCTATCTATGAATTGGGAAGGCAAAGAAGCTAAGTTTAAAGTTGAAGTCTAAGAATAATGGAGCCACACCGCTGTTAATATATTGGGGTGTATACATGCTTTAGTGGCTGTTATAATATTTCTATTGTGCCAATCTTCTAAGAATAAGATGTTGTTGTGGACTTGTTTTTCCAATTTGTTGTATGCAATGTGTTATAATTCTATTCACCATATCTTTATCTCTACATGCAATGTGCTGGAATTAATTGTGAAGGCGTTTCTAATATCAATTGACTTTTGTACGAACTTCAATCTTTTAAGCTCTCTTAAGTTTACGAGATACATTACCAGATGTGCAAATAAAATTGTTATAAGTGAACAAATTAACCTAAGAGCGGCCATTATTTTGTTATAATCATGGAGTTTTTTAAAATAAAAAAATTAATAAAAAGCGAAATTGGCTAAAATAGCCACTTTACAAAAGTTCTATTCCAAAATGGGGAAGTGGCTATTATTGAATAAATGTTTTGAGAAGTGGCTATTTTAGCACAAAGCCCTAATAAAAATCATACAAGTTTACAGGTAGCGAGAATTAAGAATTAGTGAAACTGTCATGTTAGAAGTACTCTCTAGAGCCAATCATGAGATGTAAACTCTAAGGATATATTTCACCTAATTGATTAAGGGAATTATGTCGTTTTGAGGAGAAATTATTCAATGGTACGGATGTACAACGTCAGCATGTGATACTTCAATTCAAATATTGCCATGCATCTATTTTAAAACAGAAATTAAATATTTGTTTACAGCTGGACTTATATTATGAAATAAAATTTGAAATTTGAAAAACAGAAAAAGAAAAAAAGAAAAAAAAAAATTTTCCCAACGGCCGCCCCTCCCCTAAAACACCACTGCGTTCCATGGATGCCATCCCTCTCTCTTCCTCTTCCTCCCCATCTCCTCTCCTCTTCACCATTGCCACCTGCATCCAAACCCTCATCTTCCTTAATTCCCCTTTCTTTGAAATTGATAATGACAACCTTTGCCATCATCATACTATTTCCAAACCCAGATCCAATACTGTAACTCCTTGGTAACAATTACTTCAATCAATACAATACAATAATTCTCTCAAAGGGTCTCTATGTTTTGCATTCACTCTAACATTTCCCAACCATTAACACAAACACCAATGCTTCCACTATTTCATTTCATCATCATCATCATCATCATAATGATCAATACGAGTTTTCTCTACCTCTCTTTAAACTCCATTACCTACAATTACTATAAGGTTGAAAAAGAAAAGGAACAAGGAAGAGGAAGGGAGATGGGTGGCAGTCATGGCAGGTAGTGTGGAGATGGGTGGCGGTCACGACATGTTTTTGGGATTAGAGGTGTTGGGTTCGGGAGGGGTTGCTGTTGGGAATTCTCTTTTTCTTTTTCCTTTTTCTTAAGTTTTTCAATTATCTAATTTTATTTCATAAGATAAAATTAAGAAATAAATCCAGCTGCAAAAAAAAGGTTTAATTTCTATTTTAAAATAAACACATGGCAATATTTGAATGGAAGTATCACATACTGACGTGGTACATCCGTACTATTCTATAATTTCTCCGTTTGGAGTAATAATCTTAGTCATTTAATTAAGTGAAACTGTCATTCAAATGTGGTTTTATCTAACCACATTTGGAAGCCAACATTGGGTTTGATATAAGGAAAGAGAATCTTTACACGTGTCCTCAATTTGAGTAAAGAAACCAAACCATGGATTAGTTTTCTTGTGCTTTGTCGGAGAGGGTGGTTAATTTGAGGATATTGCTTCTGTCCTCAAACAATGGCAGCCATGATTTTTCGAAAGTTGATTGTGAGTGCCTACGAAAGTTTGGGTTTTTGTTCAAATGGATGCAATTAAAAGAGAGATTTGTTGTTTGATTAACAACCTAAAAGAAATTTTATTAATTTTATGGCGTACAAGAATGATTTTAAGTAACATAAGAACAGTAGTACTGAATGGAAAGGATGAAAAACAACCATGGCTGCTAACAGGATCTAATCGAGTGGAAAATGGTTTTGAACTGTAGATAAAAAATTTTATGTTCGAACTCCCATAGCATCTTGGTTGTATATGTGTGAGAAACCCACATCCCATATAGTTTAGACTATCACTTACTAAAAAATTAAAAATTAAAAAATTAAAAAAATAAAACCCATGGCTACGAGTAGAAAAGACAATCATGGCTTCTCAGAATTTTCTTGGGCAAAAATTTCTCTTAACGGTCGTAATTGATGTCCAGGTGTCATTCAATTGTTCGTCCGTACTACCATACCAACATGGAAAATGCTACTTGATAACACAGGTCTTACGTAATAATTTCTCTGTCGAGGAGTCAACATAATTGAAATCGAAGTTTCGTCGTCTTCCTTCCTCCTCCTGTGTGTATTAATAGCCATACAACTCTCTGACTCCACTTCTCACTAAAAAATCTAATCAAATCTAAAAGCCCCACCCAACCATGGCGGATATCATATGTGGCGGAATAACAAATTCTCCAGGAACCGTGAACAGCGTTGAAACCATGATCCTCGCTCGCTTCGCCATCGGAGAACACAACAAGGAGGTTAAAACCCTTTTATTCTATTTCTGTCAAACAAAGATTGCGAATGGGATTTTGATTGAACAATTGTGCAGCATAATGGTATGCTTGAGTTTGTGAGAGTGGTGAATGAAAAGCGGCAAATGGTCACTATTTGACTATTGAGGCCACCGACGCGGGCAGCAGAAGCTCTTTGAAGCCAGGATCTATGTGAGGGCTTGGGAGAACTTCAAGAAAGTGTCGGAGTTCAAGGAAGTGAAGTCCACGGAATTCCGTAAAAAAAACATAAATTTGTTTCTTCTTCTTTTGTTTCTTTTTAATTTTTTTTGTTTTTATAATTACCTGGTCATTTCTTTGGAAAACATAAATTTTTCTTTAGTAAAAGGATGATAAAGAAATCCACAAGTTGGCATGTCTATAGGGGGATCTTTCAGTTCCTTGAGTCGCTCCTTTCTTCTTTGGATGCAGCCATAAGTGATTGTATATACTCAATTTCCTTCCTCAGTGTTTTGTTTCCGCTTAGTAGCGGGCGAAAAATGATAAAGGAAATTTTTTGTTACGTTTTCTTCTTCTTTTCATAGTTGGGTAGGATAGGAAGGAGACTGTTCATCTTCTTCTTACGCAGAAAGAAGAATAGGAAACAAATGTTAGTTTTATAACATCTAAGCAGACATACAAATAATACACAAAATACCTGCAGCAGAAACCATTGTTACAGTAGACAGGTCTTCCACCTCTTTAACAAGCTCTGTATATCACTCTATCTCAATGGGGCTCAAGAACTTTTTTGATTCGGTGCTTGACAGAGGCAGGGACCTATCCTATTTATAATGAGCTTTAGTTGGTGTAATTCTAATAGGACTCTCCCATTACAATCCTATTAGAATTCAACTTAATCACCAAGTAACCGGATGACTATGTCCAACTCTTTTAATTATATTAGGACTCCAATGCTTAAATAGAATATCTTAATCACATCCGTATAAGTTTCAGAATACTTGTTCTAATTGATCTTGGTATCTGTCTCGGAGTCCTAGCCAAGTTCAATGAGTGTGTGACCTTAAAACAACTACATTCTCCCACTAGGGCACACACACCATCAAAACATAAGCTCCTTTTGAACTCGAAACAAACACAAACTTTAAGGCGCCATAAGATCAAAGAACAAAAGTCCTAAACATGTTTCTGTCAGATGAGAATATAAATGCAGAACTACAGATACACTAACTCGTTTCAATCAAGCAAGGCATCCATAATTACAACCATAAAATCCTCATCCACATGAAACTCCCACAAGACAAAGTCAAATAGATGCACTATATGCTCTTTATATGTGAACTGCATGCATATAGATACACCAGGTCCACTTAATGCTTCTAAAACGAAGCTCTGTATGGTTGCATTCAAACTTTAATTCATGAAAACAAATAATACTTAATTGAAGTATAATGAGAGACTGTATCAACCAAATATGAAACTTCAATAGTTAAGCAAAATCAAAACATAAAATTCTACCTCAGTGCATATCTAATAACTGAAAATGAACTGCAAATTTACTCCCACTATTCTGCATCATCGAAACTAGCCAAAATCCCCATGCTAGTCACATGTCTCTTGAATATACTGTTGGGAATTGCTTTATTCAAAGGGTCAGCAATCATATCATGTGTGCTTATGTGATCAATCTGAGTCTGGCCTTGCTTAATCTTCTCTCTCACTAACAGAAACTTTATTTCAAGATGTTTTGTACCGCTGACCTCTTGTTGTTTCTGGAATAAAATACTGTTGCACTATTATCACAGAAAATTTGCACAGGTCTGGCAATCGAATCCACCACACGCAAACTTGTTATAAAATTCTTCAACCAAGATGCTTGGATGGTGGCCTCATAACAAGCAACAAACTCAGCCTGCATCGTTGAAGCAGCCACAGTGCTTTGCTTCGAACTTTTCCATGAAATAGCTCTTCCTGCTAGCAAGAAAACAAATGCTGATGTAGACTTTAAATCATCTGGACAACCTGCAAAATCAGAATCACAATATCCTACTAACTCCAAGCTTTCTTGTCTCTGATAAACCAGCATAAAACTCTTGGTCCTTTGCAAATATCTCATGACTTTCTTGGCCGCTATCCAATGTGCATTCCCTGGATTTGCTTGAAATCTGCCTAACACACTAATTGCAAAGGCAATGTCTGGTCTTGTGCATACATTAAGTTGCCCACTAAAGATGCATATAGGGTCTGTTCTTCATCTCTTCTTTCTCCAACTCATTTTGAGGACTTTGAGCTCTACTTAGTTTGTCTCCTTTTGTAATAGGAACTTCTCCAGATGCACAAGATAACATATTAAATCTTTTAAGCACTCTTTCTATGTATCCCTTCTGTGATAAACCAAGCATACCACGACTTCTGTCTCTATGTATCTCTACTCCTAGCACATAAGACGCCTCCCCCGTATCTTTCATCTCGAAATATGATGACAGAAAAAACTTTGTGTCAGCAAGCATAGACAAATTGTTAGTGGCCAGTAAAATATCATCGACATAGAGTACTAAGAAAATGAAATTGCTCCCACTAAATTTTAGATAAATACACTCATCCACTGGATTCTCTGTGAAGCCTTGTGAGCTTACAACTTCATCAAACCTCAAGTACCATTGCCTTGATGCCTGCTTCAGTCCATAAATGGACTTCTTGAGTTTGCAGACCAAATGCTCTTCTCCTTCCTTTATAAAACCCTCAGGTTGCACCATATATATTTCTTCATCCAGTCTCCCATTTAAAAAGGCTGTCTTTACATCCATTTGATGTAAAAACAGGTCATATTGTGCAGTAAGAGCCATGATAATCCGAAAAGCATCTTTAGTTGAAACTGGGGAAAAAGTTTCACTATAATCTATTCCTTCTTTTTGAGTAAAACCTTTTGCAACTAATCTGGCCTTGAATCTTTCTATGTTGCCCATTGAGTCTTTCTTGGTTTTGAACACCCATTTACACCCTATTGGCTTCACTCCTTCTGGCAGCTCTACTAAATCCCACACCTGATTGTTTTCCATTGAATCTAATTCACTTTCCATGGCTTCTTTCCATTTCAATACCTCTGGACTATTAATTGCTTCATTGAAAAACAAAGGATCTTCAAAATCTGATGCCATAAACTCTGATTCTTGTAAATACACTACATAATCTTGAGATATTGCTGGTCTTCTATTTCTGTTAGATCTTCTCTGTGGAGCTGGTGCTTCTTGTGGCTGAACTACTTCATTGTTCACATCTTGAGTTTCCTGGACTTGAATTTCATTCATGTCTTCTTGTTCAGGTTCCACATCTTCATAATCTTCCCCTTGTATTTCACTTATATGTGGAACTTGCACACTTTGCTTTGCTGGCTCAATTGCAATTTCACCCAGCTCTTCAAAAACGAAATCTGTGGCCTTCCTTTCTTCATGGACATTTTCTAGAAAAAATGCCCTACCTGTTTCCACAAGCCTTGTTGTATGATTTGGACAATAAAATCTGTACCCCTTCGTCTTCTCTAGATAACCTACAAAAAAACAACTTATGGTCTTGGGATCCAATTTCTTCTCTTGTGGATTGAAGACTTTTGCTTCTGCCTTGAACCCCCATATATGCAAATGGTTGAGGCTCAGCTTTCTGTTAGTCCATAGCTCAAAAGGGGTCTTTGATACTGCCTTACTTGGTACACGGTTTAGGATGTAGTTTGCTGTCCTTATTGCCTCGCCCCATAGGTAATTAGGTAGCTGTGAATTGCAGATCATACTCCTCACCATATCCTTGAGTGTTCTATTTCTTCTTTCAGCTACACCGTTCTGCTCTGGAGTTCCTGGATTGGTGTATTGTGCAACAATTCCACATTCCTGCAAATACTTAGCAAAAGGTCCAGGGTGTCTGCCAGTTTGATCAAATTTCCCATAATATTCACCTCCCCTATCAGACCTAACAACTTTATCTTTAGTTCCAACTGTCTTTCAACTTCTGTTTTAAAAATTTTAAAAGCTTCCAGAGCACTAGACTTTTGTGTAATGAGAAACAAGTAGCCATACCTAGAGTAGTCATCTATGAAGGTTATGAAGTATCTATGGCCTTCTAGAGTTTGGATGGGAAAAGGGCCACAGATGTCTGTATGGATTATTTCTAAGAGTTGACCACTTCTGTTTGAGCCTTTCTTTCTTGCCTTAGTTAAATTCCCTTTAATACAATTGACACAGACATCTAGATCAGAGAAGTCTGCTGCAGGTATTTTGTGTATTATTTGTATGTCTGCTTAGATGTTATAAAACTAACATGTGGTATCAAAGCTGCAGGTTTTGTCATACTTGTAATACCTATAAGGGCAGCAGCATTTGCAGGAGGATAAACCAAATTCTGCAGTTTTTGTTATAGATTTAAAGATTATTATTATTTATTGGTTTACTAACCATTCTGCAGGAAACTATACAGTCAATTCGAATAGTTCCTAAAGGGATATCATAATCAAATAAAATAGCCAAAGCAATTTTTGTTGGTTATGATATATCAATTGAACAAAAGAAAAGGATTGAGTCTGTAACACATATTGAGATATAGAGAACAGTTTTGCCAAAGCAAAGATGTTCTATGTGTTTTGGTATGTGTTAGCATAAAATAGTGCATGGCTTATGAAAACTGTTTGAAATTTTTCTACTCAAAAGTATAAAAGTCTCAATGAAAGTCAGTTAGCATGTATCTGTGTATTGGTTTTAAGATCAAGTATTGTGTTGAGGCCCAAAAAATCCATGGATCGGGCCCAAGCAACTATCAGCCCAATACAATATTTTCATGAGGGAAAAGAAAAAAAGGATCTATCGCATGCGAGTTATAATCCACATGCCACGCTAAACAAACAAATTATCATGCTATGATCGCGATAAAATAATTAACTCATGCTAAAAATTAAAACAATCCTTCCCAAGGGCGATAAGGTAAAATATGCCGGGCAACATGCCATGCCGTTATCTCGCACCCAACCACGCTACAAGCCTAGGTGGGCCCAAGCCACTAAAAAAAAAGACCCGGGGCTTGCTTGAGTGGGTTGTGGCATGGATGGTGATAAATCAACATGAGGCCCATTGATGGACCAAGAAATGGAAAGTCTCGGGTTGCTTGGGAGCCTCGAGACTCAAGCCCATTTCTTAGGCCCAAACATGTGGGTAAGCACAAGAAAGAAAAAATAGCCCAAAAGCCCAAGCAAAATAACCTAGCCAAGAGATAACCCAACCAAAAAAATAATAAGCCCAAATCAAGAAGCCCAACAAGCCCATTTGCTTAGAAAGCCATCTTGGCCCTTAAAAAACCCAAAAAAGCCCACAAGAGCTTCAGCCCTTTTGAAAAACAGAGAACACGTGAAGGAGTAGATGGCAGGCTCCTTAAGCAAAGCTGCTGGAAACCAGTCCCAAGCCAGAGACATCCAAAGAACCGATGAATACCATCCCGCATGCTGTCAGAAGCATCCCTTGGACCAGCATACATTTGCACCTCTTTTCCTTCATCAGATTCAGCCAAGGAAGAGGAAAGAAAAGAAGAAAAAACAGCAAACCAAGAGTGGAAGCTCTCATTGCACAGCCGCGGGAAAGGAGGATGTTGAGCCCCCAAATCCCCTGAATTCATGGAAATAGACAGAAGCAATCTTTGCCAAGAAAGGGAAGTCAGAGAAGGGGAGGAGAAAGGAAGAAAAGCTCAGCCAAAGTAAGTAGAAGCCATTAGGGTTTCTTGAAAAATGGTGATTTCCGGCAGCTATAAATTAAGCCTTCCCCTACCCAACAAACTCAACTCACAACCTGCAGAGAGCAAGCTTTCTCTCTATCTTGCAAAACTCAGACTCGTGCACTGTTCATCTTCTTCTCCAATTTGTTTTCTGGCAGCTGCCGGAAGAACCCTGCCTTTCCTTTTTCTCTTTCTCTAGTCAAAATCCCTCACAAAACACCTCATTCCTTACTTAAACACTTTCATTTCTCACAAACCAAGCCTAATTTCTCTCTTAACCCTAAAATATGAACTAGCGCCCATCCGTCCCTTAACCCAGTTTTCTTTTGTTTACGAATTTCTCAATTTTCACTTTTCATTAGAGGTCCTGCTCCCATCACCTCATTATATTCAAGCTCTGCTCCCTTCACTTGAATATATTTTACTTTTTTTCTTACTCAGATATATCTAAAGCATTCTCCCACCTCTTGGATATACCTTAAACTACACACCGACCCAATACGACTGTATTTATGATGCATATGTAATGCAGCGCAAACATCATTTATCTCTGCTGAATAATAATACAGATAATAACAATAATATTTCAAGTTTCATCACATGAATAATAATATTCACCTAACATCAAATAATATTTGCCAAGCAAAGCAACAATAATATTCATATTTATAGTACTATATATAAGCACAAAGATTAAAAATGACATAGCCCAATCATCGGAAAATTAGGAAACCCTATCTCATGTCTAGCTAGCTTAACCTTGTGCGGGTTCGTCCTCGAAAGTACGCAAAGTAGAACACCTAATCAAAATAATATACTAATTAAAATTCGCTAGAAATAAGGAAACATGTTTGAGTGTCCTATTGGCGCACGTAGACATAAAGCCCCAAAATATACTTGACAAGTTGTTCGACCCAATCGTTTATCCCTTAACCTCACGTTCAAACAAGCATTAGAAGCAAGCGTCAAGGAAAAACCAATCCATTCCCCTCCTATAATTGTTATACTCTTTGGGATGTTTAAAATCAGGTGGTTTGGCTCTAGACTCATAAAGAAAATTTGAAACATCAATTTAAAACCAAAACTTCAGTTTTGCTAAACATTTAGGTTGGAACACGTTAAGTTTGAAAATTCACTACATATTGAGTTTAAATCAAAATAATGTAAAAATTTTCAAATCACAACTAGACATAGAAAAATTAAAAGTGTCAAAATTTGATGGAAATTTGGGTTAAAAAAGCATGTCAAAATAGAAACCAAAACAGACTAGGCTGCAGATTGTTTTTTTTTTTTTTTTTTTTTTTTTTTTTTTTTTTTCTTTTTGTACATTTTTGAACTTATTTATTTTTATTTTCAAAAACTTTTAAATTACAACCAAAATTTGATAAAAACTTTCCAGATTTGAATAAAATACGTGAAAGTAAAACATACTAAAATTTCATGAAAATTCAACTTCAGGAAGTTTTCAAACATGTACATAATCCATGGATATAACTCCATTTGGGAGCAATTTTCTAATTGTATTATGCCTACGCCTGATATGTCTAAACTTACCATTGTATATACCACTTTTGGCTCTTGCATGAGTTGTCATAGTATCATAGTGTATACAAATTGTTGTCACATGCTTAGGCCACATTGGAATGTCCTCTAGGAAGTTTATAAGCCATTCTGCTTCTTCAACAGCTTTATCTAAGGCTATAAACTTTGATTCCATTGTAGAACGTGCTATACACTTCTGCTTAGAGGATTTCCCAGAAATTGCAGCTCCACCTAATGTAAACACATCCACTAATTGACTTATTGGTTTCTGTACTGTCAGAAAGCCAATTTGCATCACTATAGCGTTCCAGAATTGGTGGATATTTTGTATAATGTAATCCATAATCTAGGGTGTATTTCAAATATATTAACACCTTGATTAATCCCTCCCAATGATCATGTCCATGATTGCTTGTGTATCTACTAAGCATGCTTACTAAATAAGCTATGTTAGGCATAGTAAAATTCATTAATTACATTGGGCTCCCAATTATTTGGGAATACTCCAATTGAGAAATTGCATCTCCATTATTTTCTTTAACTTGCAATTTACATAAAAAGGAGTCACATCAAGTTTGTAGTCAAATTGACCAAACTTTCTTAAAATATTTTATGCATAATGGAATTGAGTAAGAACATAGCTATCCCTATTTTTTTATATTTGAATTCCTAGAATGACATCAGCTTGACCCAATTCTTTCATGTCAAAACTTGAATTCAACATCTTCTTTGTAGAATTTATTGCATATCCTTACTTGTTCTCATTATGAGCATGTCATCCACACATAAACATACAAGAACACGAGAATTCTTGTTCCCATTATGAGCATGTCATTGAGCTATAGGAGGTTAAAAGGGAGTATTTGAACAAATTTGATTGAAGCCTATTATTATAGGAGGGCAAACACATAAATGTGCAGTAAGATGCATTATGCATTTGCATTAAATTAGGGAATGAAAAACAGTTAGCCACCAAATAAAGATCTAGTGGCATAATTTGTAAATAAATCAATTTACATGGACACATTGTCATCCAATTGGGTTTTACTTAAACGCTGTATTATTGGTGGGTTATTGTTTATGATTTTTGAGTTAGAAGGGCCTATTTCAGTATGGGAAATAGTTTTGCCCACCCCTTTAACTCAAGGTGTATGCTCACCACCTTGCTTAATACTTGACACGTGTCCATAAGCATAACTGTGGTTGACCTTTTACTTTGATTTATGGATACGTGTCACATGTTGAGAAAGATGGTGAGCATATACCTTGGGTTAAAGTGATGAGCAAAAATACTCTCTTTTAGTATGACCCTTCTTTTAATTAAGATGATCAATAAGATAAAAACATATACTGGGAGGACCTTTTTAATAAAGGCCCTTGGATTAATCTAAGGGCACATATAATTAGTAAAAAAAAAAAAAAAAAAAAAAAAAAAAAAAAAAAAAAAAAAAAAATCTAAGAGAAAAAGTAAAGTGAGATTGATTACTTGATTTCGTTTCCTTAGAAATTGATCATTAAGCAGCAGTTATCTTTAACTGGGTAATCAATTTGATCACTTTCTTGGAGGGAAATACAGTTTTGAATTGATCTATACTTGATTCATAACAAAAACTTTCAAAGTAAATATATAAAAAAACAGCGGAAGAAAAGAAGAAAGACTTAACCACCACTACCCAAAGGCAAATAGATTTGAAAAGTTGAAAGACAGACCAAACTTATTCAAGCACGCTGGAAAATGATGAAGATGACAATCGGGGTGATAAATCGCCACTTCGTCTTTACCAATCATGATG